GAACTCCGCCTTTGAGGCTCTCTACCAGAACAAGTTCCCCTTCTTCAACCCCATTCAGACACAAGGTACGTCGGCCACTCTGTATTCTGTATTTGTGGTTCTCCGTGAGGAGGAGAACCACAAGGCTCTCTGACCACATCACATTGGGTTCTTGACTGCAGTTGTTTTTGTTTTATTTCCTCAGTGTTCAACGCTGTGTACAACAGCGATGATAACGTGTTTGTTGGAGCTCCAACCGGCAGCGGAAAGACCATCTGTGCCGAGTTTGCTATTCTGAGGATGCTGCTGCACAACGCCGAAGGCCGCTGCGTCTACATCACCCCGATGGAAGCACTGGCTGAACAGGTATCTGTTTGTGATTTAATGGAGCTTTCTCTCAAAACGACCCTTTCTTAATTTGTTTGTAATGAAAGATGACATGAATTTCTGTCACCCAGGTGTTTGTCGACTGGCACCAGAAGTTTCAGGACATCCTGAACAAAAAGGTGGTGCTGCTGACAGGAGAAACTAGTACAGATCTGAAGCTTTTGGGAAAAGGGGACATTATTGTCAGCACCCCTGACAAATGGGACATCCTGTCTCGCCGCTGGAAACAGAGGAAGAACGTCCAGAACGTCAGCCTGTTCATCGTGGACGAGACTCACCTCATCGGGGGAGAAAACGGAGTAAGAACATGACACATTTGGTGTTCTACAGAGTTGGCGTGCAATGCCACTGTCACGTGTAAACTATGCATCATGTTGACTTCCCTTGGTTCTTTTCCTTAGCCTGTGCTGGAGGTCATCTGCTCCAGGATGAGGTACATCTCCTCTCAGATTGAGCGCCCCATCCGTATCGTGGCCCTCAGCTCATCTTTGTCCAACGCCAAAGACGTGGCCCACTGGCTGGGCTGCAACACCACAGCCACGTTCAACTTCCACCCCAACGTCAGACCTGTGCCCCTGGAGCTGCACATCCAGGTCTGTTAAATGTGTGCAAGTCAACAGAAAATGGAGTGCATGAACTTTCAGGTTTTTGATTTGCCGTTAACCTTTCTGGTGTGTTTTTAGGGCTTCAATGTGAGTCACACTCAGACTCGCCTGCTGTCCATGGCCAAGCCGGTATACCACGCCATCATGAGGCACTCTCCCTCCAAGCCTGCCGTGGTGTTTGTCCCGTCCCGCCGACAGACTCGTCTCACGGCCATCGACATCCTCACTTTCTGTGCCGCTGACGTGGTCCCTCAGAGGTCAGTTACTGCAGCGATGTCATGCCTGTATATTTGATGAGGGCGCCGATGTTTTCCTTGCACCTCGACACTGGCCAAACAACATGACATGTTTGTCTCCACGTAGGTTCTTGCATTGCACGGAGAAAGACCTCGCTCCATTCCTGGAGAAAATCAATGACTCCACTCTTAAGGAGACTCTGGCCAACGGCGTGGGCTACCTGCACGAGGGCCTGTCTGCAATGGAACGCAGAATCGTGGAGCAGCTCTTCAACTCTGGTATGAGTCTCTCTCTACCTGTATGGTCTACTTTACGTCAAGGACTAAATAAATATCATTTTAATCTCTCGTTCCTTTCTCTTTACAGGTGCTGTTCAGGTGGTGGTGTCCTCTCGTTCACTCTGCTGGGGCATCAACATATCTGCGCACCTCGTCATCGTCATGGACACCCAGTACTACAACGGCAAAATCCATGCGTAAGGCTCCCACTGGTCAATGCTCTCACGAAGCTGCGTACTGTGCACGATATGTAGTGTTATTAACACTCTGCTTGCGTTTTCCCTCTTTCTCTTAGTTACGTGGACTATCCCATATACGACGTCCTCCAGATGGTGGGCAAAGCAAACAGACCAATGCTGGATGATGAGGGACGCTGTGTTATCATGTGTCAGGGCTCGAAGAAGGTAGTTGTCTGGTTCAGTCGTGAAAACGGTAACTTATCAACTGTGTGAGCGCAAGACCAAACTAAAATGGGATCTTTCTTTTTATTTTGTCAGGACTTCTTCAAGAAGTTCCTGTACGAGCCGCTGCCGGTGGAGTCTCATCTGGACCACTGCCTCCATGACCACTTCAATGCCGAGATTGTAACCAAGACTGTGGAGAACAAGCAGGACGCTGTGGACTACCTGACGTGGACATTCCTCTACCGCCGCATGACCCAGAACCCCAACTACTACAACCTGCAAGGTGAGTCTCACCCTGTCCGGTTTAAGCATTGAACCACTGCTTTGAAAGATGTACTTTTTTCTTATACACTGTACAAAATGTTGGTATCAAATGTCAAGCTGTGTGCTTACTTTATCAGGCATGTCCCATCGTCACCTGTCGGACCACCTGTCTGAGCTGGTGGAACACACGCTGCATGACCTGGAGCAGTCCAAGTGCATCAGCATTGAGGACGAGATGGACGTCGCGCCGCTCAACTTGGGCATGATCGCTGCCTACTACTACATCAACTACACCACCATCGGTTTGTGGCAATTAAAGGGTCCTATACTATATATAAATCTGTTAATGCCTAAACATCACGCCTGTCATGAATACCTTGTGTCTGTTCGTGTTTATACAAGAATGTGTCGAATGAACACATAACTGACCTGTCTTTGTGTGGTTGTGTTTGGCAGAGTTGTTCAGCATGTCCCTGAATGCCAAGACAAAGATCCGTGGATTAATTGAGATCATCTCCAATGCTGCTGAATACAAGAACATTCCCATTCGACATCACGAGGATGCCCTTCTCCGACAGGTAAGCGAACTGGACTCAAACAGAATTACATCGTTCCGCACACTCTACCAAGTCGATTATGTTTGGGATGCATCAACTCATTTTTTCTATTTCAGTTGGCCCAGAAGGTCCCCCATAAGCTGAACAACCCGAAGTACAACGACCCCCACGTGAAGACAAACCTGCTGCTGCAGGCCCACCTCTCCAGGATGCAGCTGAGTGCTGAGCTGCAGTCGGACACAGAGGACATCCTGAGCAAGGTGCAGGTTTAAGGAGATCACTGAGCACTGAGCGGAAGGAGGCTGTTGCGTTACAGAACAGCATACCCGTGCATAGATTTCAACCTGTTTTGTTTTCGTAGGCGGTGCGTCTGATCCAGGCCTGCGTTGATGTCCTGTCCAGCAATGGCTGGCTGAGTCCTGCCCTGGCCGCTATGGAGCTGGCCCAGATGGTCACTCAGGCTATGTGGTCCAAGGACTCCTACCTCAAACAGCTGCCCTTCTTCACTTCAGAGCACATCAAGCGCTGCACCGACAAGGTACGTCCGTGTTGACATGTTATGCTAAACCGCAACTCACTCTGGTATGATTGTACACCGGTCGTATGCATAACACTGACCATCGTGTCATTGCTCTTTTCTTCAGGGTGTAGAGAGCATCTTTGACATCATGGAGATGGAAGACGAAGAAAGAACCGCTTTGCTGCAACTTTCAGACGCCCAGATGGCTGATGTGGCTCGCTTCTCTAACCGCTACCCGAACATAGAGCTGTCCTACGAAGTGGCAGAAAAGGAGAACATCAAGAGGTATGTGTGGATTCTGATATCAGAACCATTGTTTGCAGTAATGACCGAACGTGCTCCCCAGGAACAAATCCTATGGTTAAGCAAAAGCTGCTTTTATTCCCTCACATCATTTGGGGTTAAATGTTGATGTCGGCTTCTTTGCAGTGGCAGTCCGGTTCTGGTTCAGGTTCAGCTGGAGAGAGAGGAGGAGGTGACTGGACCTGTCATCGCACCGCTCTTCCCACAGGTAAAGGCAATATATTTTTGCATGTCAAGGAATCTTTTATTAAAAAATATATATATATATGTATATATATATATATATAATGTCCTCCCAGGTCATGTAATGACTCTTTTCTAAATATATTTCATTGTTACAGAAACGTGAGGAGGGCTGGTGGGTGGTGATTGGAGACCCCAAGTCAAACAGCCTCATATCGATCAAGAGGCTGACTCTCCAGCAGAAAGCAAAGGTCAGTGAGAGTCTCGTATTTCTGACGCAAGGATTCACGGTTGCCGTTGATCCGATCTACTTCACACTTTTTATGAGTATTGCAAATGTAATTACGACATGTGACACATTCAACATTAATAAACAGGCGCTCTGTTGCGGGGGGCTGAGCGTTAGGGCTTTGGGGGCCTGCACATGTTGTCTACTTTGGGAAAACTGCAGCAGGCTGCGTCTTTTGCGGTACAAGTAGCTAAAATAGTTCGGTATTTCTATAGCTGTTATTATCTGAGCCATTTCACTGCTGTGTCCCAACTACCGTATGTCATGGCAGGTGTAATGCTGAAGACTGATAAGGAGGGTGTAAAGTTGTAGCAGTACAAGGCAGCCGCAAGCCAAACGGGTTCGGCCTGTTCTAAACAGGCACTGCACCAGTATTCTAGTTCAGATGCTCTGTAAACTAACGGGTCTCAATTTGTTGTCGTCTCCTCTGCAGGTCAAGCTGGACTTTGTTGCACCAGCGATGGGTGTTCATAATTACACCCTGTACTTCATGAGTGACGCATACATGGGCTGTGATCAGGAGTACAAGTTCAGTGCCGATGTGAAGGAGGCTGACAGCGAGGGAGACAGCGACTCAGACTAACCAATTACTGGGTTTTTGCATCTGCGTTATTGTTTGAGGGGGATAAGGTGTTTTTTATTTTACTGTAGATATTCAGCCATTCACTTGTCATCTTTACCCTGGTGGAAATAAGTACTTTTTATCGTTAAGTGCAGTTGTCTCGTTTTAAGTCACACCAGTCCAGAATTAGCGTACAGGATCGGAGCTTCAGTGAGAATTTATGACTGAGTGTAAAGGTCTGTAAGACATTATATTCTGTGATCTTTGTTTTCATCTCAATGAAATGTCATAAACCCACCAAGATAGTCTGCCCTGTTAAGTTAGTGACAAATATGCTCTCATCCCGGAAACTTTTTTTATAAAATTCTTGAACTAGTGAAACGTTTTTAATCTGTGGATTTATTTTTTTTGCAATAAAGAGAAGGGACACAATTCATGTTTTTTATTTCTTTATATAAACAGGAATAATATCAAGCTGAAATCTGCTGAGCCAAAACCAAGTTGAATGCATTATTATTTGTGGTGAACTCTAAATGGCACAGTTCCCACTTGCTCGCTATAACATCTTCTCCAAGCCAGTTGGGTTCAGTCCTCCTCTTGGAACCTCCAGATGGAGATCCCTCCGTCATCGCTGCAGGAGGCCAGGAGTCCCGCCTCCTTCGGGTTCCAGGCGACACAGTTCACGTCCTGGCTGTGAGCTCTGGTCACCTGAGCAGCCAGCGAGAACACGGGCTGGTCTGGATCGGCCGTCTCGTCCTCCTTGAACACTCGCACGGCATCGTCACCACAGGCAGTTGCGAGGGCGCCAGTCAGCCGACACCTAAGCAGGGATGAACAAGTTAACCTCTGTATTTATCCATATTTCAGGATTCGAGGGTAAATAAAAAGTATTTTCATGATATGGCAAAGAATTACTGATGGACCAGCAGACTGCTCCATAAATCTAGGTACAGACAGAACTCTGTGTGCATTATATGAAGCGGAGATTTCTTACCAGGAAATATCGTACACGGTTCGTCCATGATACCCAGACAGAGTGCAAACACATTTCCACAACAAGTCTCCTGTTGAAGAACAAGAAACCATCTGCTTACTTATTTACATACCTCGATGTACAGACTAAAGGTATTACGTTAGTATAAAATCCTTTACTTTGTTGCACTGATTAAAAACTTCACTTTGTGTGGAAGCTAACAAACGTGTAGATTACTTCTCCACATTTATGTAACTTCTCTGCCTGCCAAGGAACTTTGTTTCAGGAAAACAAACCTTGTCCGCTTTCATTGGGAGACTCTTTCCAAATCTTCACGGTGCGGTCGTCGCTGCAGGAGGCAAGTCTCTGCCCGGTGGCATCAAAAGCGAGACTCCACACTGTGGACGTGTGTCCTTGCAAGGTGGCCCGGCACTCCCAGTCGTCATCCTCTTCCTTGTAAATACAAACGTTGTTGTCGTAGCTGGCCGACGCGAGGAGCTGTACAAACGTCAGGAAAATTCATCGTGAGGCACATTTGAAAGATTCCATTCAGGTGCACAGAGCAGAGGGGAACCCACCTCCTGGGTCGGGTGCCACACGATATTCTTGACGTCCTGTGTGTGAGAGTTCACAACGGTAACACACTCGTACTCGTCGTCTTCATCCACTGTGAATCGAAAAAGGGAGAAAAAAAAAATCACCATTTACGTAGAGATGCAGAGACCAGGCAACTTATCGTGCATCCAAGTGCACAAACCTTCCCAGACCCAGACACTCTTGTCTCGGCTACACGTTGCCAGCAGATTCCCCGAAGGTGCCCACGCCACAGACTTGACCTCATTTTCATGTCCTTCTAACACAGTCAGACTCTGCAGGAGACACAGTGAAACACTGGGTGAAATCTATGAGGTTACAGCACATTCAAAGTGAAGATTCGATTCATCCGCCGACCTCAAAGTCATCGTTCTTCTTTTTCCAGATGCAAGTGGTAGCATCAAAGCTGGCAGACGCCAGGTAGTTTCCGCAGGGAGACCAAGCCACTCTCCTCACAGTGCGCTGGTGTCCATCCTGAAGCACGCTCTTGCATATCCACGAGTCACCTAGAAAGAGATCAATTGTTCGGTTTATATTGAAGCAGCTAAAAATGGATGAGCGTGACTGCTTTATTACCAAATAACGATTCACTGGATCTGTGCGGCAATGTTACGTAAAGTGCTTGGCTTTGTTAAGTAGGATCAGCCCAAACTGAAATTGAACCATGCAAACCACATCGCATTAGTTAAAGTTAGTTTTAAGAACAGTAGAAGAGAAGCAGAAAAATAGGCTCATAAGTACCGGCGGTGGCAGAATAATAAAACCCCTTCATTTGACTTCTTTGATCGGCCCCGCGATGGCAAACCAGTGACGTAATGTAAACATAAGAGCAACCGTCAACGGTTGTGTGCGATGGATTTTATCCCGTAGGAAATAAATTAACAGCCTAACGAACCCGGTGATTACAATAAAGACAGTTTTAACGTTTAATTAATAAAACAACTCAGGTGAATATTGTACAAGATAACCGTAAAACTCACCCTCTCGTCCCCATATCCGGATGGCCTTGTCGCCCCCGCAGGAGGCCAGCAGCGTCCCGCTGGGGCTCCAGCCGACGAACCAGCACCGGGAGTCCGGATGCGCGTTCAGGGTCTGAACCGGACTCAACCCCGCCTTCATGTTTGACCCGCTGATGTCACGTGGTGTCGGTTCCGGAGCTGTCTGAATAACGGGTCAACTCGAAGATAGCGTGGAAAAGGAAGCGTAGGAGTCGCTTCAAAGTAGACAAGTTCAAAAAAACAAACGGGTGGGGATCGCCGCCATGTTTGCTTGTTGCTTCTTCTTCTTCGTGGGGTTTCACGGCGGTCGGAATTAAGCGTAATGGATGAATTATCGCCACCTTATGCGAAAAGAATCAGCGATTAGATCCAGCAGACATCACCGTGGTCCTGTTTCTATGAGGGAGTAAAAACTCATTGCATATGAAATACTAAACTATAACTGTTATACAATTTGTGACTGACATGTAGACTTTGTATGACTTCATATGTCATACTATGTCAACATTGACTGGTTTCTGTGTGGATGTATATGAAAGGCGGAAAAAAAAGGTTCACTCATTGAAAGTTCTGAAACAGTATTGTTCATGAGTTAAAAACCAAAACAGCAATACAATTCATAGGTCTAAAATGTAGCAATGCCTTACAGCTGTTGTGCGGCTGTATCGTCAGCAGGTGGAAGCACTGCGCACCACTCACGCGCAGACTGCAGCCTATTGAACCAACGAAGAAGGATGTTGTGAACAAGGAAGTTGATATTTTACAGGAAGCCAGCGTAAGCTCCCTTTTGTTTTGTTTTGTCTTGATTTTCTGTAATGAATTGGTGGCCATTTGTCACAACAACAGTTTGCAACATAGATTTTAGTTAATTTGGTTTCGTCACCATTAAGTTGAATTTATTGTATGACATTCGTCGTTGGCTGAGCTTCACGCGCTAACAACAAAGCTAACAGGCCCGAAGGCCACCAGTCAATTGTCTGCGCGTAAGTCACTTAATATCATCGCTTTTGTATAAAGCAGCTAGTTCTAGGATCAAACGGTGTTTGTAAATATTAGATACGATTAGAACAAAGCGCCCTGACCGCTGTCATACGTCCATCGCCCGCGTAACGTTCGCTGTACCGGCCAACTGTTTTATTTTTTTGGCTGGTCAGGTGACCAACAGTACCAACGGATAGTGTAGTGCGGTCACACATAACGTTACTGTAAATCATAGAAAAACCGAAAACACAACAATTTCTAGGCAGATCGAATGACCATGTATGCCCCGCCGGGTTCTACTGTCCCCGGAGGCCGGAGGAGGAGAGGGGGCACCTCCGTCCCCAAGCAGGCGGAGCGCAGCCTGGTGTCCGCTCTGCCCGGAGCTCTGTCCATCACGGCGCTGTGCACGGCTCTCGCAGAACCGGCCTGGCTCCGGGTTCATGGAGGCACGTGCCCGAGACAAGAACTGGGGGTGGCGGATGTCCTGGGCTACATTGACCCCAAGCTTCTGGACGGTGAGGACCAACACTAGTACATTAAAACCTGCAGATGATGTAAATGAGGGTGGTATCTAACTGGTAGCTGACGCTCCGTGGCATCTCCGTGTTCTTTCAGATTACTGTGTGAATCCACAGACCATCTTGCTGATGAGGGTGATTGCTGCCTTTTGTTTCCTGGGCATCCTGTGCAGTTTGATTGCCTTCCTCTTAGATGTGTTTGGACCCAAACACCCTGCCCTAAAGATCACACGCAGATATGCGTTTGCACACATCCTCACAGGTGTCGTACAGCAGTTCTTTTCAGATCCTTTGATTTTTATGCATTTTTGAAGAAGAGGCAGGTTGTGGTATTTGTGCTAACTTCCTGTTTTGTTTTTTTGTTTCTCATCAGTGTTGCAGTGTGCTACCGTCATAGGCTTCTGCTACTGGGCTTCGGAGCTAATCCTGTCACTACAGCAGCAACACAAAAAGTACCACGGCTCTCTCATATACGTCACATTTGCCATCAGTTTCTACCTGGTGGCAGGGGCGGGCGGAGCCTCCATCCTCGCCACAGCGGCAAACCTGCTGCGCCATTACCCCACGGAGGAAGAGGAGCAGGCTCTAGTGTTGCTCTCGGAGATGGAGGACAGCAGTGAAACGTATCCCGCTGACTATGACATTGCCAATCAGTTTCAGCCGCCGCCTGCCTACACGCCGTAATGCCGCCGGGCTGGCCTTGTTAATCCTCGCTTCTTTCTCAGCACGGCTATTGGCTGGAGGAGCAAAGTACCACTCTTATCAAATGGATACCTTCGCAAATACTCTCCATAATGAACACAGCGTGCACACTTAGTGCACAAACTCTTTGAGTGACAGTGCTTGGGTGCATGGAAGCTTTCTTTTGTGGTGGCAATTAGGATACAGTTTTTACTTTCACCACTCAAATCTTTAGTGATTTGCATGTAAATGTTTTTTTCAAACTGCAAGAGTGCTTAACATGGCTCATCGGTAATTGACGAAACAGCCGCAGCCCAATCAGGGCCGATGACAGTATTGACGGCGGGTTGTCGGCAGATCAGCAGCGGTTGTATTGCGCTCGGTCCGCGTGTGAAAGTTTTCTTAAACCTAATTTTGTTTTTATTTTTTTATATGCTTGCAGTGCGTCTAACTTTATTTTCCTAAAACATGAAAAATGTAGAAAGATACTAAGATTTTTGACATTTATTTCATATAAATTATCAAATGGACCTGGTTATTTATTTAGTTTTCTTTGGAGACTTTGTTTCTTGTGTCGGTAGACGCCCGTCACTGTTAGTCTTAGGTAATCACATCTCTACTTGAAGCAAGACAACTGTCAAAATAGGAGCCCACTTTGTGGTGTTTTAAAAAGGATTGTGGCATGTATAGTGTTGGAGAGCCAGCAGCAACGCAGGATTTGAGAAACATGTCTATGTTTTACAATGAGAGACATTTAGTTATTCATGTCATGTTTCTTGTATTTTATTTTTATTAAGAAAACTTTTCTGTACTTTGTGATTGTTTCCGTACGTGTTTGTTTTATGCATGAGTTCTTTTGTGTGCACATTTTAAACCTTCAGGCAGAATCGTATGAGAACATCTCGCAGCCAGCTGAGGCTTAAAATTGTGATTGACGTGGTGACTAGTTGGTTGTATATTGTTCTGTTTATTCATTTCCGCATTTCGTTTCTCTTATTGTCAACATATGCTTTCATCTCCTGTATGTAAATATTGATTGTTTCTACATAAAAAGTGGTCATAATAAAGATTAATGCCATATTTTGCCTCATTTAGTCATTTCTACGCTATCGTTTGTTCTTCATTGATTGCAAGTCCTCCACCCAATGCGGTGCAGAGGGTGAGCTGTACATATTAAACCGTATACTGACTTTGACATTTCCGTCTGACCGGGGTGTTTCAGGGTTTACTGTCTAGACGTAGACGGAAGATAGAATTACAGTGGTTAAGAGCCTTACAACGTAATGGACTTTAAAGGGCATACAGTCTGCCTTGTACTGGGTAAATGCATCACGGCCCCAGTATTCTAATACAATAATCACCATTTTCAAGAAACTGCATATGGTGGCAGTGTGTTATGTTTGAAGTTACCAGTCAACTTCTACAAAATATAAAACTACATGAAATGCGTTATTTCTGCAGGTGCCTCCATCTAAGTACCATGGAAATATTTGTCTTCTAAATGGGTCAAGATATTTCCCGTGTTAAAGCACTTCACCTTCCGAATACTCTCAAGAGGTCAAGCATCACATGGCCAAATGACTTAAGGTAATCAGGTCTATGAACGAGGTATTAATAGAGAAGGGTGTTCACGCTGAGGAATAGTCCATCGAAGGCAAATAAGTAACTGCCATTCAGAGATAATAGAGCTTACGTGGTAACGTCACTTGGTCGCTCTCTGCTGGTATATAAACAGGCACAGCGAGATCCATGTTACTACCATTCAAAGTCTTCCGGCTCGGTGGCAAACTTTTACATTCTCCTCCCGACACGGTCCGATTGAAGCAAAATCATGCTGGCATCCAGGACTTTGCTCTCAAAACCAACACTGGCTGTTCTCTCTCGGCAGCCCGCGTGCTTCGTTCACCATGGTGACCATGGCAACTGGGGGAATACTAATATTGCGGTGGTAAGTGAGACATACCAACATGTGGCCGGTGAAACAAGTCAAACGCTTGGTGAGGACGTGATTGTGATTTGTGAATCACGATGTCATCCAGGTTTTCTCAGGCTGCGGCTGGTGGGACGGGACTGATGTCCACGAGGGAGTGTAGTGAGTATCAGAATGTCACACATTCCTCTAACGCATCACCATGCAGGGATGCCACTTTACCTCTCTGTCCTCAGCACCATGTACCACCTGAGCCGCAACGGCGCTCGCTTCCAGATCTTTGCTCCAAATCAACAGCAAATGCACGTGATGGACCACATGAAGAAGCAGCCTGGCTCTGGGGAGAACCGGTAGGCTTGTTTGGAAACGCTGTTCCAGTTTGAAGTGGATCTTGTTTAACATGTGTTTGCACACCCGACTTGATTAATTCCATAAGGTAGTATTTATGATTATTTCTGGCCGTCACATAGGAACATGATGATGGAATCATCTCGCTTCAGTCATGGTCAAGGAATGATGCAAATGCAAGACCTGTCCAAGCTGGACGTCAACAGCTTTGATGCAGTCATCTTCCCTGGAGGCCAAGGCGTCACGAAGAATCTGTGAGATACAAAGACTGTGTAGTGTGAAACTTAGTGAAACGGAGATGCAGGCTGCCGTGAGAACTAATATCAGTGTGTAATAATCAACTCTTTAGATCTTCTTTTGTGAAGGATGGCAAAGACTGCAAGCTGCAGAGTGATGTGGAACGGGTGCTCAAAGACTTCCACCGCTCACGCAAGCCTATCGGGTATGTATCATTCTGCCGCCATTTAATCCGTAGCAGTGGTGAAAGAATAACACTGCGTAAACCTACTTCTGTACCAAGAAGTCAAAGTATTAGGGCAGCGGCATGCAAGATTGTGACTTTACAATTCACATTTTAAATCCAAACATGAGGCAACCATGCAGACTGTTGCGGTTTGTACCACACTTTAAATCTGATTACATAAGATTACATTTAACTAGATAAAGACACAAGAGTTAAACAATCCCCGTAATGGAATTGGGACATTGGCACAACTGTAGAAAGGAAAAAAGCTCAGACAACAAGAACTGGGTTGTAGACTTTTGTGAAAGTGATTAACATCTTGGTTACCAAGTCATCCACATATTGTTTATGCTATTCTTTAACAACGGCACTTTTCCTACAATGAAGTCAGACTTCCTGCAGCAGAGCTAAAACGCCACCATTCTGGGGACCACACGCTGCGATTGCACTGCTGTATGTGTGTTGTCTTCACTTAGGACCAAGAAGCCCACACCCGTATTTCTCTAAAGGCACTCAGTTGTTTCCTCTTCAGCAGATTCCACCTTTGGCCCCATAGGTTCAAGTTGGGAGGAATAATGTGATGGCAGCAAACTACTGTCTTTATAAGGACAATTTAAGATGTAGGTTCTCCCTCAATATCCCGTTTCCACTTCCAGGATTATCAGTCATGTGTGGGCTGTGCACTTCCACTCCAGTCAAGCACAATAAGTGAAATCCCCTGTGTGGGTGGACCACACTGTCGGTGTGGGGGGGATTTAAATAACATGGTTACATCGAATGTAGTCCCTGCTTTATTGATGAAATGTATGAATAACTAAAAGTGATTCACGCTTACAGGTATCAGAGTATGTTTCTCCTCCTCCGTCATACTCACCGTTTGTCAGCAATAGTAGTTTTATAAGCACACACTGAGGTTCACATTGCTGTCCAGGTGATATGTACTTGGATAGCTTTTCTTTTCCTGGCTTTAAGCCCATCCTGTCCGATACCGGTAAGGCTCACACCCTGATCCGTCCGGCCTCTCAATGTCAACTGACTTAAAAACCTCGACTGGCGCTCCGCTGCTGTTTCAGACTGGCCAGCATGGCTCCGGTGCTGGCTTGCCGCGTGCTGCCCAGCATCGAGGTCACCATGGGCTACGAACGGGACGAGAACACCCGCTGGGGTAACTGGCCTCACACGAGCATGGTGCAGGCCGTGAAGAGCATGGGCGCTGGCCACAACGTCCGTGAGCCATACATATCCTTTTCTAGACCCGTGAGCGTTATGTCGTTGCTTGTGATGCTGAGTAACTCCTGCTTTTGCCCTTAACCCATTTCTTTTACGAAGCCTATGTGGATGAGAAGAACAAAGTGGTCAGCACTCCTTCCTTCATGTGGGAAACAGATTATCACTATCACTACATCTTTGATGGCATTGGAAATATGGTCAAACATGTCATGCGAATGTCCACCAAGTGACACTTTCGACCCCCGGAAAAGCAGTTGGTGTGAACGAAGGCGCACCCCAGTATTGTGATGAATGATTACCTCAATCAAAATAAAGGCTTTAGGTCAAAAGCAAAAGGCTGTTGTGTGTAATTCTCTGTATTGGCTATTATGTATGTGTACATAGAGCAGATCTACATATCCGAGGGGGTCATGGGTCACGATCCAATTACCGTAACCAAGCATTTCATAACATGCCGGGAGGAGTTCATTATCCTCGCCTCAGCCTCCGATCTGAGTTATCATGACAAACCCCGTAACAGTAGTGGAATGTGTACAGGAGATAGAAGGGAAGGCAGTAGGCATTTAGCAGTCAAGTAGCTGAGGTAAGATGAGATGAGAGGATAACCAGATTTAAGGAGGCTTCACTAGTGATTACAGGTGTGGCCCAGCTCTGGGAAAATAAATTAACGAGCAGCTGAGTTTATTGTTAGATGCTTTTTGTTTTAACATACAAAAGAAATACATTATTTCATTCAGGTGCATTCAGAATAAAACAATTTATTCATTCAGTACAAACATATAAAAATGACATAAACAACCAGGTGTTGAGATATAAAAATGTATATTTTGTACAAAACTTCCAAAACCATCATCAGAAATGCATACTCGCTCCATATGAAGACTCTGGGTTAAATATAGCACAAATATAGAATCTTAGCTACAAAGATATTCTTAAAACCTCTGTTTATGAGGTGACGTTATACAAAACAGATTTTTTCAGTAATTCTTTTCAGGAACTAAAATAAAAGTAGGCTAAAATTCATTGGACTTCACAGAAATTCAAATCAGAATCATAAGTCTATGAAATATTCACAGTGTTGCCTTCAGAACAATGAAGTAAATTGTAAACATTGTTGCATATAATAACTCACCTTTATGGGTATAAAGAAAGTCATCATGTGAGCAAAACCGTTGTAAAAAATGAACAACGTTTCAACTATTTTGTATCCTCTGATCATCACTTTTAAATGAGCTCAAACCGTAGATGGTGAATCAAGTAGTGCGCATGTGACGTTAACGAAAATAAGGCAAAAAAATGGTCCCTGTATTTTTAATCAAGTTTTACTCTATCTGTAATTTAATCACAGGGGCTTTGACCGGTTCAGCTGGAGTAAAGTAGCATTTTGTCATCTGATGAAAGGTTGGAATATACAATACAGCAGGTTTCATTCACATTTAGATGCATATAAACATTTGTACATCGGGAACAAATACTGAGAGGCTATTTGAAGTGATTTCATTCATAAAGTCTCAAGTTTCTCGTGACGGTTTTGTGGAATATTTGTATAAAACACGAAATGAGTCGAGGGAACAAACAGGAAAACCATGGTGGCAAATAACAAACTCATATTTTCAATACAGAACAATCAGGGTTGCCCAATGATGTGATTTTCGGGTACTATTATACAAGTACTCTTGTCATATTCAGAGAGCCGGTGGTGAAAAAGCTTTGATCGGTGTCTGATTGGCAACACGACAACATTACACTCATAGCCAATTCCATTAGCAGATGTTATCTTGGAAACAAACCAACATACTTTGATGCAATAGACATGAACTCGAAATACAACCATCATTATGTAGCACGCTAGTACTTTTACAAAGCAGGTCTCTTTTCATCTCAGTCAGGGGGGAGCGTTTCGATCCTCAAAGGGGCCCCGAGTGCCTGATTGTCAAGGTTTAAAAAAAAAAGAAGAATAATACAGTTGCACGAGTTTCTCAGAAAAATAAATAATCCCTTCTCAGCTTCGTTGTGCAAACCACAACGGAGTACAAGAAAAATAAGACGTCAGCTGATAAAAACTGAGGGGTTGCATTCTGTTGTATTTAATGGCATACAGCATATTGTGGCTGTCTGTTTAATCTGCTGTAACAGATGTTAAACTCTATGAAACAATGTGGTTTTGCCACGTAGGAAAGCTCCAGTGACGTGTGACAGTGTTCAGTACCACAGTGCTGTCGTCTGTTCATTCAAACTGCTTTTTGGTCTCTGTCTTGGATATACCTGTGAAACACAAAGAAGGGTTCAGCATTAGAACGTCGTCAAAGGCCACCTTCAAACATTTCAGCTATGACTTGAGCCACATAGCTTTTTGCGTGCACATGTTCACTCCACGTGGACGGTGCAGCAGCAGGCGAGAAAAGGATGCATGCAGGGGAGCGGTGAGAGGTGGGAAGGAACAGAGGGAAGAAGGCGAGAGGGCGGGCAGAATAACGGACCGAGTTGAGCTGCTAGAGCAGCGCCGAGCCGCAGTCAGAGTCTGAATCGTGGCCACGGTGGAGGCAGGGCTCACGGGGACAGATGGATTCCTCAGCCTGCCTGTGCTCTTGGTACTCCTGGCGGAGAGCGTTGACACGCGCCTCACTCAGGGAGCGGCCGTACCGGCAGCGAGCCGGGTTGGAAACAGGCGGGCTGACTGAGGTACGCGGGCCTGGGGACGGCATCGGGGAGAGGAGATGCATGGATGGGCAAGCTCACGATAATCACAGCACAAAGGGCACAGGGGGTGAACACATGCAGCACCATCACAACAAGCGTTACACTCACAAAAGCGTCACACACAACGAGAAAAGGGAAAATAAATGATCACCTTTCCGTTGCTGGTCCTGGAGGCCACCGGCTTGATCACATCTGAGCTGCGACCTGCCTCTCCAAAGACCTTTGTTGGACTGATCAAACCTCATGGCCTCCAGGACCTCCGAGTCCACACACGCATCAGCAGAGTCCCACTCATAACTCTCATCTACTGATGTGTTCCTTCTAATGAGATACACAGAACAAAGGGTCAGGGTTCATCCCGAACAAGAAACAAAAACAACAGAATTCATGTTATTTTGGCAACGGAAATAAATCCCCCCCCCGCCAAGAAGACGCTCCAGCGAGCTTGCGGCCATCTTCCAGGTGTGGTGCCGCTTCACCTTTTCGTCCTCCTTATAGTCAGCTCCATCTCGGCCGTGTGCCGCTCGCTCTCCTCCGTGGTCTCGGGGGAGCTGAGCAGCGTGGGAGTGATGGACAGTGACTGTCGGAAGAGTCCGGCGCTGCCTCGCCCGCTGCTCTGACTGGCGTAACTGGTCCTGCCTCCCTCCCTGGTCTCTGTCTCCCCTCCCCTCCTCATCATCATCATCACCCTGTCAGGCTGTCTGTAACACTCGGCCTCTCTGGGTGGGAACGGGGCGTAGTAAGGTGAGGGCCAGCTGATGCCCCTGGGCAGGTATGTCCTCGGTGGGCCCCTGCCGGGGTCCATGGGTCTCATGCTTTCCCCTCTGGATCCTGGCCAGTGTTGGTACTGGGGGACAGGGAGGGACGAGGGCACGGGGACACATTTATGCGGTGCAGACCGTGGGGTATCTTCGTAAGATGGCGACCACCTGGAGGGCTCTGGGAAAACAGTGGCTTGCCGCCGCAGGTCGGAGGCTTCCAGCATCGGGGACATTGAGGTTCTTCTGGGTGGGTACGCGGAAGGAGTGAGGTAGGAAGGACTTGCTAAAGGTCTTTGTGCGTGGCGAGGCATCTCCATGCTTCCCATGCTGGGGCGTCTGAAGGGGACGTACTCCCTCCAGGAGGGTCCCGGCCTGGGGAGGGAAGGCGGACTTCGACCCAGACTGTTGGACTTCACCCTGACGTCTGGGTGTGGGAACTCGTCCCAGTAACATTTCTCAGAAACGTATGTCCGGGGGCTCTCAAAGTGCTCCCACCTCTGTGAGCCTAGGCTGATGGATTTCTTGAGGAAAGGACGAGGCTGTCCCATACCCGAGAGTGTCCTGCATGGGCCTATGCTTGAGGACTTCTTCAGCAATGGTACAGGTGCAAGACATATTCGGGATGCAATGTTGTTAGTCCTGCTGCCCTGAGAAGCGTGTCTTTGGGGTTGCTCTGGTGCAGACTCACCACTGTCTGCAAAGCTCTGCGGGTGCTTGGACACTATATCTGCCATTCCTCTGGCTGCACTGAGCAAGGTGTGAGCTGACCTGGATCCAGGTGTGTCTGTGCTTTTGTTGCCAACTCGAATTTGTGTTTTCTCATTGTAGAGCTGCTTGCTAGTTTTCTCTGGACCGGGCGACGATGTGGTCGCCTCATCGGGAAATCTTACTCTATGTGAAGAACCTCTAGCTTCCACACGGAGGGGGTGTTTATTAGCAGAATCAAAGCTGGCTTTGGCAGATTGGTGCATGGAGGGTGTTCCCCGGTTGTCCTGCACATGAACTTCCCAGTTCGTTGGTACCACATCAGGCTTTGCCCCGGGGGATTTCTCTTGCTCTAGTTGTGAGCCTTGTCCAGCGGCGTCTGTGACAGCGACGTCTTCCACAGGCTCATCGACGCTCATTTCAATGAAACCAGGAAGGCTCAGGTATTCAAGAATTGCACTAGTCTGCAGAGGGGACATCTGGGGAGATGGAGCTGCAGGCTTAGCCATGAAGGACCCCGACACTCCAGGGACAGACAATTGGGACTGGTCACTATCCACCTCCTCTACAAGTGTCAACGTTGAAACAGGGCTCGGACTATCAGAGAAGAGACATTTGTCACTTCTCCTGGAGCGTGTGCGCACACCCTCTCTCTCTAACTCAGAGTAAAACCCCGAACTCCGTCGGTCATCCCGGGCCTGAGTCTCTTTTTCTTTGGCCCTTGCCCCTACTTCAGGGTGTTCATAGGGCACGGTGGCATAACTGGATGGACTGGGATCTCCTGTGGCTGTGTAGTACTTAGCATTTCTCTCAGGCGGGTTGAATTGTGCAGAGGCTGAACCTTCATCAGGCCTCTCACTCTCAACTGAAGGACCTCTGGCAGCTGGCTGAGTGCCTGCAGAAGCATACGAGTGTCTGGACCTTGAAGCTACACTGCCGTGCTGTGTCTTTTCCCTTAAGCCCTGCTCCGTCATGGACTTCCTGCATCTGTCCGTCTCCCTCAGGGGATTCGGTGACTTGGCTCTATCTGTTGCTTCTAGGCACAGGACAGGGAGACTTTCAGAGGTCATGTGACCAGACAGCATGGGGAGGGAGGTGTTCTGAGTGGCTGGAGAGCGCGAGGAGTCAACGGCAAGAGAGTCCTCTGTGGTGTCCCGACACGGGCGAGCGCGCTGCGGTCTGGTGGATGCGGTGTCCCGGGGGCTCCGTACAGGAATGAGGCTGGTGACTGAGGTAACAGGGCTCAGGTCCCACTGTATGCGAGACGTCGGGAGCCGGTCCATAGGACTGCTGGTGTTCCCAAAGTAGCACGCCCTTCGATAGTCAGATACCCGACTCGTTTGACCCGAGGGCCTGTGTTTCGGTCTTATCGTAACATCGTGTGGCTTCCATACGGGCTCTTCCTTTACCTTGGGTGTGTACCTTCGAGGGCTTTGCGTCTTACTAGACTGTCCCTCCCCCCTCCTGCTACCTCGACTCCATTGACCGGCAGTATAGCTCTCCAGCTCCCTCTCCATTTCTTCCCTCTCTTTTGCCAGTTGGACACACTTGTTAATGCTACCGCCCTCCGGCTCGCTGTGGAGCTGTGACACCAGCGTGCTGTTATTAGTCAGCTGACTCTCCAGAGGCTGGTAGTCTGAATGCTGTCGTCTGTCTCTGTCCAGCTGCTTCGTTCTTCTCCCCAGGCTTGGGAACAGATCCTCAGTGTGGCCTGGCATGCGATATCTCCTCAGAGAATCGCTGGGTTTCTTCTCGCTGTTGTCTGAACAGAAGCTGGCCCTTTCCAGTAGAGCCTCTGAGCCCTGTTCGTCGTCGGAGTAAAAGCAGCCGTGACGGGAGAAGTTTCTGGCCATGGCGCGAACTCGCCCAGGCGAGGAAGGAGGTCGGCTCAGCTCTAGGACGTCCACAGTGAGAGGAGACTCCGTCCTCTTGTCCTTCTCTGAGCTTAAGATCCTCGACTCAGGTGACTCCCTGAATGACGTCCTATTGCTCCCTGAGCCACTCGCCCCGCCGTTACTTTGCAGAACCTCCATTCTTGAGTTTTTCTTATTGGACAGACTGGAGTCCTCTGGCAGGGGTTGGACAGTGAAGCGCCCATCTGGGCCTCTGGAGATGGACTCCAGAGCAGATGGTGAGGCGTCCTGAGAGCCCAGGTGACTCTCAAAGAGTGTGTAATGTGGTGGCGGAGAGGAGTTGGACAGGAGTTGTTTCCGCTGGTCATAGTATTCCCCGCGGCTGCCTTTATCGAAGGACGACCGATCGGACTGGGAGGAGGAGGAGTTGGGGAAGAAGGGAAGCGGCGGACACAGCTTCAGCTTTAGGACACTGTCTGGGCTGCGAGGAGGTGATCGAGTTCTGAGAAAGACATGGACAGGAATTTAGTTTTTGATTAAATTTAAAGTACCGTGGAAATATAACAACAATGTTTGTGCAGTCGTTTTACTTAACACTCAAAATGTCATCAAGTAATATAAATGTAATTTACTTTAGTTATGAAGTTAGACTGCAGGTACACTAGTTGGAGGTAAAAACATTTGAAGTTCTGGTACCTGGGGTGTTGTATGCTGTACAAATTGTAAAGTTTGTGATGTCGGGGATATATAACTAAAACTGACTTGACTACAAATTGCAATTTAAATACAAAGGAAGTAACAAAAAGTGTTTAATGAACTTATGCTCCACTTACTGTGGGGATGAGCTCTTTTGGAGGGCAGGTGGGAGATCTAAGAGAAGTAGAAATGCATGAATTAAGACACAGCACAGTTAAAAAAAACATGACATTGTATTCAACATAAACCTGGAAACCAAAAAACACAAGCAGAGTTGTAACTCAACTTTTTGGATAAAATAAACCATTCATAGCGTTCACCTTGTCTTCTCTTTCTGCGCCGACGCTGCCTCCTTTGACTCATGTAGCACGCTGTCACCAGCGAGAGAACGATGGCCGCGAACAGGAAGCACACTCCTGCTAGCACACCAGCCAACAGGGGCTCAGGGATGAACTCCAAGAAACCCGGGCGCAGGGGGTAAATCTCCATCCCTGTAATCAGTCAATAAAGGTTGTTGCAAGTGGAATGCCAGAACCAAGGCTCAATATGCATGTAATGCCACCATGATGTACGCAAATCTACTTACCGAGGGTGGAAACATTGACAGACTCACTCGGTTCACTAAGAGCTTTGTTGCTACAAGACATCAGCCTCAGATCATAGCTGGAATCCTGATGGAGAGACAGAAGACATAGTAGTATGCCCACTGAGAGTTCAACAATGTCTATTGTAAAAGATGACATCGGTTTGACATAAACCCATCGGCCAAATAGCTGATGAATCGACATGCAACCAGGTTGTAAATGCAAGAAATCCAGAGGCCACACAGACAGATCTTTTAAGTAAAAGATGAAAAATGAACTGATCGGTACCCTAAACAGTCCTTGTACAAGTAGTTCACTCTGATTGGCACTGATGTCGCTGTTGAGGACGACCCATTGGCCTTGATCCCTTCGGCTCTGGAGCACAAAGCCCGTCAGTGGAGAAGATGGAGCCTCTGGAAGCAACCACTGGAGGAAAATACCTCGGTCAGTCCGGTTGGCTGACAGGAATATTGGAGGATCCAGGAATGGGAGAGTGGTGACAGCTGTAGGGGCTTCTGTTGGCACATCTGATAACAAGACCCAATATAAGTGCGAGGTGATGAACACAGAACAGCAGTAGAGAGAGTAAGGGAAACCCCGGACAGAACATGTTCACTTGCACAAACCTTCAGTCCGCACGGAAACAATTTCACTGAAAGGTCCGGAGCCGAGTTTATTCTGAGGCAGGACACTGAACTGATAGCCGGTGCCAGCAAGCAGCCCGGTCACCAGCAGGTAGGTTTTGGATGTTGGCACAGGCAAAGACGCCCATTCGTGTTTCCCTCGAGATGCCTGCTTGACCCTGGGAAAGAGAAGTAAAACACAACATATAAAAACAGAACATGAAACTGTTTGGATTTTTTTTTCGTGCAGTATATTACTGACCAGACAGTGAACTTCTGGGTGTATCCGCCATCAAAGCCGGGCACCCAGGACACATTGGCCTGGTTCATCTCTGTGACGACAGATACTGAGGACACAACATGAGGACTTGTGCCTGAGGAACAGATAAACGATTCTGTAAATTCAAACTGCCGACGACACGAGTGGATACAGATTAAATGTGACAAAATATCAACGCGCGGCTTGGCTGAAATAAGGTCGGTCCACCCACCCAGCACCATGACCACCGTGCCGGCACTGACAGTCGCTACGCGATTCGTGGCCAAGCACTCCCAGCCCCCTTGGTGATCTTTACTGAGCGGCTGCAGCAGCAGGGAGCCGTTAGCCAGCACCGTGTACAGGGAGCGAGGGGAAGGGCCAATCTGTGAAGAAGGCGGGCGGCAGGTTAAAATAAGGCATGAATAAGACGTGCGTATGCACTAAATGTAGTTTCTATACCTTGCTCCAAGTTATGTTCGGAGCAGGGTCTCCGATGGCTTCACAGTGGATGATCAAGTCTCTGCCCACCTCCTGGAGATACTCGGGCCGAGGAAGCACTCGGAATGATGGTGGGTCCTTGAGTAAAGAGAGCGAGTGAGGGAAAGAGAGAGAGTGGTTTTACCTTTACCCATTTGCAACAGTGAAAACTAGTCGATAAGGGCTGAGGGCACCAGCCTCACCTGCAAGATGACCTTGGTTGGCTCGGACTGTCCCATGGTGCCATAACTGTTATAGGCCGTACACGTGTACATGCCTACAGCGTTGTCGTTGGCTGTTGCTATGAAAACAGAGCCCTCGGAGTTCACTATCCAACCCGGGAGCTGGGAAGATCAATGGAGGAAGAAATGAGGCACTTCTTTACGAGGATTTTTTTGCATTTGTGACAAAGTGTATCTGCATCTGTGTCTACGCAGCACACTTTACCTTGTCAAGATTCAAATGGTTCCCATCTTTGGTCCAGTTGACATAAAGCACTGGGGGATCAGCCTGCACCGGGCAGATAATGACCCCCTCCATGCCTGAAGGTAAGTACGTTTCCCGGGACATTCGGCCCACGCGTGCAGGGTCTGTGATGAAAGGAGAGGAGTTAATCGCAAAAAGTAGTTGATCGGGATGTTCTTGTCCAGGGCATTCGGGGTTATAGAAGAGGAATGTGTATTTGGGAACCACACACTCTCACAGCAGGCTAAACCCTTACGTTTAACTTTGAGGTGTGCAGAGGCCGAGGGCGGGGTGAGTAACCCATTTGTTGGGATACAGGTGTAGTTGCCAGCATCCTCGGGAATGAGATTAGGGATAAGAAGTGTTCCATCCACTAAAACCTTCACTCTGGATTTAAGCGACCTGAAGCCAAAAGACAGAACACATGGTGCAATTCAAGAATTGATCACAGTGACAAGAAGACTAATTTCACTATAATGACAATAAGTGGGAATATATCACGATGATCTGATCCATGATCTCATTTGTGTCAAGTTTATACCGTACTCGTGAACTCACAACAAAATGGTATAATTAGTTTAATAATTTACAACTGTTGCCTGAGCATTATGCTTTGGAAAACGTGCCAGATTGATCCAGTTTATATTTAAAAGGCTTCCTTTGAATAGTGCGCCCAGTATTAGGTACCCTGTGCTTAATTATGTCATACTATTTGGATCTTACAGTCAACAGATAAAAAGTATGTAATGCGTCTTGGGTCTCGTAAATACATTATATACTTTAAACACATGTACTCACTCAATATGGTAAACATTCTGTCCTTGTTTCAGCCAATCGTATGAGAGGTTAGAAGGGTAGGCGTCAGCCTGGCACTGCAGAACTGCATCCTGGGACATGTTGAGAGTGGTGTCCTCTGGGGAGATGATGATGATCGGAGGTCCTTTTGACAAGTTGGGAGGAAAACATAAAACACTGTTTGTTAGGAGAGTCTATACAGTCAGCCATGACATAGATTCAAGAGATCGATGGTGTGGAGGCCATCGATGGTGTGAATTAAAGCATCACATCATGGGATGGACTGTAGGTGGCAGTATGGACTCTCATTATTGTCAACCTGTTCACTGGCTTTGTGCGTAGCAGACACAACTTTCTAAGGAAAACAGGGATCAGAAGACAGACCTTTTGACTCAGAAAAGGTATGAAAACACAATTTATGTGTTTATTCATTGAACATGAGATAGGCAGGAATTCTGTCTTTCCCGGATGATTGACAGCTCAACACTGACCTTTGATCTGCAGCTGTGTAGAGTGGGTGAGGTTCCCCTCTGAGTTGGACACGTGACATTTGTACACTCCTGAAATATTTCTTGTGACAGAGGCCATAGACAAGGTACCATTGAGTACCTAAAAAAAGGGCACAGAGGAAGAGGACAGAAGAGGAAAAAGGGAAAGGGTAAATTATGGGGGTCTCACGGAAAAGACAACAAAGCAGCCTGCTCTAAAAGACACATCACAGCTATCACTTCTACAGGAGAAGGCTAATTATGAAGTACTTATTAATTAAAATACAAAAAACACCCTCTGTTAATCCACCTCACTTTTATTTTTTCATGTTTCTCTATTTGGCTCTCATCTTTATGCCAGACAACAGTTGGCCGAGGGTTGCCATGGGCTCCACAGCTGAGAGTCAGCGAGTCTCCGAGCAGAACCTCTACGAAGGTTGGGGGTGTCTTGATAAACACAGGTGGAGCTGGAACGAAGACACCACAGGTTACATATTTCATTTATGTATTCAGTTAGGACATAAGAGATGAACACAAGCACCAACTTGACTTTGGGCACTAAAAGCAGACAAAACAATCAACCATGGCATGTTCTTCAAGGCGGACAACATACTTGATACTTGATAAATGTCTAAAAAGGAAACAAAAATAGTTAAATAGGTGCGGCTTGCTGTGTGGAGATGGATTGTTGGTGGGTATTCTTGGATGTAAAGCGGCTATTTAATATGTTCATCAATGAGATTTATGGATTTTTAACTCCACGGACTATATATACATATATATGAGTTGGAATGAGCCCCTGAAAATTCCTACTAATGTGATGTTTTGAGAACCACAAATGTAAATGACCCTTTTTTGTAAATGTTATTTTGCCCGTGTTATTGACGGGACAATATGGACCTTGCCATCAGGGTCATCTTATTTTTGGCAATGGAATTATCCATGCTAAAATGACATGCACTCATGTAATTGGAAAAATATGCCATCATCTATGTACACGGGTCTGTATTAACATAGACATGCATTCATAGGATCACCGTAATACAATCATATCAAATACCCACCTCACACTTTCAATGGAATTTCAAAGTCTTAAGGGAGAACCAGTATGTTGTGTGTGTGTGTGTGTGTGCATGGTCAAGCATTTTCCCCTCATCTAGTCCACACAAGAGACCCATTTGCTGTACCGATCAATGTTATTCTTAAGAATAACTCCTACGGTGACATCAGCTTAGCGCCGGCTAAGCAATGACAAATATAAGATGTGATCACTGTGTGCACACAGGACGGCCCTGACACGCCGCTAAAACACGTCGGCTTGCCAGCGCCTCCAGAGACTCAGCCAAGCTCCATGCTGTGGCTGTTCTAAACAAGGACACAGCCAGTGATGTACAGTGAAAGGAGCTGCTCCCGAGTCCCCAAAACCCTGCAGCGCTGCACCTGTGATGGAGAGGAAGGTCCATGTGCCGTTTCTGAAGTCGTCTTTTTTGCTGTTCAGGAGCAGAATGCGACATTCAAACCAGCCCTCGTCCTCCTGGGTCAGACGATCCACCAACAGGGAAGCCCCACTGGTCAGAGACACACGACCTGTGAGGGGGAGGTGTGGAAGGGGAGGAGGTGAGGGAGAGAGAGAGAGAAAGAGAGAGAGAGAGGGAGGGTCAGCCTCGCCCACCCACACACACACACGGCCAGACAGGCAGAGTCAGCAGAAGCAGGAAGAGGGTTCACAATGCAGAGGACACAGGCCTCCATGGTGACAAAGGCCACGGTCGCTCAAAGTCTTTATACTGGAGGACAAATCACACAGCGTGTGAACATCAACTGTAGTTCTAATGTTTGTCACACAAACAAGCCACCACATCATCCGATTTATCAAAACCAGGGAGGGGGACCAGGGGGGTGGGAAGTGCACGGCCCTGAAGTGGGAGAGTAAACACACAAATCACTCAAGTGTAATGATTTGCTGTATTACAGATGAAGCTGGTTGTCATTTAGGGTTCGGACGGTGGGGGGCTGCAGTCTTAGGCCGAGTGTGCCAGGAACACTTGAAGGCGGGTTCATCGCATCACAAATGTTTTCTTTCTATTCATTTTTAAGCAGGTTGCTTGTTTTTGTTTACCATTAAGGGACACTGGCCAGAGGTAAACAATGTAGTTCACAACATTGTTTTGTATTGTACATATTATACTTATGTGTGAACACCATGAAACACACACAGATGGATCCTTACACGAGGACACAAACACACATCTCCCAATGACACACACACACACAAACAAACGCACACACACACACACACCCCTTCTCGTCCCCTCTGCACTTCTTACAACTCCTTGTCATGCTTTGAAACTTGATCTGCTGGTTGCCTGGTGACTGCAGTCTGGTTTTCAGGGTACTGAAGTTACCCGTCCACACCCAACCCCCCTCTTCCTTTTATTCCATCTCTCAATGAACTCTTTTTTTCCCCTTCAATCTCAGAGCTTTAAACGACAGTAGGATGTGTGCAGGGGGGGGGAAACACATACGTTGTCAGCCCCGGCCAAAACCATTTGAAAGAATACGGGAATGTGGAGGAGTCTCCGGCATCTCGCCTTATTTGTTTTGCAGCGAACAGGTCGCCTGAATCTTGAATGATGTAGGAAATGTCTGACACGTCCAATCTGTGCAAAGTAATGAACTAAAACAAATATATAGATCCACGTCCTTTTGATTTTTTGATTCTCCCCCAGTGGATATATTGTCTATAAACTCAGAACTCTTGAATGTCCAGCAACCCTGAAGCAACAATATCACAAGAAACACAATATCCGCACCATTCACACCACTTTCCCTCCACACAGCAGCGTCTGGCGGAGAGCCTGAAAGCTATAAAATTCATTCAACTCCTATTCGTGGCCTTCAGAAAGGGTGAAACACACACTGAGAGTAAAGGCGGCCTAACGGCTAACAATTAACCCTGCATTCCTCAGCCGTTGTTGTGCTTAATAGTTAGGTTTAATGTTTGACTGACCTCATAAAAGATGGGCAGCGCTCACTTAAACGGCGCCGTAAAATGAGCGGCTCTGTCAAACAACTGGGCGCGGCGCGCAGAGAGGAAATGTGCAGGTAGATGATAACAGGTGTGCGGATAATTTTAGGTATTTTCCTTTGATTCCTCCACGAGGGATCCTCCCTGCTTTGCCCATTTCCTACACAAACTTTTCCAGTTGGACACAGAATTGACTCGGGAGGAAAAACACTTTCACGTGCAAAATCTCCTGAACGCTGTTTAACACGCGCGTCTTTGTGCGGCGATATGTTACGGGATACTCAGGGATCACTGTGGCTAATCGCACCCCTTGTCGTACTTTGTAACATGGCTGAAACGCAGCCTATGGAAATCCCTCTGACCTACTGAACTGATCGGGCGGGTTCAGAAGCACGTGGGTGTGTAGTACATGTTGATTTTCAAAATTCTGTGAGCGCCCTGCCCACTGGATCTCCAGCCGTCGAACACTTAACCCTTTTTCCGTAGCCTCCCTCTAGTCTGTCACTACAAAGAGACGGCAGCACCCCCCACCCATTCCTCATTCTCTCAGGTTACCATAGCGACGAGACCATGAAAAGCCCGGGCTGTAGGTTTAGGTTTGAATTCAGTTGCTGTAGAAACACAGCCGGACCAAACGTGGGTAGGGGGGGGTCGATCATGCAGGCGGGAGGGGGGCAGAGATTTCAAAAATTGGGAGAAAAAACACGTTTAGATTTAGAAAGAAACCATCTTGTGTCACATCCAGCGGCACAAGAGGTACACAAGAGAAAGAGGGGTATATGAATGAGGCAGAAAAAAAGGAGTATTTCCTTTCGGCCTGTGGACGGACAAAAGGCCGACGCTGTGTGACAAATGTTGCTTTATTTAGATTTAAATGTTGCATCTTTGGACTTGAACGGAGATCTCAAATGGCGCTCAGCAGGGGCTCAGTTAGAAAAAAAGGGTTGTTTTTCTCTGCGACGGCCCGATGCACAGAGACAACGGCAATATGCTGCGATAACAACGACACAAAAGATGAGAGACAATCAGCCACATCAGTAAGAACCCGACCTGCTTTTCAGTCCAAGAGGAATCGAACGAGAGGTTACAGAGAGGTTACTCGTATTGTGCGCATCAATAACCCACCGACAGCCTATGAGAGGTTGATCTTTCTGACCTTTGTGCTCCGTAACTCCCCACCAGACACATCCATCACGCCCCCTGGCTCTAGGGTCGCACAATGTCCACAAGTCCTCCTCAGGAGACACTGATCATTAAACAGGATGGTTGAAACAATAGCTGCTGCTCCTTTCGGTTGTCCCCCTGCCCCCCTCTCTTCTCCTCCGGCAGCTATCACATGACAGCTCCGGTCTACCTTAAAATGAGCCCTTGTTTCCAACAGGTCGAGGTTCAGCGAAGTTGAAGCATAGAAAAATTGAAACATTAATCCAGCCGTGCAAACTCCTGAAGGCTCCCCGTCTTCATATCAGCGGGAGACCGGTTCAAATTACGCAGCTTTCAGACTCGTGCCGCTGGCCAGGAGTCGGCCTTCGCTTCGCGGTCTCTGATTTCCTATTCTTTCTTCTTTTTTTTTTTGGAGTCAAGATTGATGAGGTGAAATGAAACCACTGAAATGGAACGGGGCTGAGGAGACATCGCCACATACATTTTATCCACAGAACTCTGGCTCGTTTCAGCTACATTTAAGATTTACAACATTCTTTTTGCATGTATATTGTATTTACTTGGTTATGTGTCACAACTTAAAACTCCAGGACACGAGTTGTATTGTATTGAAACCTACATGAGATTTTGGGTGTTGGGGATTCACACGGGTACTTCCTGACATTGTAATACACGGCACATAGTGAATTACATGCGATACAATCGCCGGGGGCACTACGGAGGAAGACGGATTACTCTGTTTGGAGAGGCATCATCACTGCTTTTTCTTTGTCCATCCGTATGTGCATTAGAGAGCCGAGCAGAGGTGCATTGTGGGTTGTGTTTTGATTTGAATACAATCATAAGTCTGGGACCGGCCCCCTGCCCCTGACAGCACACCCTTCCCACTCCCCCAAATTTCTCTCTTCAATCCTCCCGTCTCCCTAATCAGTTTAACCCTCTTATGAATAGCTCTTTGTCGTGAGCTAGATTACAGTTAACTCTGTCCCTCTCGCTGCGTCCAGCCTCGTTCAAAGCACACACACGGCTCATGTGGCAAACGTCGCTGCAGCAGCCGCTCAACCTGCCACAGACACGAGCACCTCTTGGACACAATGGGGGAGCAGAGTATTATGAAATATGGAATTCGGTGCACGAGAAGATCACAAGATGTGTTTGAACTGTTTTTTTTGGGTGCTTGACTTGAGCTTCGTTTTCCAGTCAGTGAGAGATGACTGAGGTTAACAATCACTAGTTGCTTAAAATGTTCTTTAGTTATTAAGTTGAACATCGTCTAAAATGCTAAAATGCTTAAGACTCAGTGGAGAACAGGGTCGTCCTTCAGAGGTTTGATCGGAGTGGCCGGCTAGTATCAGAGGCTGATTTTTCCATGAGCAGGAAACGTAACCCCAAAATCGCTCCCGTTGCTGTGAATGTTGGCTACTGATGAGCAGGTGGAACTGTGAACGGTGTCTCCTGTCATCAGGGTGTGAACGGCTGAATGATGACGTGCAGCATTAAGTTCAGTTTACTATTTAGTCTCAGAAAGGAACCCTCATTATTAGTCATACAGTGCAAAATGTTGGGTGGGTTATTACCTTTTTGAAGTCATCTTACAGTAGTAGATATATTGATAGAAAGAAGAGACACTTGGTCAGCATTGATTGCACAGCACCGACTCTTGAGCTTCCGTACTGGCCTGCTTCTTTGAAACGGAGAAAAATTCCACAGCTGCAGCAGTCTGTTCTTTTTTCATTGTGTTGTTGTTTGCCAAACATCACCCCGAGCTGGTGATAGCGGAAAGACTGGTTGGTGACAGATGAAAATGATCTGTTTCACCTTTCAGTTCAGCAAATCTGGCCAAGAGTTGCAGGTTTGCAAAGATATTAGGTTTTCTGGTTTTGTGTGTGTGTGTATGTGCATCTGTAAATGCAGGTGTGTGTGTAGAGGTGAAGTGCGGGCTTTAACCTCTGCATTGATCAGAGGTCACGCTGAGAGCGTAATGAAGGCCTGCTGAGATCTGGGGGTTCACCCATTGTCGTTCTAACCTCAGGCGGGACTTCCCTGCTCACCGTCTCTGCTGATTTACTTCAGCACACAGGAGACATTTGATCTCACCCGGCAACGGTAAAGCATCCTGACACTGCAGGCCCAGAACGTATTGTCTCCACTAATTAAACTCAAACGGACCATAATAATGTGTCTGAAAGCGTTTATCCGGCTGTTTCCTCTTTGTAGTGAGTTGACTGATGTTCAGGCCTGCAGGGCGAGCGGGGTGTGAGAGACCCTTCTGATTCAAAGACAAGTGAGGCTCTCAGAGACCTGGATGCGCTGTTGGCTGTAAGAGGTTGAAGGAAGGACACTGCTTGGTGGACGTGACCCTTCTCGAACACCGTGGAATCTAAAATACACCTGATATCCTATCGAAAAATGTTTGTTTAATGGATTGAAATATTTATTTAAGATATCACTTGCCTTGATTCTTTCTTCTCAGTATCTAAAAATGGCTCATCGCATCAGTGAGCTTGAGATAAAGTAAACAGACCAAGGACAGACAGCCTTTGGGAATGCTTTTTATGTTTTATTTTAGTCTCCTTTATTGCTCGGCATTTGCAGTGCAATAAGTCTACCAAAGCAAGGACGGGAAAGCTCTTATATTTAGTAATGAAAATTGAAGTCTGACACCTTACTTAGCTATATTGGAAGCAGCCATCATGTTGTAAATCCCTCCACGGCTCTGAACAACGGTACATGCCTCATCGCTATCCTCTTCTTCAACACCTCAGAGAACAGGAAAGGTTTTCTACTTGACTGTCTTTAGGTTAAATCAGAAATCCCCAAACATTTTAATTTGAGGGTTGAATACATTAGAGACGCGGCGCTGACACGCTTCACATGCTGCCATCTGCCTCCAGTGGGAGGGGAGATACGAGGATCTGAGGCAGACAGGGTAAAGCCCACACCAGACAAGTACACACAAGGAGCAGATTATTAGGACTCCCCAAACCGTCTTCTACTCCGAGTTACATCTCTGAAATGGTGTTTACTTCATTATGGCCGCATGTGCATCACATGACTGCCCCTGAACAACGACATGGTTAACATGCCAATCATATGTAGCTTGACTGCTCGGCAGCGGTAGCCTGTTTTTGGTACAGTCCCTGCAGACGTTGAATGCGCTTAGGACAAACGCGGAGGGCTTTTAGCGAGGTTTTCTGTACATTTCAGTGACCTAGTTGGAACAGCATGGGATTTGGGGTGTCCTAGTATTCCACTTGGCTTTGGCAAAGCAAGGGGAGGTTGTGATACCCCTCTGTGTCTTTTGTCCCGTGTTAGAACAATGAAAGGATTATAGGGCTCCAGCAAGAAAACTCCCATTATTCCCAATGCTTCATCCATCCTCCTTCCAGCACAACAATCTCCCCTTAGTGGGTCACCCCTCAGCATACTAATAAAACACTGACATCAGACCACCAAGCCCCCACCTACACTCCTAATCCCCCTCATACACGCCGTTACTGGTACCCCCCTTCTTCTTGCTCAGCTACCCCACCCCCCTTTAACTGCCTCCACTAAAACACATCCATTCTTGCCTTTCCCCTTGCAACCGCGACTGCAGTCTGGACACACACAGACTGAACGCCGGCAGTAATTACAGGGGTTAGGGTTTAGATGGATTACCTATTTGGAGTTTTGTTTCATTCAAACTTCCCCTCCCCAAGTCTTCATAAATACCAATGCAATCCAAACCACCGTATGCCGAACTTTGCCCACACAGGAGTGTTAGTTGAGGTCCAAGAGAAATGTTGTCACATGGACACACTAAAATCCTAAGAACCAGAATTATAGAAATCTGTCAATTGGTGGCCGGTCCCACGAATCTTTTCAGAAACAAACTACTACAATGACAGCTCCAGAGACAGCTTGTCCTCCTGCTACTGAGACGCACATGATCAGGGTCTTTGTGCAGCCAAATTGCTGAAATCTCTGGAAAAAGAAAGATCCTTCAGGTCTTTTTCAAAGGACTGCCGTTAAAGATACAACACGTGTTCATCTTGTGTTTTCTAAAAGGAGTCTGTAATTGAACACGTCGGAGTAACTCTTACCCTTGTAGTTTGGATGAACGCGAGGAGCATACACCCCAAATTTGATGAGGATGGGAACGTTGTAGCCGAGGCGCACCCACTCCACTACATGCAGAGGGAAGAGGTTTGGGGTGGTGCCTTCTTTGGATGGCGGATTGAGATCGCAGCTTAGTTCTGCGGAGCCCCCCTCTCTGGCACGAACCAACGAGGCCACACATTGAGACACACCTGTAAAAGCAACAGCACATCGCCAGGATAAAGCATGAGATTCAGATAGCACAGAATTCAATGACCCCCCCCCCCCAAAAAAAACACAGCACATAAATTGCGCTCCACACAAGAAATATGGCCCTTTTATAGAGAGTTATGGCTTCAGGAATGGCCGGATTAACCTCTCTGGAATTTTTTGAGTCATTGATTCCCACAAAATGCTTTCGCTACGGTTAAAACGGCTCATAAAAGTATTGGGGCGCTATTTGGCAAAGTGGAGAGCGCGGGGCAACACCGGGGAGAAAGAGCCAGGACCCAGAAAAGTATTCCTCGCATAAACCTGGGTCAGGGAGGAGGTGGAAAACAACAGAGTGCCATTTGGTGACAAGATCATATATCTGCAAAGCCGGCAAACACACGGCAATCCCATTAGTGACACCTGGACCAATGTCCGCTCTCCTCCCTCTCCCTCGCCGCCATGTGCTGACGCGGGTTTGTGTGTGTGTGCGCAACTGGGTGCCAGTGTTTGCTCTGCTTCTCATCTGGCCTGGTGATTGCTTTAATCTCAGAAGGGGGTTGGTGTGGCCCTCACTCTGATGCGGGGCAGCAGGACCCTCCGTGCTGTCAGCAGCCGACCTCCCACAACCCCCTGGGGTTCACACATGGCCTGCGGACCAGCACAATCAATCCCCCCCCCCACAAAAAAAACATGCACACATAGAGAAGCGTGCCTCGGGTTGGGGGTTGCATAAATCCCAGATTGATCTAAATCCACACCCAGATATTATTTAAGTTGGATTTTGGCCCCATTCTCTCCACTCACGCATGTTCCGACGATGTAGCCCCTCCTCCTTACTTTCTCCAATCTAAGGCAATGGGAGCCGAGCCAGTTTCGTTGTGGTGTCACTCAAACCGATGGCAGCTAAGCGGCAACATATTTGTTTTGCGGCGCTCTACCACACACGGGCCATACGGTAAATAAGGGATGTTTGGTGAAGCTAAGTTAACAAACTGGAAGGAGACCCTATTATGTGTATAAACACATGATAGAAAATACTGGATGAATGACAATAGATCACCATTCAATATAACTTTATACAATTTGTAAAACATGTTTTGCACACATCAAATGTTTATGTCAAAGTTAACTTAATTAAACAAATAATTTGAGTGAATTAGATCTCTATTCTCTTTTAGTTGTCATCATCCACCAATAAAACAGTATCCAGCAAAAACTCAACAATCTAACATGCAAGGTCAAAAGTGGCAACACATTTATAAGTCCTGCAATAATGCTGCCTTAATTTGAGGAATGGGTTTCACATCTTCAAAGACTGAAGATATTCAGAAAAACAGAATTGACATCATGTTACGTAATTCCGTTTCTATTGCTGTTTTGTGTTTTGTTAGTCCAGCTGCTTAAGATGACTCCCAACAATTGTGATTCAACAAATTGTATTTAACGTTGGGAAAGTTTGGATCAATTGTGTGAATGATCAATTTACCCATTTACGGATTTTTTTTAAGTAGTGTTACCAGTGTTGACTGAGAAACGTTTGTAACCATTTGAGAGAAACTCCAAACAAGGAGAGATGAATTATGGAAATGTATTGCATGCATTAGCATACGTACTTAGCAGACAGATGGCTACAGCAGTCGTGACAGCCGGGAGCCACCGTCTCTCCAGTCCCATGGCCGTCCGTCACACTGCTTCACACATCTCCCGACCTGAAAGAGAAGACCACACATCTCGTTCACTCTTCAACTCTACAACGACGTCCCTCACATCCGCCCTCAGAGAAATGTAATCCCTCCGGTTAACGTTGACTCACAACCCAACCACTACGCCCCGTGACAGATGCTTCTCGCGGCTATTTAAACTGTATTATTTGAAAACAATTACTCCTCTGCAAAATTGCATGTCTGAGCTTTGGTTGGACGAAGGAAAATAGGCTATTTCAACAAATGTCTGCATTGTCCAAAGTGTCTGTGTGCGTGTCATTCCGCAGAGGACATATGGCTCTACTGCAGGTGTATACACAGATTAACCTGATGCTTGTGATTGGTTCAGCTCATCCGGGCGGTCTTGTCTCACGGAAAATAGGCCAACAGCAACTGACAGGTGACACAAGCAATATTGAGAGATGCGTCTTTCCTCAACTCCAGAGGTTCTTCTTAACATTACTGCTTAAAAATAGGGCGATTAAATTGAACTGAATTCGAGGCTCCATTTGAGTGCGGCACGTGTCGAGCGCCCTGCCCGGTAGACTCACAGTTCAACGGCTCGTGTGAACAAACCAGCGCGATTCACTGACTTATATTTTCTAGTGAGCCCCACAAACAACACTCCACTTAACCAAATTGTGAGTCTACAGTACTTCACGGCCGGGAAGATGAGAACAGCTGCAGCAGCCCTGTGAGGCCCTCCACTTTAAGTTGGATTGGAGGCACAAGTTTAAATTGTTGCCCTTCAGACATAATGAAGGACCTTGCCCCCGCCATTTAAGTCGATCCACTCAGTACCCCTAATGCCGGCTCATTACTTTAGAGTTCATTTAAGGTATACAAGAAGGGAGGCATTCATAGAAAGAAAGCAGGTGTTGCTATCAGACCACAGATGCACTGTAGAAACGCAGCATCACTGGACAACATGACGGACGTGTTTTGACTCTTAGCAGTTACGCTTGCACTCGAGTCAACAAAGAATCCCAGAATAGAGCAGCACTTGACCGATACGGGGTTGAGGCCGTTGTCGGTGGAGCCGGCCACGAAGCTCTGTGATAAGTTTTGTTTTAAGATCTTTCTAAAATAAAGCAGAGGACAAACAAATGCTGCAAAGGCCCCGAAGAGAAGTGGGACAAAAAGCCATTCGAGTGGGGTTGGCTTTACAGTAAAAGCCGCGAATAAAAGGCTGAGGTTGGTAGTTTTAGCGCGACAGAATGCTTGTTAATAAGGAAAGGATTACTCCTACTGTGCAAATGCTATTCGCTCAGTGGGGGTGACAGAATAAGCAGGACTCTTAGTTTGGATTAAAAAAAGAAAATAAATCGTTACTGTGTAATCATTTAAGAGTCACCTGCAGCTAAAGAAATCCTGGAAATAATCGCACATCAATGCATCATCTCGACTGTCATCTTTACAGTCATTTTAACGACATGGAAGCCTAAGAAATGAGCTAATGTTATCGTACTTCTTGCTTCTTGCTCATTTCCAGGCCGCGAGAAACTTTTGACGACCTCAAGAATGACTAATCTCGTCTTTGATCCCGTCGGCTCTGCTGCGCCTCCACACCAGGATATATGACGGCCCCGCCCACCCTGAGCCAATATATTAGAGGGGAAGGCCTGAGGGCAGCTTCGTCTGCAGGTGCTGGAAAGGACAGAAGACAACCAGCGTATTTCCTCAGGCAGCACAGCAGAGCAAGGGGGCATTTAATCGACAAGGTACACAGAGAAAGCCTCAGAAAAGAGCCTGCATATTTAAACCAGGTCAAGGGGTCAAAAACAGGGAAACAGAAGGAGTTTTGTCAATTGATTGTATCTGACTGCAATGTGAGACACATGCATACATAAGCATCTTACGAAAGGTACAATGATGTACACATCTCCTCTTCCACTAGGTGAGAGGGGTTTACTCCTGGACACTAATCTCCTCGCAAGGGTATCTGAAGGACAGTTGACATAATTAGCAACATCTTTGCGATTCTCACACAAGACTGAAGGCGTCATATATATATATATGACGCCATATATATATATACTTTATTGAAATGAAGTCGGGCAAGTGGGGCAGTCATTCAGCAGTGAAACAGATCCAGCCAGAGGGATATTTGACACTGAAACAACAGGATTTTTGGGACGTTGAGGTAAAAACTGATGAAACAATCAAGCTCATCACCCCTCAATTTAGTTTGCATAACACACGTGTGGACACAGTTGACCGTTTCCCTGGATTCCATTGACACAAATTGCTTTAGATCTAGTCATGACTTAACCTTCTGGGCTGTTCATTTGGAAACACCCACACTAATCCCGCCCTGCTGCTCAGAGTGTTAATAGTGTAATTGAATTAGAGATCACATTGGTGAGACAAACCAAGGCCAATCTTGTCATCTGGCTGTGAAGAGATCAATCACTGGTGAACCACAAGTCACTGTCCTCTCCAGAATGTTCTGCCCGCTTGGAGCCGGCAGGTTGTACACTAGAACTACAACTACAGTCGAGAAAGGGCAACGTATCGTCCCTCCTCTCGAACAGATCATCAGACACCTCAATTGTAGATGCTACTCCTCCCATCTCCACTGGCAAGCAATGACTCAATAAATGCAGACTTACACCACCAATTGGACAATGTGGCAACACCCTCTTCACTTAATAATTAGCAAAAAAGTGTATCAAGAATGCAGATTTTGATGGATGGATATGCCGGCTGGTAAATCCTATCTCTCCACATATCCTCTGAATCGCAATAGAACTAACCATGCAAACACAACAACAAATACCTTCTACTTTTGACCTATTACGTGTGAGACCATGCGTGTTCTCCCTCAGTACCTGAGCAGAACTATCAGTGGCGTTAGCGACAGATAGAGGCCTGATAAGAAGTAGCATTACTCTTTTCGTAATCCTTGTTAATCCTGACTGAGGACGTAGCCTCAGCACAAAAAAAGCCTGTAGCAACTTAGCAAGAAAAAACGATCCCCTGCCAGCGGGGAGCCGAACCATCTCACACAGAGGTAGAAATGTCGGGCAACCGGTCACAGCAACGACAAAGGATCCGCACAAATAGTGCATGTCCCGGTTATTTACACAAGACTGGGCTGTGTGCCACCAATCCAGCCTTGACTGGTCGCACCAGTCAATACAACGCAGCGATCAATTCATGGATGTTGTCCCTGGCACGGCAACCCAATTTAGTTATCTGTATTGACATGTGTTCTTACTAGAGGAAATGAGCTGGGCGCACCCTGGGTACGCGAGAGGAGCCCGGGTCGCGTGATTGGGAAAGCCTGTGTTGTATATGGATTAACGTAGCTTGTGACCCAACGCATAGTGCTACTGCACAGTATCCCTTCACATCCTTTACAAACGACAGCTGATTGAACGCTGGACGTTTACTCACGCACAGAAACGTGAATATTTTGGCCATTACAATACAACACGTCTTCAGTGATGGTGCAATACTGAAAGTGACGTTAATAAATAACAAATAAGCTCACACAGACTGATTTTATACAGCTCACTGGTCTCACGGGAGTGAGGAATGACAGAAGTCTAATGAAGTCTAATGAGAGCAGAGCAGCTAATATACTTCCTTTACGTCGTGACTTTTTGCCCATTCCAGCCCCCGACCCGCAGGAACCGGCCAGTCCCACGAAGCGTCTTTAAAGGCACGGAAGTGAGAGCAACTGAGGGTCAAAAGCCAAAAGTAACAACACCAAGACCTAAAGTCTACCGTTGAAGCATGGCACGGGATTCAATTCATAACTGTAAGATTAGGGAGGTTTCCAAAACAAGCCTTGAATATCTAATCTCACTGATAGCGTTCTCATTTGTTTTGTGAGGGACCATTTCTACTGCCCGGATGTGAACAGCTATTTCAGACAAGTCAACACTCATGAGACGTAAAACATACAACGGGGACCATCATGGTCCTTTGTAAGGCCCTTTCTTTAATATTCTATGTGGATTATGTTTCTTGTTTGGTAAAGCACAAGATTGAACATACAGTAGTGACAAACAGACTTGTGTTAACCATAATTAATACAGCAATTTGTGACTATCTTCCACTTTTGCAATAAAATTGTCCAGCATGACACTACGCACGCAGTGTTTTGAATAGTAAAAAGGCACTAGTGATATAGTGAGTGAATATCAAGGCATGCTACATATGAAAGTATTGCACTGTAAAATGACCCCTTAGTTGGTGTCTGTCTGGATGATATGCTTAACATTTCAAGGATGCTGATGGAAGAATGCAAAATGGCTCTGGGAACGTACGGTAGCTGGAGATTTCGAGTTTGCCATTAGGACTACTACTGTAAGTACATATTCTTATCCGGTATACGCTTTGGTAAAGTTTATTTTAAAATATATATAAGCGTTAAAAGCAACTGAAAACAAATCCATCATCCAGTGATGTGTGCCTGTGTGCGCCTCATGCCTCACCAACCACCAACAAGCACAACAACAACAAAAGGAAGGGAAACAGTAGAGCGGGGAGCATCCATCGGGGAGAAATGCACAACACGATCGCACTACGGCTAAAAAAAACTCTAAAATAATGTTCTGCTCTCCAAAGTGTGCAGCAGCAGGATAATAAGACACCAAGCATCAAGCACTCTTTATGTCTGCACTTCTACAGGGATGTTCAGTCCTTCATGTCACCATGCCGACCTCCTGTAAAACAGAACAGGTGCCTCTTTTGTCTGAATGGTGAATATTATACAAGCTGAGGGGAGCGATGAATAAAAACATTGAAGAAAAAAACAAAACACACACACACACTATTCTGACAGATTATTGTTCTCTGTATCTTGATCCTGGGAGTCAGAACAGAGTTTCTCTTTGGGTCATTACAGTGCGCTAAACCTATTCACTGGTATTATAGAAGAAAGGAAAAAAAACACTCCCTCAGGGATTACAAGTGGCGCATGTGATATACGAAACATAAACACAGGCGGAATGTCCCACTGTTTCCATTTAGCATGGAAGTTAAGCTAATGTCATAGAAAACACTGTATGCCTGTAAGGATGCTTCAGCTCCCTCAGCAGGCTCCTTACCTTGCCTGGGGCACTTTGTCACTTAAAGCTGAAAAGGGAATCTTTCAATCCATTGATGCTTTTATTCAAACCTCGTATTGCAGGCCAAATTCAGCAGTCCATTCCTTATCGCTTTGGATTCAAGGCGGTTTAAAAAACCTGACTTTTAAAATAAAAAGAAGAACAAGTCTTGGATAAAAAGCAGGTGGTCACATTTCTTTTTCTCAAATCGTTGGAGTGGATCAAAATGAATTAAAATCCTCGCCGTTGATTATTATCCGACTTCCTAAAAGAATACTTTTAATAAAATCCATTAACCCAGGAAACCTTCAACAGTCCAACATCCAGCCCATTTAAAGTCCTTTTGAACTTTTCCACGCTTTTATGTCCGCATTCGTCTTTGTCCACACTTGCTGGAAGTACTTTTAATTATTAATTAGAGGTTATAATTAACTTTACAAATATGGTAATGGTCCTCGGTCGATGCAACGCTAATCCACAACCAAGTTTCATCCGAAAGGGACACACACTGCACGTTTAGTGAGAGCGCTGCTGTTGTTACTCTCGCCGTGACTCTCCTCCCATTATTATAATTCCCCCCTCCTACTATTCGGTAAACAATCACTACACTTCCTGTTACAGCTTTCAAAATAAAATCCCCCCTGACTGACGAGGTGGATTGAGCATACTGTTAAAGGCGTTACAATTATAATTCAATGAAACGATAACATTAAGCAGGTCCAGTAATCAAGTTTCAGACTTGACAAGCATTAAGTGTCTCTTGTCTAATGAAGTGTGAGAATTTGAAGTTTAAGATCATCATCATCATCATCCATCCATTGTCAGACCGCTTATCCTGCACACAGGGTCGCGGGGGGGCTGGAGTCCATCCCAGCCAACTTCGGGCGATAGACAGGGTACACCCTGGATTGGTCGCCAGCCAATCGCAGGGCAACACAGAGACACACAACCATGCACACTCACATTCACACAACTACGGGCAATTTAAAGTCCCCAATTAACCTGATCCCCAGAGCATGTCTTTGGACTGTGGGAGGAAGCCGGAGAACCCGGAGAGAACCCGCGCAGACACGGGGAGAACATGCAGACTCCACACAGAAAGGCCACTGGGCGGAATCGAACCCAAGACCTTCTTGCTGTGAGGCGACAGTGCTAACCACCACGCCACCGTGCCGCCCTAGTTTAAGATCATTCTATATTGAATACCTGGATCTTCACATAGAAAAAAAAGATCCTTGATGCAAAGATGTGACATTAGGTGCGAAATTGTGATTCACCATTTATAGACATTTTAGATAATTGTGAAAATAGCCAACATATTAATCAATAAAACCCCTTTTAAAGAAGAAGGTATTCAGAAATTTGGCTGTAAGAAATTGATTGTCAACTAAATCCAACAATTAAAGTCATTGAAGGTATTTGCAACCCGAGTCTTAAATGAAAGTATTCGGTATGAACTAAAGCCAAACGCTTTTATTCTGAAGTTGCAATAAGTAACATCCGTTAGTTTGCCGCCTGTCTGCGTGAGCTTGACGCTGCTGGTACTTAAGCGCCTCAGACAAAAGGAGAAGAGCGCGTTTTCGTGGGAAAGACTTGGGGAGGGCAACAAAAGGCGAAACACGCTTCCAGTAACGTGAAAGAAAACATTTAACGTACAGCATCTAGCGTCATGGTGATAGAATCATGTGGTGTTAAAGATACATACAAATGTCCAGTTCAAGTAGCGTGGTGTGAGATGGAGAACAGGTGTGATACATTTAAAATGTAATTTCAAATAAAAGGCTTATGGTTTTACCACACCGTACCTCCTTACAACGTTCCCCGAAGGACCAACTTCAGTGAGGGTAATAAATATACTGAGTTAACTAGCTAGTCATAACTCTAATATTGACTTGTATACGTGCAATGACCACCTACCACAACTGACTTAAGTCCATACCGAACTGAAGAAGCCTTATAACGTCCATTTTCTCTCGTAATATTTGAGTATACATTGTCTTAATGAAAACATGCTTACGAATGCAATGTGTTAATATTTGTACCCAACGTTACCTAAACAGCCCTCAATGATGGCACATAACTCACTGCTTTTCAAATTCGAGCTAAGCTACAGCTAACGCTAGTAACTTAAGTTACGTTGGCTAACGGACCGAGCTAACGTTACATTCTCCTCAGAAACCTTAACTCGGCTCACTATTATGACCAGACACATGTCAGATAATTTACCGCCCACGTTATTTTGTTAACTGCGATATTATTTTATTATTTAGTTTGGCGGTTATGCTAACTTTAAGTTAGTTTTTACAATGGTTTTACAATAGAAGTGACTTCTTGTGACGTATGAGGCCACATGTTGTAAAGGGGTGAGCTAACCTTCTTTCTTTCCTTTTAGTATTTCGTTCAATCTACCTCAACATTTGAATTCATTTAGTAACGTATTACTATTCTGTTATTTAACCTTACCACAAAACGGGTGATGTCCTCGTTATTTGAGAAGGAGGTTTTTCTTACTCATTTATCACATATGAGCTATAGTGAGGTGGCATATCGGGTTATTGGGACATCAGGGACACGTTTCTCTTCCTACAGTTTAAATTAGCCAATCAAATGCTGGACATGATGACTCCCACGTGGACACACAAAATACTAATGTACAAGCCATAGTGCTTATCATCGCTTATTCTATGACATTATACTGCCCCCTGTTGGCTTGTATAGTAATAGTGAATTTAATTCAAATTTCCCTGCAAACTACCTTCATGTTGAAATTGATAAGCTAATTTAGCAAATTAGAGGAGAAAATTTGTTCCGTTCAAGGTTGGAAAAATTGTCAAGTTTTATAGTTACTTGTTGGACCTGTTTAATCCCAATATCCAAGTGCACCATATGGAGATCAGAGGATTGACATTAATCACATGAAATCCTTCCAAGGAAGAAGTACTCACTTAGTTACCAGGAATAAAACCGAGGGTAAGCAAAAACTATTATTTGGAATATTGATCAGTGTTTACAAATCAGAACGGCCCCCTGAAATATCTGTTATCCGCCAGACGAGATATACAAAGAAGTTGCAGGTGAATCACTCAGCATATAGCCTGAAATCTTTGAATACTTTCATCTTAATTGTCCTGTAAATGAATTAATTACAAAGCAGTTTTGAGATTTCTCTATCATTGAACACATCACCTCGAATTAACAATCCCTCACGGACTACTTAATTTCGTTATGGAAATATCGTGCTCACATATAGATTCTAGGCTAGAATTATCCGTCCTGTCCGCGTGCCAAAAATAGCTATATGGATGAATTTCTTTACACAATGCATAACGAGATAATATGTGTCCTATTGTAGAATAAATCAGTTTAAAATTACGGTTTCAAGCTAAATATGATCTAAAGGATACAAATAACAAACAAATACCCATTAAATTAATTTTTTATTAATTTAAAAAGCTAACAAAAGAAATATACAAATCAAACTATGTATGATAATGATTTGGCTTCATTACAGCAAGCTGGCACCAACTTCCTCACCCCATAAAATGATCACGGTACAGATGAGGAGAATGCACAGAATCTATTCATGCTTATTTTACTCCGGAAAGGTCAGTGCCTATAATTTAGCACGCAGAACATTAGCAGTATATACACGAGTACAAGGAGACTGTGGCTGAAGCTGTGGAGTCTATCAGTCATCAAAGTCTGGGATATCATCATAGGAGTAGCCCCGGTAGCCCTTTGATGCATAGTAAGCTATTCGTAGGTGGTAAAATCCGGGGAGGAAGACGAGGATCCCAATGATGAGGACCGGCACAGTTCGGTCCGAGTGCTGAAAGAGATTAAAAATCATTTAAATTACATCAAATTATCATTAATATTGTAAAAACGTGGTGCGGCACACTCACAGTTACTCCAAAGTATCCAGCCAGGAGGAGGGAGCCGATGATGATTAACAGAGAGCCGATTAGGAAGAGGACGGTGGCTAGTGCTATGGCCTTGTATGGGACTTTTGGTGGGCTTCTTTTGAACTGCGGAGGAGGTGAAATATTCATTAAAAACACTTTTTTCCAACCCAGCATGCGTTCTGTGGTTTTCCTGTGCTGAAGTGGCCAGTCTAAATTAGTCAGGCTCATAATGTCCTTGGTTGACTGGTATCATCAGCTGACTGACTGTGCGAGAAAATGTCATGTCAAATTATGTGGATGAAGATGTATTTTGTTGGTTACACGTTGCATTGTTCACCAGTTAATACTGTGGGTGAATGTTGAGAAAATCATCTAAAAAGGGAAAACCCACCATTTTTACTAAATGTACTAGACATGCAGAGTGTTATTCAGCCTGTGAAAACATTTGTTTGATAACATCTGTGACTCTAAAGAAGCGTTTCCAAGCACAAGAAAAAAAAGTCACAATCCTTCCCATGTTATCAAAATCAGGAATCAGGAAACATTTATTGCCAAAATATGTCAAACATACAAGGGATTTGATTTGGTGGTTGGTGCGTGACAGTAGACAGTATAACAATGGACAACAAGACGGCAGCGCACAAGTGATAAAATGAAATAAAATGAAATGCTAATGCTATGGGTTAGTAGAATAAGGCTATGGGTTAGCTTAAAATAAGAGAATAAAGTTAGTTAAAAATAAAAAATATTTAAAGAAATAAAAAATAAAGTGCACTAGCGAACAAGTGACAAAATGCAATATTAAATAAAATGTCAGAAATGCTGCTATAAAGTTCACTTGTGGAAATGGGTGAACTACCCTCTGTTATCACTATGTCTGTATGTGGGTTATATATGCAGTTGTAAAGATGGATGGATGGATAATGAGAAGCATCCAACATAGATCATGTTAATACCATTTTAAAAACGTGCGTCTGCTGCGGGTATCCTGAGCATAGCGGGTTGTCTTACCTGTAGATCCGTGTAGCCGTCATCTTCAGTGGACAACCTGGAGTACCTGACTTTGCTGTTGGGGATTTCGTTGGACACAATGTTACGAGCTGGCATCTTCTTCAGCTTCCGAGGACCCCGCGTCGCTGCCCAGCGGTCTGTTCGGTGTTTCAAGGAGGCCGAAGCAGCTTCGGCTACAGAGACATCATCGACGCCATCGTCCCTCACAAGCGTTTCGGTGTCAAAGTCAAGTGAAATGCCTCCCACCAGATCCGACGCGCGAGCGTTATTGTTTCACGGAACTCGTTCTGAGAAGAGATTACACCGCGAGGCACTGTTCGCTATCTTCTTTCACGCGACTTCCGTGTTTTCGACTCGGTCCGCAATGCGCATGCGCGCAGCGATCAGCGTCGCTTCTGTGACGCGCGCCGCACCGCGTCAGTCACCAGGGGGCGTGAAATGACCGAGTCACGGAGGGCATCAGGCGGATACTCCGCTGTCTGGAAGCATCTGTTTGTGTGGATGTTCATTTCCTGAGATGTTCTCCCAAGCCAGCTTTATAATTACACGGCGTTCTCTGAAGATAAGGTTTCCGTCTAATCTGCAGATACTTTTGTACGGATTCAGTGCTCCTCTGAAGGCTGTTTTCCAGCTAGGGATGCAATCTTGTATAATCACACTCACTATCTATTTCCCATAGTGTACTTACATGGCCATTTTATCAAAACAAAAAATAACACATCAAAATCTCATATTGTTATTTACTAACAATTTACTAAATTGGTTATACTTTTTTACAAAAATGACACAAGAAAAAGTCTATTTGATTTCCATTATCTATCAAAATAACTCACAATACCATACTTTGAATGGCTAACTCTCTTTTTTTAATGTTTTGAATTAAAATATTTGATACCTGAGATATCGACTTTGGGAGGAGCACCTTCAAATGTATTATGTTATCTCTGCATGATGTTGTCATCGCTCCAGACATGCAGTGTGTCCGTTGAATGACTGACCTTGAAAGCCTAGAACAAGCAGCAAAAATTACATTTGCTGAATATTCCCCTGAAATTAATGATGAAAGCAGGTGTATTTTGGTTGGTTTCCACTTTTTTCAAACTGTATGTTTTACCTTCTGCTGATGGTCTGTGGAAAATTGGACTGTCACATGGACAAATATAGACTCCGCTCAAGGTAGAATTGAGATAGCTTCTTTCCATGAATCTGCACAACATTGAATCGTTGTTATTTCAGCTTTCTGGCAAAGCGGACCATATAGTCAAGGGTAAATGCCCACAGGTAAGTAAACAAAAAAATACACTTCTCTGTTGAGGAGCTGTAATAATTAAATAAATGCCTATTCTTCTTAACTGTGCTGGCAGTATCAACTACTCATGTATCAAGTGATCATTAGTACACTCAAAAACCTTGACTGCAAGTTGCTTTGTTGTATCTTAAGGCCGTACTGCCTCCCTCTGGAGGGATATAAACCCTAAAACCATTCATCTGCATTTCATATCCCTGCTGTTGCATCACTGTGCATTATGCTGCACACAATGTTTCTTCTTGTTCAATTTTCTGTTGCATATTTAAAACATATCCAACCCTGTGCTTGATATAATCTCTATAAATCTACCCTAGATACAAGGGGATTTCATTTATTTCGAAGGGGATTAAGGAAATGGGTTTTTGTCTTTTAGAGGAAACCTTAAAAGGCAACAATAGAACCATATCACTGTGCACACCTGGAGTTAATTTGTATGCCACAAAACATTGTGTGAGTCACCAAGGCCATCTGAAATAACTGATTGCACAGACATGCACCTGCTGCCATTGTGTCTGTACCTGTTACCGACAATAACAAAATATAACTTTGCCCTCTCCTCCAGTAGTGATCCAGAAGTTCCTTACTTATATTTCACTGTGCAGCGTGACCGCTTGATGGCTGCACTCATTAGCTGACACCTCCGAGTCCATGCTCACATATTTCTTTGAACACCAAAGAACCCATTGGTCCCATCTTCTCACTTGGATTTTCAAGACCTACAAATTAAGGTCACTGCACAAACTGCACACTGTTACTTGATCGGAATTGAGAAACCTGGCATATATTTAAAAAATACAGAAGATCACATAAAACAGCAAATATTTTACATTCAAAAATAAAAAATGATTGGTATTTACTTGGGATTTAAGATTTTGATGTGACTTTTCTGCTAAATATTTGTCCGCAGTAACCACAATACAAATGACAATGCAGCTCGAGAGACATCTGCAGTCATGATTTATTAATCAGATGATAGAGAACACGGTCAGGGGGGGGGGGGGGCGGGGGGCGGGCAGTAAATGTTGCCATATTGGATAATCCCTGCCACTAGACCATAAAGCCTGCACAGAGCACCGGCTTAGCACACTGAGCCTTAGTGGGGTGTGTGTGCGTGTGTTTGAGTGTGTGTTTGTATGTCGTTGGGAGAAGACAGCCGCTCACTTGTAACTGAGGCTGAACAGTGTCCAGCAGTGTCCAGCATTTAGGCCATAATTAGACTCCTGTCCATAGTGGATCACTGTCTGCTGAGATAATTAGGTCTGTCTTCATTAAAGCCATGGCAGAAAGCACCCCAAATGAAGCCATTACACCACTTAAACATCATGCAATCTACCCGTGGCGCAGCTGTTTTACTTTTAAACCCGCCGGGTTTCAGAAATAATAAAAATGTGGCTTGTGGGCTGTGCACAGGTGGTGCTGTGCAAATAGCTTCTCAGAATTTGAAATATAGTTGCAAAGACAAATACAAATCCATTATGTTTAGGCTCTTTGAGCCACATTTGGGGGAAGTTTGGCAGACTTATGTTGTTTTGCCTTCCCTGTATTTGTTGGTGGTTGCCGTTGCGGCAGAATCTTTAACTCTTTTGCGAATAATCAGTCATGTATTGTTTTGTCATTATCGGTATTTCAGGTTAGGTGTATTTCTGTGTAGGTGGAGAGTTTACTGCTGCAGGACGCTCCACGCGAGGGGCTTCATCAACAATCACAAATTCAATCACCTTTTTTTCACGATGTCGCCTCAGAAATAAACTGTAGAGGTCCAGTGGCTTTGAGAATATGATTACACATTGAACAGAAGTTACCATTTTGAATAAGCCTTTTAAGTGCTCTGATGATCGGAATCTGTGCCTCTTTTCTCTAGTTTTGTTCCTCTGCAGCCTTGGAGAGGAATAACAATATGAAAATACACAACAAACAACAGAAGAAACGTACGAGCATCGTTACACTGGTTCATTATGTTTGCAATCGTTCTTCACCAGGGTTGTCGCCAATGTAATAATGAATACAAATAAATACTTATTTGTAAAGTGGTCAGTCTGTGCCACTGTGTGCCTCTGTAATGCATGCACAATAATGAGACAAAATCTCCCCAAATTAATTTATTAGGCTTTGTTTTCATCCCAATTAAAAGAAAGACTCCATCTATAAAGGGCACACAAAATAAAAATGTTACTAACCGCTGATGTGATTGTATTTTTAAAGAGTTCAGCAGTGTGCTTGTGAATCTGCTTTTGATATGGCAAAGTGGATTTGTGCACTGCAGGTACAAGGACACAAAGCATTGTACGATGAAAAGCTGCATCAGTGATTGAGGAGGGAAGCTGTACTTGAAACGGTCAAACGTTTACTTCACTGACTGAGAGGCTTAAAATCTCTCGCTGTAAGCCCGAGGCAGCATCAGGTGAAGCATATCTGGATCCGACCGGAAAATAAAGAAGGAATCAACTGTCTTCACAGAGGAGTACATGCAGTGGGTATAAATATATAATTTAAAGAAACAACCGTTATAACACATTAGAGTTAGATGTACGTTTATTTGTGTGTGTGCTCTAATGGGACTGTTTACTCTGTATTTTTATCATAAGAAAAAGAAGATAGATAAAAGTGCAAGCGTTGAATAATAATGTACCAAAATAATGATCATCTCTAACATTCATATCAAAGTGCACATTATATATATATATATATATGTTCAAAAGGCAATAGTTACAGTAAGCAAATAGTGTAATTATAGTTTTAAAAAAGTAATACTTTGTATACTACTTGGTATAAACAAATCATTTTGAATTCATCCTTTCCATTACAGTTATTTAGAAATAAATTGATAAATAAATCATGCTGTTAGTTTCATTGAATTCTAACAGGAGTATAGAAAGCAAAGTAACACTTATGGAAGTTGTCTCAATGGAAAAGTGTTACTATTACTGCGCGTTACACTTTTGCTTCCGTTGAATTAAATGCGTGGGAGAACCTCTATAGCTCCTGTTCTGTGAGATGGGGAGTCAAATGGTTCTCATATCATCCACCCATATAGATATAGAGATACATATATATATATATATATATATATATATATATATATATATATATATATATATATATATATATATATATATATACAAACTTTATTAAAAAGTGAGCTTTTTATCAAATGAACCAATATCAGGTCCTTTTTGGGGAGTTTTAAAGTTGACTGATTGCATTAATAGTGCGCTAGCATGTGGGCAAACGCGGGGAAAAGGTTCCTTATCATGTAATCGTTCACCCGTTTACATCACGTGTTCATTTTACACGGGTTCATATTTGTAGTGAGCACTACATTTTAAAAGTATTGACGTCACCGATATGGCAACTAAAATGACAAGGACTTTTTCTTAAGTGGGCACTGTGAGTGACGCTCAGTCACGAAACATTTGTGAATGAAAAGTCATGTTGGGGAGACGATCCCCGGCTGTGATGACGCACGGGGAGTGATGCTGATGGGGTGAGGTGCGCGGATGAGGATGTTTCGGGGTGGTGGTGGTGGTGTTGGTGTTGGTGGTAGGGGGGCACACGAGGCAAAGTGGATCGGTGAGGAAGCAGTGAGTCATTTGGAAGGCTTTTCAGCGTTATCTGGAGAGACTCTGGAGCACATGAAGGTCGGGCGTTCATCCCGCCCGATGAGAGGACTCTCCCCGCGGCGAGCGCACTTCTCCTCCCGCCGTCACAGCCGCGTCCGAGGGTAGAAGCCAAAGTTACGGTGAGTGGCAGCAAATTGAATTTCAGACAATCGTGTTGAAAAGATAACCGACTGTGGTCATTTGATAACAATTATGGCTCATTTCAAGCCAGCGGTTTCTGTTATTTGCTGTTTGTGCACATTAAATATTATTGTTTCTGGCCACACGAGCGGACTTTTGATCATAAAAAGAGGATTTCTCAGAATTCCCAAAGATGTCGTATTAAGGCTAAAGTATCTATAAATAGCGTCGATTTACTTTATTTTCCACTGAATTGCGGGATAACATCTGTAATTATAATTAAGAATTTCTATCGAATGTGATGTGTTTCTAGTCGGGACTTGGCAGGGTCGCTTGGATAAATACCCTTACCCCTTTTTCACCATCTGTCTCGATTTCAATCTTTCACTTCAATCTTCAAGAGGATGAAGTATCATCCTTCGAATGTCGTAACGTTAACCGTGTGTGTGTGTGTGCGCGCAGCGGTGAAATGCATTACGTGGTGTCCATTGGTTGCAGAGCAGCACATGTCCCCGTCTCCGCCATTTCTATTAAGGTGGATGTCACATTCTTCCTGCTGTCACCTATACAGCCTTGTCTCAGTGGCTTCATCCTATAGAGCTGCTGGCCAATTAAAATAGCTGCAGACCTCATATGTGTGTGCGTGCGTGTGTGTGTGTGTGTGTGTGTGGATTCCTGTTCAACTCTGAGCTGCAGCTGCTCATCACCCTCAACGACAGATCGTTGTTAGTCTGTTTGCCAAACGGCCAAGAACATACATTTGTGGAATATTCTGTGAAAAGTGAGAAAAAAAACAAGACAAAGTCCTATACTACGTGGCCTTGGGCAAGACATTGAATCCTGTCAATTCCTTATGCGCTCATTTGGTTTAGTCGGCCATTAGGATGGAAAACACAAGCTGTAGGTGTATGTTATATTCTGAATATTAAACAGATTCGTGCTGGAAAGGAGCCTAAACACTTACATGCGTCACGACTGAAATCCCAAACTCCTCAAACCAAACTTTAACCAATTTGAATAAGGAAATGAATGTGATTGGAGTTTTCATTTTCTCCGAAGTCCGATGTTTGTGAAGTATGAGCGGCAAGAATGAATCAAATCCAGTTTGACAAGTAAATCGGAAACCTTCCCGATGTGTTCGGCTCACACAAACTCGTCTTCCTTCTAGTTGGATCCGTCTGTTGTCTAATTTAAAACAAAAAGGACTAAAAGATGAACATGAACAATTTGTACCCACTTTAATCTTGACTCCAAGCTTTTTTATTTGTAATGATAATAGAGTCAACGAGCAGCAACAAATGTACATCTCGTGTCTGCCAGCACTGAGCCGATAAAGTGAACAGCAGTTCATTCAAGGTCAATATGACTCAACTTGTCTTACGTTCAATCAATCAAGTGTATTATCTTTGGTTCATTGTCACATACATGTAATATTACAGTAGCAAACCATTTCAATGCGGGAGGGACGCAATTAAACCGAGGTAATTTCATTTGTTTTTTTCACTGTGCAAATTGAAGATGGTGTGATGAGCTCCTGCCGATAAACTCTTACTTTCATAATTACATTTGAGGCACCAATAGTCCACCTCTTTCCTACTTGAGTGGGAGGGAAAAGGCTCCCGGGAGCTGTGTCATGAAGGCTGCTTTAATGCAGGCTTTGGCACCGAGAGGAGATAACCAGGGAAATAAAGCCACAGTTCCAGAGGAAAAAGACCTGGAACATGTTAAACAGCTGTACATCCGGTGACGAGCAGAAGGTTTATGGGGCACGGGGAAAAGGTCAGCCAATCGTTACCAGCGTAGCGAGGAGAAATGGAGGAGGGGAGGGGGCTATAGATCGGAGGGGACTGTAAAATACCTTCGCCCCCTTGCCTTTGTCTTGCCACATTCTGTAGTATTGTGAGTTTGGATGAATGGATGGATGGTAGATAAGTAGATAAATAGAGACATGCATACATATGTAAGTACATACATACATGGATAGATACATAGATGGTAGATTAAAAAAAACACAGTCAGTAGAAAAAGAAGACAATTCAGACAAACTTTTAATTTAGTTACAAATAAAGCAGCTTAACAAAATCCTCCAAATGTCGACATGGCTGCACTACTTTTACTAGTCTGATCCAATCTACATGGAGGTAAGGAACACCCACATTACAAATGTCAGTAATCTGCTCAGACAAGATTAATACCACATCTGTCAAAGTGACGTGACGCGTCAAAGTCAGAGCGAGCGATTCAGGCCACAATCAACACCTGCACAATAGACACAATATTGTTACGTGGAAACTCGACCGAGCAATGAATTCTTGTGTTTGTACAAATATCGGAGCAAAGGGTTTTCTTTTATACTTGAATGTAATTGCACTGTAAAGAAAGCAAAGCCAAAGCGACAACAATGTACAATTAGGAGTACAGCTGCGGTGGAATTAGGCAGATTAGTTAGTGGACCGTAAGCGCATAAGGAATTAACGGGACACTCACAGAAGCAAATTGAATGGAATTATTTTTGCGTTTGTTATATTTTCATAACAGCATGTCTTGGTTGTATTTCAGTCCACTAACTAAACTAAAACGGTCCACTAACTAATCTGCCTAATAGCACCTTTTAAAGCTAATCTAATAAACACGTTAAATATTATTTGATTAACAATTACATAAAAATTAATCTGTTAATGACAATTTGTCTTTTATGTCAGGAGTAACATCCGAGGTTCCACATTTCGTTTGGTTTCTGACGTTTTTGTTAATTGCCCGCTGGCTGGCTTTACAGTGTGTAAAGAGGTACAAAAGGAGTTCACAGTGTGATATTGATTTGTTAAGAGTGGGCATTAAGAGCAACGTCAGGCTTATCTGGCTGTTCTGATTTGGCTCAATGCCTTTTAGAGTTTGAATTGTGGGACGTTTCCAGGACGATTCAGGGGAAAAAAAGCATCTGGTCAGTATTGGTTTTGATTTATTTATCACTCGACCTCATATTGTGTTTGGACACGATGATCTGAGAGGAGCTGTGGCTCAGAAACTGTCCTTTGGCCGCAGTCACGATGAGTCTGAGCTGTGGCAACATGGAAAACAACTACGAAAGTCGCAAAACACACCACACAAGGATGCATGCTTTTGAGTCTTTCTGTACGTCGGGAGTGTTTCAAATCTCTCAAAACGGATTCTTCTCTTTCTTTTTAAAGGCGCTGTGTCGCGTTGTGTTGAATCTGAATCCGTCTCTGGACTTCTATCCTGAAGAGCCTGGATATTGACGACTGCTGACCTGCAGCTTCACCCAGAGGAGTGTTCTCTCACTCCAATTTTTAAAGCCTCTTTTGTTTTGATTTGTTTTCCCAAACTGACGTTTTTAGTCGCTAGAAGATGCAAAGATTTTCCTAGATGTGAACACCCATCTGTGTCTCTCGGCTATAATGCTTCTCTAACAGCGTTATTTCAACCAGTGGCACAATCACAGACAGTTTTGACATCACTAACCTTTTCAAGATGGATTACCTAATTTCAACAAAATAAATTTTGGTCTGCATATATTATACCTCTCTCTCTGTGCTTATGCATGCCATCTGGAGTTTTATTTTTTTTGTGATGCTTGTAATGGCTTATTTGCCCGAGGCATCATAATTCAAATAATGTTGTGACAAGACTCACTGAAGGTGATCAGTACTCCACTGGCTGATATGAGAATGCTCTGATCTCCCTTTGCTAAGCTAAATAAAACAGGTGGGTGTTACAGTGCACCTGCGCAGGACAAGGTTGGGCATCAGCTTCTTACTGGAATCGATGCTTCCTGTGTTGGACAACATGACTCCACCTCCTCTAACGCACAACTGCTCAAACTGCAGCCAGGTTTCAGTGCCGCAGCTCAATGTGGCCAAGGCTGTGCTTCTGGGCCCGATTCTGGGTGTCTTCATAGCGTTTGGGATAGTGGGAAACATCCTGGTAATCCTCTCCGTGGTCTGCCACAGACACCTGCGGACGGTCACCCATTATTTTATAGTTAATCTCGCAGTGGCCGATTTGCTGCTCAGCTCCACTGTACTGCCCTTTTCTGCCATTTTGGAGATTGTGGACCGGTGGGTGTTCGGACGGGTCTTTTGCAACGTTTGGGCCGCCGTGGACGTGCTCTGCTGCACTGCTTCCATCATGAGCCTCTGCGTGATCTCCGTTGACCGCTACATTGGAGTCAGCTACCCTCTGCGCTACCCCTCCATAATGACAAAGCGCCGGGCGCTGCTGGCGGTGATGCTGCTGTGGGTCCTCTCCATCGTCATATCCATCGGACCTCTGTTCGGCTGGAAGGAGCCGGAGCCCGAGGACGAGTCCATCTGCAAGATCACCGAGGAGCCCGCTTACGCTATCTTCTCTGCGGTGGGCTCTTTCTACCTCCCTCTGGCCATCATACTGGTCATGTACTGCCGGGTTTACGTGGTAGCTCACAGGGAGAGCCGTGACCTGAGAGAGGGCCACAAAACGGAACACAAAAAGTCCGATTCAGAGCGGGTGACACTCAGGATACACAGAGGCAACGCAAGCGTTTTGGAGGACGAGGCTCTTCGGAGCCGCACGCATTTTGCCCTGCGACTGCTCAAGTTCTCGCGCGAGAAGAAAGCAGCCAAGACCTTGGGCATCGTGGTCGGCTGCTTCGTGTTGTGTTGGTTGCCGTTTTTCCTGGTGCTACCCATCGGTGAGTATCGTCACCTTCATCTTGTATGTGGTTTGAGATGATTGAAGAAGATTCCCGAGATCTAAGTCGGCATTTCTTTGGAGCAAAGCAGCAGTTGCTGAACAAGTCAAACTTGAAATTCAGAGCGTTATTTTTTCAGCAAACGTTATTTGTAATTTAAAGTTGTAGTGGAGTGATGTGATAGAAATCCACCCAGCTGCACCTACAGCTCACACATCGACAGATCAAAGCATGTTACTAAAATCACATTTTAAAAGAAGACTTAAAGCTTTAAAGGCAGACGTTGTTTTCCTCTGGCAGAGACGAGCTATTCCCACATTTACTGTTTCTATGCTGAACTAAATTGAATTGTTTCCCACCACCAGGTACATACATTTAATGTAGTTTTCTCATTAATATCTTGGTAACAAAGACAATGTGCATGTTTCCCAGGACAGGTCATCTAAAGCACCAATACTGATCGCTAAGAAAACAACTACAGCAGCAAATACCTATTTGCTAAAGATGCGGACGTAGAGGAGTCATGTCTCGCCAAGCAGAGATCGAAGTTGGCCTCCCTCTAAAGGCACACGCCTTCAGGCTGACGCAGTTAGCTCTGCCAGCTGTTTCGCTAAGTCGTCTCTTAGGTGTGAGCCACGTTGCCGTGTTCAGAACCGCTGAGAAGCAATGGAGATACTGTGTTATACACGTTGCATTTTTGACCCGTTGAGATTTCACAAAATAAAAACAGGTTAATGGACTTGATCACCTGCACTCACATAAATGAGTCGGACCAAGAAAGCTACTTATCTTCTGCATTACTTATTTTTTTAGATCGATTCATGGCGCTGTCAAGTTTTTACGTGCTAGCAATTTAAATGAGGTTAATTGAATTGTTCCTCTGAGGGCGCACACTGGATGTACTTTAATTTATGCGTCTTGTGGCCTCTCAGACAGCATATTAAATGTTTTGCCTGGGCCAGGTAAAAAGCTATAAATAGACCAAATAAAAAATGCTAATCTTTGGTCTGATTGGCAGCAGTGCTCTCCCCTCTGTGAAAAAATAACAGCTTTTCAGACCAACATATAGTTTAAACAGATCAAGTTTGAAGTAATCTACCAGGACCTTCGTCTCTCGCTTCAGTCCAGGGCCAACAGATTGTCATCACACTGGTGTTGGAGTCAAACTCACACGGCTCGCAGCTATATGCTGCAGTCAATGTGATGGGAATTTGAGAGTAAATTACAACCAAGTATATATGAAATATGACCAAACCCCTCAGAAATCCCCCTAGACCCTCTTTTAAATGATTATACCACTGGTGCATCTCTGGAGAATAAGAAGTAAATGGGCTGGTTTTGTGGTCCAGAGTTGGATGCGTCATGTTTGTTAGATTTACTGCAGCAGCTAAACATTATTTAGAGAAAATGAATTGTGGGAATTTGGACTTTAAACATTAATGGAAAATGATGAGTTGTTTAAGCTCTGTGTTTGTTTGTGGATTGTCCTTTTCTCTTGACATATAGACAAATTAAAGAATAACTTCATGTAGTGAGCATTTTCCACCTCACAACGGGCTCAATAATGATTATTGGACGATAAAGTACAGCCTCTCGTGCCTTATTGCTTTAATAATAAAACGACTGGAGTGTTCACAAAGACTATATTAGGTGTAAGGGTGGTGTTTAAAATGAATTAATTAAGTTTTAAATTAATTCTGCTGACCCGAGGTCTAAGACATTTTAATATTCTGTATTTAGCATCGAAAATCCAACTAAAACACGTTTTGCTTCACTTGACACCAATTGTAGTTATACAGCTTTCATAAGACCACATACAGCGTTGTTTTATTCATTTTTGACAACAATTTGTATATTGAACCGCTGCAATCCCTTTCTTCATTTTCTACGAAGAGTTGTAAAGGAATTACTTTTCTGGCACAGCTGGGGATAAAATGTATGAGCTGTTTGAGCAATTTGCTCTCTAATTCTATCCACCTTTATAAAACATTCTCATTTGTCACCAGCCTTGTTTGATCATCTTAAACAGCTGGCCCCAATAAAACATTCAACAAGACCGCCTCCACTCCTCTGCCTCTGAAGATAGACAGACAGACAGATAGTCAGCCATTTATTTATTCTAGGGTTTCACTGGAAGTCACATGAGGTCACATTTACAATGACTGACAGGACTGCATGTTAAGTGCTAGTTAAGCCATTTCTCTGCTTTGAAAACATCCCATGCTGCGCGATTTGTTGAGGGCACATTTAATAATATTGTTCACCTTGATGACGAGCAGGAAGCTTTTTTTAGTCAAAACAGATTACATTGAAATATTAAATAGGATGTTATCAGCGCTATTGTTTTTTTCCCAGCAGTTGCGTTTCACGTTTTAATTTGATATAAACACAACCGTTGATGCAACAGATACAATAGCATGTAATTATGATTCCAGCCCTTCCAGTGGAAAGGGACGGCAATATAATATGTCAGGTCACCACCAAGTCCAGACTGAAATATATCAATAATTGTGGGATGGATTGAAATGAGATTATTTTTTAAAAGATGCTGATGGTTCTTAGATGATGAGGTTATATGCTGATTGTTTCAGGTTGCCAGGTTAAATACCTCAAAAACTTTGAATGGATTGCCTTTAATTTAGATTAGATATTCATGGTGCACAGAGGATGACTCCTAACTTACTTATGTGATATTTTGATTTGTCCTTTAGCCTTATCTGCTGGTTAAACTTTTTACTTATTCAAAAGACTGGCATGAAAAATGGATTAAGAAATTTGAACAGATATTCATGTTAATTACAAGCTGGGATCCTCATTGCTTTCCTTGACTTTTCTCTATTGGCCTTCCTGAGGTTGATATTGGTGGTTTAGAGTGAAACATGGTTTGCGCTTCATTTTCACTTCTCTTACTGGCTATTCACTCGAGAGAATACAGCTGTTAAACTAATTGCATTCCCATCAATGACACCTGTACTTTGTGTTTTGCTAATTAGCGTGGTAGCGCATGCTAACCGAATATTAACTGCTTTACATTAGCATGATAGCATTGTAACTGAGAGCATGTTTGAAAGCTGATGTTATCATTGTCTTCTAACACACCAAACCCCATATTTCAGAGTTTATTTGAATATGGTCGTTCCTTCTGCTGTTATCTTACCGCAGTGTTTGTTACCCTTTTGTTCCTACAGGCTCCATCTTTCCCGAATACAGACCTTCAGACACCGTCTTCAAGATCACTTTCTGGCTCGGTTACTTCAACAGCTGTATCAACCCCATCATTTACCCGTGCTCCAACCAGGAGTACAAGAAAGCTTTCCAAAGTTTACTCTGGGTTCAATGTCTGAGAAAGACCCCCAGGCCGCACCACCATCATCTGAGTGCAGCTCAGAGTCAAAGCCAGGGTCACAGTCAGCAACTCTCTCTGGGACTGGACAGCAGGGGGGCGCCCTGTCGGCTCAGCCCATCCTCCTCCATGGCCCTGTCCAGAACGCCCTCCTCCAGGGACAGCAGGGAGTGGGGTGTCTTCCCCGGGGGTCCCGCAGGTGGATCGGGACCAGCCAGGACGAGGAGGGACAAGGTGGCCAAACTCTGCAGTAAAAGCTTCGATCGGGCCTGCTGCTGCGTTTTCAGCGCTGGGATTCCCCCGCAGGAGTCGAACTCCGCCCAAGCGCCTCCGGTCGGAGACCTTCCCACCATTAAAATCCACCAACTGTCCCTGTCAGAAAAAGGAGAGCCTGTATAGCCACTATAATCCGTCATCCATTAGTCATTAATCCTCTTTCAATGTCACGGTTGAAAATATATTTTGTTTTGAATTGTTGAATAATTTGCTTTGGATGGTGGCTGCTTTGAAATATTATATTTTTAAAAGTCTCAGCTTCAATAACATTTTGTGACCTTTCCTGGACATATGATTCTCAGAAAAAAGAAAAATATATATATATGTATTTATCAGACACATTTTATTTTAACGATTTGAGATGCCTCTTTGCTTTTTACAGAATACAGCTCTGGAGGGATGAAAAGAAAGTTAATGTGTATGACATTTTTAAAAAGTGGTGAAAAAGAAATCCCTGCGGGGGATAAAAAGAAGAAAAACAAAAGATTACAAAATGTTTACACGTTTTACATTACTGAAGAACAGTATAACATCACATAAATGTATAATAATGTTAATCGGACAAATATACAATTAGCATAATTTCTCCATTTAAAAACAAATGCTGCTCAGTGGTGCTCCCGTTATTTCCAAAGTTTGCCTAATGCTGTTCCTGTTGTATAAATAATGTTTGTAAACTGCTCTGTACGAGTCAAAACTACGGACTTTGCTGCTCCCACGTCACGTTACAATAAATTTGTATGACATATTCCTAAAAAAAGGAATTCACGGGGACATTTTAGGACTCCTGTGGTTTCATTTGGATGATTCACTGAAGACACGACCCCTATTCACATGTCTACAATTGAGTGTATCTCGGAGAAGTGCCAGATGGACGTCTTAATATACTTCTGTGGAATTTCAACTGACCTTGTGGTTGTTGACCTCAATCCTGACCGGGCCACAAGCCTCTTAAAAAAATCCCCCAGATTTAGAGATGTCAAGTTAAGGCATATACACAGTCTCAGACATTCTTCCCTCAGGCTCTACTCCTTTTTCAGTTCTTTTTTAGTCACCGTCAATATGCAGAGTCCTAACCTTTTATAAGATCAGCTGTGTGGGTGCCGTCAACTGGCACAAAGGAGAAAAAGCTCCTGTGTTTATTCAGTGTCTTTCTGGTGACTAAGAGGCGTCCAGAGGCGAGAGGACGTCCTCTGTCGACCGTATTGATTTATTTTCTCCTTCTGTAGTACCATGATGTTCTCCCTTTGCGAGTGCAAAAGGAAGACATGCAGTTGTGTCTTAAGTGCACTAGAAGGGGAGTAAACAGCTTGCCCACAGGGGAATGGAACGGCATGCAGCAGGAGTGCTCGTCTCTGTCCACGCTGTCATTGACTGACATGTCTGTGAACCTTTATATCCCACCATATCTGCACGGACGCCACTCGGAGAGAAGGCTACCGGCACCGCAATCAACTACTGATGGTGCAGATGACAGAGTTCACCCCTTCGTCCTTTGTCTATCTCCATAGAAAGTGGCGCTGCCATGAACAAAGCCTCAACCAACCTTTGTGCCACGCATTACAAAGATATTCATCCCCCCCCCCCCAAATGTAATAGCTGTGATGAATACCAGAGCTGCAGCCGCGCAGGAGTGAGATATTAGACTGGAACAGACCAAGAACACCGACCAATGTTATTTCACCAGGACTCCCTAAATGTTTTCATATTTAAATATGATCGATGAGAATGTTCAATTCTTCAGTATTCTTTTAATATTCTGATGAAACTGAAAATCATTGGCTCTAAAGGGGAATACCATTAATCACGAATGTTTAAAGTTGGCGATTAATCTTCAAGACAATGTTGAAGTGATGACAAATTACCTCCGGACTAAAAATAGCCGCGTCTGGGTTCCAGTGGATTGAAAGCACAGCAAGCGCTGCTGATGACTCATGCTTTGCATACCTTTCCCAGGAGGACTCAGGTCTTCCTGATGCATTTTTGTTTTCTCTTTAAATCTCTCATCAGTCGGTGGGTGGAAGTTATTGGCATTATAGGATTTCCCCCTCAGGTTCAATCAGTGCATTCATCATGTTTAGTCCTAATTGGACAACCGTCAAACAGCCAGGGGGCATCTCTAGTCGCTGAGCTGTGGCTGATGTGCGCAGCCAGTGTGAAGTTGATCAGTTGGTTTTGCTGTCAGCTCCCTGCGGGTGGAGGATCTCAACCACCGATTGCTGCTCTGAAGGGGAGGCTGAGCATCACGACTGTGCCTCCACCTAGTGCCTCACCGCCGATCTGCAGTTACTCCATCCACAGATGGTGGGTCACGTTTTTTAATTTGAGTTCACTTCATTTGAAATGTCGAACAGTTTTAGGGTTTTTAAACGTCTAATTATTACAAGGACATTGGAGACAGTGCTCTCTTCTTTTGAACTTCTATTTGACTAACTGCAATTATTTGGTTATGTGACCAAGATTCAGAACCTTTACTAAAAATTAAAGTAAAGGAAGGTATAAAGATGGTCCCTTATATTCTAAAGGAGAAAACATCAGATGTCCTACTTAACATAAAAGTAAATATATGTGCCGGAGGCTCAATTGGCCCCAAACTGTGCAGTCACAAAATCCGCTTTGGTGCACACACCTCTGTGTAGATTTTGCACAGAGAAAGTTGAAGCATTCTAATCTGAACTCTGGACGTACATCGTTCACTTACATAATCTTCAACCAAACCAGTTTGCTTTCAGACAAATGCTTTGAAATGTAGAGGAAGTTAAAAATGTAAAATGCGTGTGCTCCACTTTCCAATCGAACGTCGTGCAGTTATTGAGCTGAACGAGCACACTGTCTGCTCTCCATCTTTTAGAGCTCATTTTCATGGAAAAATTGGTGACTCAAACTAAATCTAAACCTCAATGTTTATGTACAGGAACCCTACATTTGCCATAACAATTACCACATTGGATTGTATTCCAAGAATATTTTCAAAGAAATGATTAGGATACAGTAGAAGAAGTGTGCTAATACGATACAATAACTCTTTTTTTATTCTTTTAATCCACTGAAGTCAACACAGATAGGGTCAAATGCTGACAAGACCGATGATTCCCCCCCCCAAAACCCTGGTATTCTACAAAACACACATGACCAAGAGAGTATCACACTTGCTGGGAGAGAGGCAACAACAGTGCTCGACAAATCACAACTCAACAACCATCACCATGACACTTCCCCCAGTGTAAATCACTTCACATTATAGCTTGGCATACAAAACCTACACTTGACAAGGTAATGAGGAAGAAGTAATCCAGTGTTTTACAGTATGGCCGCACAGTGCCGTGAAACAGACAGCCCGCTTAGTTTAGTGAATACAGTCACGACCTCCAGTGGATCTGATGTCGACAGTGTCGGCAGGTGGAGGAGGGTGAGAAAGGAGAAACTGGATATCCGATGATTCATTCACGACACGAACACCGAGAACAGAGGACACGTCAACACACTGTAGGGGATTTCAGATACACGCCAAAGCATTTTTCATCAGGTCTCAAAGATCACGGTTGCAGGTCTTTAAAGAGCCTTCATAGATACAGTGTGCTCTCAATATCATACATAACAGGCAGGCAAGTAGTTTCAACAAATATCCTTAAACACAGACATGTCCAATACAAATAAAAAATTGCAAGCTAACATACCATATACACATCATTTGGATTGTTACGAGTGCAATATAAATGTAGTGAAAACTGGGTGAACGGTAAGTGTGCTGTGTGTGCTTGCGTGGAGGTCATCTGCACGTATACAGCGAGGGTCATATAGCACCAGGTGCAGAGCGGTTGTCAGCTGACCTCAGATCTAGCTTCTTCATCGTGTCTATTTCCTGAACAATGCACCGGTTGGATTATTGGAAGCTTGTTTCCCTGACAACCTTTTAATATACATCATGTGATGAGAGGAAGGAAACAGTTCATGCGACTCAGACAAACTGCTAAATGCCAACAACCCCCCCCCCCTGCCCCCCCATTTTCAGGGCAAAGTTGAATGAGTAGTTCAACCATAAAATACCTTTTCCTTTTTCCTTTCTGTGCAGGCAGCACTTTCATGACTTAATAAAAAGATACACCAATTTTGTTTTGAATGAAGAGAGTGAAAGAATAAGCTGAAAGGAGGACCAAGGAGAATTATTCTGTTTTACACAGTACCTACACAAAGATGAAATACTGCAACCTGACAGCGTAACTGTCTGACAAAATGGACGATGGAGGCTTCTTGAACTAATTGTGGCGCCGTAACAAGCGGATTCTACGTGTTGTTTGTCAAATGAACAGAGCATTGAGACAAATAGGGAACCCCGCAGCTTTTAAACTAACCTCTTCTTTTCTGTTAACAGCTCAAACAGCAAAAAACAATACAAAAATGTAAACAATTATTTTCATCCCTTATCAAACTGGGTTTAAAAAAAACAACAAAAAAGCTGTTTCAATTCACGAGTTCTTTCCGTGATAATGGAATATAGCAGGAACGATGAAACAATTAGAATAGTGCTTTCCTCTTTTTTTTTGTCGCATAAACTGACGGTATTGTGTGAACAAGAATGCATGGAGTGCTTGTGTGTGTGGTGCCGAGGGAGTCAGAGGTGACCGGACGTGATGTGACGGCAATAAGAGTGGCCTCCGGTCCCGCCTTCGCTGCACCCATGGCTCGCTTCAGGGAGGAGCCTAGCCGAGGCTGGTGATGTTGGCTTTTCCACCCGGTGGAGCCACGATGCGTTGAGTGCTGCGACGAGGAATGTTGTCGTCAACTTGGGCACCTAAAGTTAAAAAAAAAAAAAGAATGAAAAAAAATCAATATATAATACATTACATCTTAATTGCCTTGTTGTAAACAAGGCGAGCTGAAGGCTGAATGTGTGCTCTCACCCACCGGACAGACTGAAGCCAGACTGGTGAAGGTTGCGCACGGGCTGAGGACCAGTTTGCTGCTGCTGCTGCTGCTGCTGCTGCTTGGCAGGGGAAGTCTTCACTGAGGAGACGGTGGACATCACTTTGGGAGTCACAGTCACCTCACACACCGGCCCGTCGTACTGGCCCCTGGGGACTCCTCGCAACTCTGTGAGCTAAACATACAGGCCGGTTAACTATATACAACCGCATCAGCGTGTCTGCCTGGAGGGAAGACCACCTGCAATGAGAACTCACCCTGCTGCGGGCCTTTATCCTCTTGTAGACGTGGTCGGAGAAGGGTTTGCGGCTGATGTAGCGACCACAGCCCTCCGTGGGGTGAAGGCTGCCCTCCTCCAACACAATCTTGCCCTGGCTGATCACCACCACCGGACCCCCGCGCACTTCTGTGCCCTCAAAGATGTTGTACTCCACTGCCTTATTTTTCATCAAGAGAAAGCAAAAGAAAGTTGAAGAATTGCAGATAGTTATAGAGATATAATTAATAGCATAAATAAGTAGGTTTTTATAGTACAAGAACTACAATAAATAAAGGAGTAGTCCGTAGCAGTACATATGAAAGTCTTTCTGCTCCCTGTACTGTTACATAATCATTATAAATAAATTACACCACGCAGCTCCTGGAGTGAGTTCATTGTTTTAATGATTACACTAAACTCTCTATTTTAGAAAGTTCACCTGGAATGTTGGTTATTGTCTACTACCCATTCCATTCTTGCTCCTGTGTTAATGCCTTTAACATCCCCCCCCCTCTCTTCCTAACAGAGCTGGTTTGCAGCCCATCACCTACAATATACCCACATATACATCCTCAGAATACACTGTGAATAAGAGTCTAAACAGGCAAAGTAACCATCTGACCAGGTTGTGGCTCTTAGCCGAGATGATCTTAGTGATATCTGGGTCCCACAGCACGAGGTCGGCATCAGACCCCACAGCGATACGGCCCTTACGAGGGAACAGGTTAAAGATCTTGGCCGCATTCGTGCTGGTCACTGCCACAAACTGGTTCTCATCCATCTTGCCAGTCACCTATTAGACAAAACGTGACAAAATGTCATCTAAACATATGCAGGTTTAATATGTAACTGACATTTTTGGAAAACATGAAAAGTGGGTCACATCAGGCTCACCACACATTTGTCCCAGATCAGGGACATCCTCTCCTCGGTGCCGTTAGTGCCCTCTGGAATGAGAGTGAAGTCATCTTTGCCTATTGCACGCTGAGATGTCTGGAAGGTGCAGTGAGCACTTCCAGTCACCTGCAAGTCTCCACTAGAAAAAAAAAAGAAAAAGAGAAGACGGAGGATACGATTTACGTTGCAAATGACTCCTGACAAAGCCACGATATTTATCTGCTGGGCCGGGCACAGAGCCCCTACCATGACAGCAGAGAGTTGAGGTAGTCTGGGGTGGTGGGATCCGGACTAAGCGGCGGAGAAGTAACATAGGCTGCAGCCTTTGCCCAGTTCTTGCTCCAGTAATGGGTACCATCTGTGCCCAAGCTGGCAGATATGGGCTCTCCGTAAACCACGGCACCTGAAAGGAGCAAACAGGATGAAGTCAGCACAAAAAAGACAGTAAATACGCAAAGAAAAAGTTGAACATTTCTTGTCTTACCTCTTTTCCTTGCAAGGGCAATGACATCAGCAGCACTCTTGCTCATCACCTTGGTGATGTAGAGGGGACAGTTGGTCTGATTGGCGATGGTGACAGACCGATTGACCGCCTCGGCCTCCACCTGCGGACACACAAAGTTGGATGCATCAGCTTAGGCCCCATACTGGCCTTCTCTTCTTGCCTTCACGGTGTCTTGGATCTTTTGATCATAAATGTACATAATCCCCAAACTCTTTATCTTATAAGAAGCCAGTCCTCCATCCTACCTCCTCTGGGCGGCTAAGTACGTGGCCTTCAGGGCCGGAGATCCCAAGCTCTAGAATACGTCTCTGCTCCTAAAAAGACCCACACAAGAAGATTGTAATCCAAGATGTAATCCAACGGCTGCTTACACTGGAGACTTGACCAACGTTATTGGTGGTTCGGTTACCTCTGCAATGATGTCTCCATTCTCAGCATGCACCTGCGCAATAGCCCCGAGGTCTCTGATTACACTGAACACCTCATAGATCTAAAAGAAAACAATACAAAACAAGTCAGCTCGTGGTCAATGTTATCTCACCTGAAGACTTCCAGCAGCCTCAAAAACAGATGCTATGACAGACAGCTGTAGAGCCCGCTAATATTAACCAGAAGCTGAGCATACCTCAGAGTCAGAAAGTTGGAAAACATCCTTATAAGCCAAATAGACCAGGAAAGAGTTGACACCTGAAGATAGAAAACTTATCAGAGAAAACTGCCAAAAGGTGGAATAAGGAGAGCAAAAGAGGGAAAACCCAGAGCAAAGGGTGAAATTCATATCAAAGAGATAAAAGGGATTACAGCAGAAACATTTTGTCTTTTTTAGGGTTTTGAAGCCTGTGAAAAGGGCTCGACTTTTGTCACCATGCAAGAAACCCTCCTAGATTTTCAAAACCTGGTGTGTGCGAAGACGGAACCCGCCTTCATACCATGATCTTTCACCAGGGCCTCCATCTCTTCTGGAGTGCCTTTGTTCCACTCAGTGATGTCCACGTGCAGAGAATAGTCGCAGCAGGACTTGCTATCAGCCCACTCTCGCCACTGTTTGAAAGCAGCAACCAGGCTGACGCCAGGCTCCGGCACCACGTGGTCGACTATAAAACACAAACAGGACACCTGCAATGTTATAATCCCCGCAACAGTACTACGGTGCATAAAAGCTGTGAATGTGTCTGATCAAATACACACGGATCATAGTCGTCCCCCCAGCCAGGGCCGCCTTAGTGCCCTGGTAGAAGTCATCGGCTGCCACCATGCCTCGGTCCGGCATTTGGAATCGGGTGTGCACATCGATGCCCCCAGGCATAACCATTCTCCCATGAGCCTCTATGATCTTCACTCCCCCGGGAACAATGAGGTTGTCGCCTATTTGCCTTCATGAGACAAATCAAACAGAAATGAATGAAGGGAATGTGATCAAGCAAAGACATTCCAGGAGTCAAATTAATAGGTGGACATCTTGTACATGAAATGAAATATATCCACTCATTCTGCCAATAGGAGTTAGCTGCCAAGCTGCCAATCTTCTCTTCTCTTTGAAGATTTATCAATATCCAAATAAAACTTACTTGATGACTCCATCCTCCATGTAGATATCGGCCAAGAATGACTGATCATCGTTGACTATCTTTGCTCCTTTGATGAGGAGACGGTCACTCTGAAAGGAGGAGACAGAATTTGACATTACCCATAAACCACAAAAGGATCCAGCATCCTAAAAAAATCATCTAATTTAATTCCTTGTGGCTAATAGTGTATTCCTTATTTCAACAGCTAATTTGGAGGCTGGCCTGCTTCCCGTGCAGGTTTCTGTGTCTCTGAGAACAACCAGGAAAGCTAATAAACACAAGTGTTTTACCCCAAACCTCAAAGCAGGAAACACTCAGTTTCTAATGTCAAGAGTGGGTGGACGGGCACAGCGGGGAGGCATTGGGTTTAAAAGTCATGGCTGAATTGACAGGAGGTCTTTACTATACTACATTACAAGTTGGTCATGTGACGTTGAAATCAACGTATCATTACGTAACATTGAAATAAGCGTGCACTTCTTAGCTGTGGGCCTTCGCCCAATGCTGACTGGGATCAGCTGCAGTCCGCACGCAACCCGGAAGAGGATAAGCAGTTAAAAGGTGGAAGGATGCAATGCTCTGCAATAAAAATGCCCCCTGGTGATTAATGCTGTGATCTGCAGTCATAAAACTGAATTGATTAATAAGAACCAAATGTACATAGCAAGCATATACACACATATATATATATATATATATAGCAAGAGCTCCATTTTAAAAGAGTAGCCTATACTGAATATGGGAGTAAAAAATATTTGTAACCCACATTGAATGATGTTTCTTTTCTAAATAATATACAAGTACATTAAGTACAAGTACTTTAATTTAGTAGTACCACAAATAACATCTTCCAGAATGAAAACGGTTTCAACACAAACTGAAGATCATAAATTTAATGGGGGTAGAAACTGTTCATACTGCATGTATGTGTATGTTACAGAAATGGACAAACTCCCAAAAGTGCAGTAATAAAGAATTTTTTCCCAGTTGTATTTGTATTGTTGTCATTTGGTTATTTGTATTACAAAAAAAATAATAAAATGTTGATGAATTAATATATTTGCCCAAGTGAACATAAAAAATTAAAAGGGAAACACAGACTAGTGTCTTCAATGCAACTATAATTGTAATTGACCCTGGAAATGAACACAACGAATGTTTCTGTCATTCAACAGAACAGATAAATTGACTCTGTGGTTGTGCTTTTGTGGTACGAGAAACAACTGTATGTTGTCACTGTTGTTGGGAGACAAAGCCCTATTTAGTCGCTTTGTTTAAAGCTCAAAGTGAAACTACAGATTATGCTTCATTCCAAACTAACAAGTGGTGTCTGGAGGAGCTGGGGGTCTGCATGTCGTATCTGTGATGTCAGTGCTCATAATTCCTCCTGGACCAGTGAGAAAAGTCCTCGACAACAGCAGAAACCAAGCATGAGCCCGGGTTAAGACGTTTTGTTTGTTGCAATCAAAATGATTTGAACTCTGGAGAATTCTCTGGTTCTATGCTTCAGCATTCTGGCTAAAACACGATGAAAGCTTAGAGAAAAGAGGTTTGAATGGGTGCTGTCCAATGACCTACTTTGCTAAAGAGGTTTTACTTATTTTAACTATCCCGGGATCCCTACTGGAGGCCCTTAAAATGTGGCTTTCTGGCTGAAAAATCTGCACCACAAAGCTAAACAGACCCTGTTAAATCTCAATTTGCAACAATATACATGACACAATCAAAGTTAAATAGCCAAATATGTTCCTACCTATCTGGAGTTTTTGGAAGAAAAAAAAAAGGAAAATGTCAGAGGATGGAGGATGAAAGTGAAGGAACCTACAAGCTGAAGATGCTATCATGGAGACGGATGAGGAAAGCTAACAGCTACCAGCAGCTAATGGCAGATAAAAGAGCATAGAAATGAAGCCAGAGCACCAGAGCTCCTCCACACCAGAACACGTCGAAAGAGCTCGCTGCAGGTGCGAGCCCACTTTGCGGATGATCATCGTTCATCTCGAGCTCTCGTGCGGCGCGGAGCTCCAGCCTGAACGCTGCTGTTGACAGCCTCGGTTTACCGTTAGATGAATGAACGCGACCGATAAGTGTCTGCTAGCTTTTGGTTTTAATCCCGAGGCTCACCGCACGTTACCAACCAAATAAATAAAAAACAACCCCCCCTCCCCATCACAATCGCAGGAGAAATTTCATGTTGTCCATGTAGATACACATTACTCACTGTAATTCGTGGAATGTTCTTCTTTCCTTGGTAACCCGACATTTTGAAGATCCCTCAGACACAACTGTCCGCTGCCTCTTGGCTAACGCGAGCTAGCTTAGACTGCAACACCTCGGCTGCCAACGGAAGGAGGAATGGATGCTCTGCTCGTCGGCCGGTCGACGCGAGGGGCGAACCGGACCTATCTGGCTGATTTCCGTGTACGGTAAGTAAGGTTTCTACGCTGCAGCTGAACAAATGATACCAAATGGGTGGTTGTATCTTTTCCTGGCGGTCCTGTGCTTGGATTTACTGCTGGAACAGGTCCCTGAACACCAGGCGAGCGCCGAGAAGAGAAGGGCCCGCAGAGGTACCGCGCATGCGCACTGCCCCGCCCTGCTGCCCGATTATCATAGGGGTAAACAGGTTGAGCATCACCTGTTTAATTGATGATGGCCGCTTCTCGAGTAATTCCGTAGTTATGAAAACTACTTTAACTATGGGTGAAAAAGAACATTAACCATGGTGGATTAACCTGGCAATTACATATTTCTGTAAACAAGAGGGATCGATCAAGGACTTTTTACAGGTCCAACATTTATGACGTATGGGCTACTTTATAGTTTTGTCTGAAATGGAATCACTCTTAATACCCTATTTATAGTTTGCTTACACTGTTTAGATTCATCCAATGTCAAACTTGATTGCCATATGTCTATAATTATATCAACGAGTCAAAGACTCTTGCTTCTTAACACTGATAGAAGTGTTCTGATTGAATATCATTTGTACACATTGTGTTTACAGATCCAAGTAATCAAAGGAGTCAAGACATTAGGTTGGAAGACGAGTCTAAACCTTGTCCGAATTTGGGGAAGGGCATAGACTTGAATCAAGAGGTAGTTGTAACTAAAATGGTGCCTGTGATTTATTTTTTTTGACAACTTTGACGTTACGCACATTCTTTCTTTTCTTTATGATTTGTGTCAAAATGTTAATTCATTTCCATAGAGAGGAATTGTCTTAATGTCTCAAGCTTTGTATGGAGCCAATAATTATGGCACGCCATTCTATTTTTTGTGCCTTAGAAAGTGGATTAAGGTCTATTGAGCTTTATCCAATCTCTTCGGATTTATATCTCACCCGCTGTATTTAGTACATTTAGTGTTCTGGATTGCACAATAATTAACTGTACACGACCCTGTTATGATAATATGTACAGTTTAAGAGTTATATAATGCATTTAAGCCTAAATGAAGTTAGGATACTGCACATTATCGTAAATTATTTTTTCATAAGCTCTATAATGTAATGAATTTAAAAACAACAAATCATCAACTTAAACAATCACCATCAATATACAGATGACAAGCATTGTCATCAGGAAATCTAGTTGTTCTGTAGGTTCTACACACACTGGGCATGTTTTATTGTATCATATGATGTGACATGATTGCACAGTGTATTCTACATAAAAGCAAGACAACACACTTCGTTGAGGCCCGTGGAAATTCTTTCCTCTGTGGTAGTTTCTGTCACTGACGCTTCGGCAATTAAACGACAGCAAAAACACATTACACACACTGCAACAAAGCTAGGGAATAATTTCATAATATGCATTAATATCTATGTATAAACAAAGCATACCATTTCAAAAGGTTTTCCATCACATGGGGCAGATCACAGCTTAAATCTTATTTTCACACCTACATTTTAAAATATCTAAACATATCAGAAAATTAAGAAAAACAGTCTAAGATAAATCACCAATGTGCAGTGGTGAAGGATACAAATTTGGCACTTTGCCATTGCTTCTATATTAATTTAAAGAAGATATGTTGGCAAAAACAAATAAAAATAGCATATGGCCTGGTAAATAGCCATTCACCCCTTGTTCCAGTATCATAATATACTCAAACAACCCCTCATTCGATCAATGTGTAAGCTTTCCAACCTTCGAGAAAAACTAAGCTTTAATAAGAAAACCCTCAGGAGTCAACATGATACAACTTAAATTCCTTAGAAACGTGTGTGATTTAGAAAACCAATCCCACTGTGCAGTATCATCCGTTTCCCCTCAGATAACTGCACCTTGAATATTAAGCTCAAAAAGTTAAGGCGGTAAAAGTCCCCTCTGCTCCCAGAGCCAATTCAATTTGTTGCTTTGTGAATATTGCTCATATTTTTTGTTTGCACACTCCGGCCAACTGTGACAACAGTGGAGAGATGCCGCTTAGGAGAAGTCCAGATTTCTCATGAAATAACATCAAAATAAGTAGAGAAACCCTTAAGCCCCTTAACATCAAATCCGTGTCACATATCTTTGATTTGAACAGAATGACTAATACTTTGCAGCTCTAACAAGGTCTTTCATCTACTGGGGGAAGAAGTTGGTGACGGCTGCTGGGTACGACGTTGCCCTGTGTCCAAATGTGATGGGAGTGCAACCACGTTATGTCATGTGTATAACTCTACAACTACATCTATGCTGTGACAGAATTGAATGCTGACTGGAAGTCAAATGCGGGCGTACAATAGATAGCAGAGAGATAGCTTGACTACAAGAGAGACTTGGAGACAAAAGAACATCCAGGCACTGCTGCATCCTGTATTCAGTAAGAGCTGGTGGAGGCTGTGGCAATTCTTTTCCCGATATACACCCTGGAAAACAAACGTGAAAATGAATTGCATGAATAAAAAGAGACAATGTACACTAAAAAGGGAAACGCTGACATACTGGATAAAGCCATGAATACATATTAGTTTTTCAGTTAAAACTAATGCATTAACTTATGCATGAAGCCCATGTCCGAGAAGACCGGCATCAGATATTTAAAATGCAGTCATCTGGGAAACAATCATCCAAGTGGACAAGTTCTGTGAGTAAGTACAAAACATCAGTGCAGATTTATAAAAATGTAACTTTTAAAAATGCAATAACAAGACCTGCATTGTGTCCCTGCATGACAATCGGACTACGTGAATTCTCACTTACCCGAGGCCAAGAGCGAGAATGTGTGAGATGAGTAAGGAAGGGATGAAGACTTTGAGGAATTCAGTGGAGAATATGCCACCTTTCTTCATGACCCCAGTCTTTCTCATACTGAGAGACACTGAACGCCGCGGGTGCCTGAAGTGGAACTCCCTGCATGCAGCAATCAAACGATCCATTATTGCAAATTAACATCATAAAAACAATATCCTGAACCCCCGTTTGTGAATGTCTGCTTACTTCGGGGGAACGTTTTCTGGTCTGCTGGACCAGTCGGCGACCCAGTCTACTTCTTTGTTCATTAGGATGTCTTCCTCTCTGTACTTCTCTGCACTATCGTCTTCTGACTGCAATTACAGCGGCAAAGTCCTTCTGTTTCACTGTCAAATGAAAACAACTGAAAGGCGATGTAAACTTTTAAATATGTTGATTTACCTGACTGTCTCTTGGGCTGGGCATCTCCACATCAAAGGTTATCTGACCTTCATCCTGATCTGGACTCGGTGGCCTGTGAGGACTGAGTAAAAATATTTGGGTCAAATCAATTACAAAACCAAAACCGTGTCTGAGCTTTAAAGCACATTTAATGACATGCATTCTTACCTATTACAGGAGGAACTGCTCTGGCTGGATTCATGTTGTGCATCCAGGAGAATCTTTTCCATATCTCCATTGTGGATCGAGGAGGACGAGGGCACATGCTCCAGTCCTCCAATCAGGGTTTCATCACTCTCGGGCACATCTTCCAAGGTCTGCAGAGTTTGACTCATGCCAGCATTCGCGTTTATTTGGTCCGCAGCGGATGTCTCCGGAAGACTGGTCTGCACGCCCGGGTTCCCCGTGTTCCCATTTAGCTTCAGCTCTACCCAAGAGCCTTGGCAACACGAAAGGTCAAGAGGAGGGAAGGGTGGAATTTAGCTCGTTGTGTTCAAGTCTTGCAGAATGAACACCACTCAAACGCAAACCTCTGCCTCTTTCGAGTGTAAACAGCTGACCTACATTTTCCTGCACCACTGACACTGTGCATACAAATCAATTGGCTGTGAAATGCCTTTCACCATAGCATGCTTTTTTTTTTGTGCCACTGCCCCACAAACAGCTCGCACGTAACGTTAATGTTTTCCAGACGTTGGGGATGTTATGCAACAATTTCTTGTGTCCAGCGGGCTACAGTTAGGACGCAATTATTTAAAGCTTATGATAGAAACCCAATCCAGCCGCGTGTACACGACTGATTGTCCGTCTACAGACGAGTCTGTCATCGATGCTGCTCTCATGTGACGTCTTTTATAACTGTGAAGTGCAATGCGAGGCTATTTGCGCGAGCTGCGCCAGCGGGGACGTTGTCACACGTAGAGCGCACGTCCCCGCTTCTCCGTGTCAGCAAACGGTTTAGTGTTATTGTTTTATTAATTAGGCCTTCGGACGTGTCACTGTTTACACGCGTTTAGGAGCTGCTAGCCTGTGGGTGTGGGTACTTGGGCTGACGTCCTGCCATTATCCTCTTTTATCGTTTATATTTTGTTTAAAAGATTTTTTTTACCGAGTCGGCTACAGAAGACGTGAGAGTGAGGGGATTGATTATTGGGCGGGGGGGGGGGGGGGTTATTAAAACTGCATCAAATAAAAGCAACCATTATTTCGTCTTTTGTCCAAAAAATGTTTTCATTTGGGCTAGATCCAGCCCAGCGCTGTCTTGCGTACGTGATTGGCTGCCCCTACGTCAATCAAAGAATTTCGCACAACGCAATTGGCTAGATTATGGTGACGTCAAACAGCATCATCCTCCGCCCCTCCTAGAAGAGGAGGAAATACCTTCGCCGATGTAACTTTTACCATCAAATCTTGATTATACAAAGGTTGTCAAAAAACACACACCCATTAAAATGTTTTCAATATTTTTTTGTAAACGGGGAGCGCAGAGGAACTGGCGGCGGTACGTACCGTGAAGCCCGGGCTCCTCGTTATTGTTTTGTTGAGCAGCAGCGGTGGACATGTTGACTACAGTTTTAGAATTCATCAACATGACACGCAGACTAAGCAGCTTGTGCGCATGCGCCGCATCAGTCCAGAGTCCAGTTCAGACCGTAAGCAGATAGAAGTCTAAGGATATAGGTCAGTAATGGGAAATTTGTTTTATTCATTGTCATTACACGGAAACAACTTTAATGTGGAAAATATTTACGGAAATCTTGGAACACAATTTCTTCATACATGCAGAAAAGAGGAATGTTTGATCAAATGTAGGAACAAAAGAATCATTAGGTCAGAGTGCTCAAGTCAGCTGAGTCCGTGCAGTGTTGGAGGACACATGATAATAGTGCGTTGTGGAGTGTAGGAGGAAGGCCTTCCTGTTACTAGTTTCCTGGAGATTTGTAGAGAATGGGTCTGCGCAATATACTATGTACATTTCTTCTCCAGGTCCATGAAACGGGTGTCGTATTTTGAATTGGATAGAAGTCTTCATGGTGAATACATTTTAGACATTTGAGCAAGATGTGTAACGTCTGGCACCGCTGCAGGGATTAGAAAATATTGTTCATTTGAAAGCATGGAAGGAATTTGGTGATGCAATAGGCCTAATATAATCCTAGCAATGTTGTCACATGCTTTTGGGCAACATGGGCAAGTTTCCATGGGTTTATTTTAAATTTACAACACAAATATGAACTATAAATAAAGATGAATCTTTATTTCAATTGAGGTTTGAAATTCTTTATTACTTTTCATCTAAATGGTTCTATATTCCATTTGACAAAGATAAACATAGTTGTACAATGAACCATTTTTTATTTATGCCCCCCCCCCCCCAAACTCCCAATCCTTTTTCAAGAACCCCTTGAAAAAAATAAAAAATAAAAATACAAAATGAAATTCACAAAAATAAAAAAGTGCATTTTTGTTCTAACTCCCGGGTCACATGTATATAATGCTGCTTCAAGTGGGAAAAACCTCATAACTCCAATTTGGGCGGTTTCCCTGCACTGATGTGTTGAAAGCAAGTTTTTCTGACGTTCAAAAAAAACATAGCTACTTTCAAAAAGTGTAGATCTACTTGTAAAGGCAGTTTTTAATAAAAATCCTGAAAAGCTGTGTTTTTTTTGTTTTGTTTTTAAAGGTAGAGATTTTGATCACAGAGCAGCGGTAAATTCCCCTGAGCAGTCTCCTGTCTGGCAGACCAGAAAGTCCAAGAAACCTACTTGATTATCTTCCATCTTTAGGCTATAAGAAAGGCATTATGGTTCTTCTGAACATCTTTTCATGGATTAGCCTCAAACAATAGCTATGAAGATAATATGAAAGACATTGACCGTTTTGCAGTAATGCTCTAGAACAGACAGAGCACCTCTGCTGGACCTGCAGAACAGGGAATTAAATAAAAGAAACCTCATAACGGCTTTCACAAAAATTCTGGTGCATCATTTTTATACAAATTTCTGTATTTTTTCAAAATGTTTCTCAACAGATTGTAAGAAGAATGGTTATTGAATAAAAGTGAGTGCTTCCTTTTAATGATGGGACAATATGAGATTGCTCACCCTGTATTTTGAGTGGACAGCTATCCTCGTTGATTGGCTGGTTCGTGGACAACCCCGGTGCCACGTTACACAGGTTCATGCATATATAACATGAGGCAAATCACCCGCACACAAACTTGCATCAGATATTAAATACATTTTTTTTACCCAAAAAGAAAAGATTTGAAAAAAGTGACAATCAAGCTTAGAACCATCAAATGAAGATGGCTGGTTGTTTGGGCGGCATCCTACTGATGGGATTTCATATCTCTAAAAAAGGTGGGAGCGAACCATTAACTTTCATAATGACCAAAATGCTTCAAGGCCTAATTCAATGGCTTAATCTGTCATCTAAACATAATTTTAATGGACTGGCAAGCTGTGCTCTAATCAAAACTGTCGGCGCCAAAGGAGAAAATCAGCAGTGTGTGAATGAAGCCAAATGTAGCAGAGAAATAGCAGAATTCATTATTTAAAGTATCCTCTCCATGTTCAATAGTCATCAATGACCACCTACACAAAACAGTCTGCAAACCGTGTGGTTCCCAGATTCTCTTTAAATAAACAAATCTGTATCCTCCTGCATCACAGGAGAGAAGACCTACAATAATTGAAAATAACTCACTGCATCCTCAACTGAATTAACTAGCTTAAAAGAAACACATTTGAACAGTTGTGTGTTGATTTAAAAAGTCTTTCCCAAGTCAATCCAAAAAAGGCCTGGTCTTTCACAGCGAGCACAAAAATAAAAACCTCTAAAAATAAAAATAATTTACAGGTCGGCCAAATAAAAAAAAAAAACTAAAAAAAAAAAAAAAAAAACTTGTAGTGCTTCAAGTACTTTTCTTTGGACATCTCACGTGAGAAACGTCACATTTCCTTGATGTCACAAAAGTCTTTAGCTTTTAAAGAAATACCCGCTTGAATGAACATAATGTCCCAGAGTCATGACAAAAAGGAAACCGCATCCGGTGACCTTCCATCTACAATCGCCCCGAGACAGACAGATAAAGAATCTACAGTGATCAGACTGTAATCCTATTGCCTTAATTTATACAAAAATAAATCAGCTAAAGTGATTATTCTTCTTTTATCATCAGGTACAGTACAAAACATCATAAAAAAAGAAAAGAAAAAACCTCTTCCAACAGAAACAAGATCCAGAGATTAAAGCTATCGATCAATCTGCAACAACACGACAGACTTTGTGGGGACGTCGGCAATCAGGGCTCAATTTTGGTGCCACCAGACACGAGATTTAGGCAACGTCACAACATTTTCCCCTCCTGACTACAAGCGTTTCTCCTGAGCATTAAATGGTGGTCCACCTATGACCGGCCGCTTTGTCTGTAAGACAGCTTTAAATGAATAAAACTTTAGAGTCCATAAGACTGGTTACTTTTTGTATTGTGAGATGACATTCAACTCAAATTCACTTAAATGGACTAACTTGGTGTTTTGTTTTTGGCCATTAACTAGAAATGACAAAGACTAAATACTGCGGTGCACTTTCCTCAGAGTATTCATTTCAATGCACAAAGAGAGCCAACTTACATGCTTGAAACTTGCTTGAAATGAGTCATCACAAGGAACATTCAACTGAATCTTAGTAACGTACTTGAGAGCAGAGATTGGTTTGGAAACCTGATGCTGACATGTAGAGGACACTCCAGCATTAAAAGCAAACACACGTACGAGCTGTTGTATCAGAAACATGGGTGTTGTTTGGGTGATAAAAAGGAGAATGTCCTCGTTTCTTGCTCATTGCCAGATGTTAAGATATGCATGAGTTCTCTTGTATGCAACACGTAATCTCTTAAAACAATTACTTTGACTTAATCAACAGTTCACTGTGTTGGAATACATGTCAAGTTTGCAGTAAGTTGACTTTCTAACTGTAGAGAAATTTATATAAATCCTCCAGTAAGTAATGGCACGCTGGGTAATTCAGTGTCATCTTTTTGCAGAGAATGAGCTAAAACACCAGAATAGTCCTTTAACGGGATTACTATACTGTACACTAGAAAGTGGTGAGCGAGCTTGGCAACTTGACAAATACTTGGGGCAAAAATGGAGTGTTGACAGTTTGTATTAGCAGTGTTTCTGGCCAGCACAAAAGGGACTTGGTGACAGAAAGACGTATAAACGGTAGAAAGAATTTCCTATTTCAAGCTAATTAAACTAGGCAGCGACAGAATCTCGATGACTTGTTGCCGAGACATACACATGAATCATGTCACCATGGCACAACAGAATAATGAAACAATCGAGCCAAACGTGTATTAAACACACATTTTCCCTTTGGTCTGGGATGTAGTGGAGTTGGTAGCTTAGTGTACTGAGTCCTTCTGCTGGAGAAAACCCGTGAAACTAAATCCCAAAGTCCTGACTTTACAACCCCTGCATGTTTATACTGTCATACGCACGAAACATGTCTGTGTGACGGCCCGCGTGGGCGTGTTTATGCCGCCGTTTGTTGTTGACAGAGCAAGTCACTTTTAATACCAAAGTCACCCAGGGCAGATCTTATCAAGATTTGGGGATTTAGGACAGACAAATATATTGTTTGCATTTGTGTATCAGAGCAGTGGGGCTCAAGCCAAAACAGATCTGAGCAACTCAACAAATGCTAGTTCAGTTTTTCCTGGAATATGTACAGATTGTTGGTGGTGGCCACAGCAATGATGTTGTCCAGAGGATGCCAGGCAGTGTGGAGGATCTTCTTGTTAAAGTCCAGACTGTCTACACTGATCTCATCCTTTTTGCGCTTCCCACCTGTGCTTACTTTACGCGGCTTCAGGACAGATCGAGGCTTGCTGTTCTCACGCGACGCCTCGAGGGTCACGTCCTGCCGGTAGCCCCGATCGAACATCCTGAAGAAGTTGTTGTAGGAACCGGTCATCACAACGCTGCAGAGAGAGGAGGCGTGCAGGATTGAAGGCGCGACACGTTATAACGTTATCTAAAAAAGGTATTCATTCAAAAAAAAGGTTTAATGTGTGGAACATAACGAAAGCCCCTCTGCTACCAAGACCAAAACAGGTCCAGCCCTGCGCTCTGCCTGGAGCTGATAACCGCAGTAATTGATAAGCCCAATTTAGTGGCCAGTTCAGTTGCGTCAATAGTTGCCTGATCAAAGCATTTGCAGGGCACATGCATTTTTAAAGTGTGGGGAACTCCAAAAAAAAGGTATAATGAATAAACCACAACTAAAAGACATTTAAAAAAAGACTATATTCAAGTGGAAAAGTCAGTTTCTAAGACTATTATTATATATTATACAGCCTATTTTAGTTTGCCAATAATTGAAAATGTACAACATCTGAGCATTGACCTGTTTGATTTACAAACATAACCCCCCCCCCAAAGTGAAACTTGGCTACCAGAGTAACAGTTACATCTGTTGACTCTCATATGAAATACCTAGAACAACACTACAGGTACTTTATGCCTTTACTGCCAACAGGTCAAACTCACCTGTCGTTCCCATTCCAACAGCACTCAAACTTGTCGAAGATGCAGTCATTCTCATAGAGGGAACACAATTTACTCCGGAGATATTCATGCACCTGTTAAAAGAATGTGATCAAGACGTATTGTAGTTACAATCAACAGTGAAAACAACACTCCAAGAGACCCGTTTGAGTAGGGCTCCTGTATAATTAACAGGCCGTACACACCTGATATGTCTCTACGGGGCGGGACTCCATATTGAGATCCCAGATTTTGACAGACAGGTAGTCTCGTGTCATCATGTAGCGTCCACTGTGGCTGAACTTCACATCAGAGATGGATGAGATGATTTCAGAGAAGAACGAACGATTGTTTGGATCCTCTGGCTCTTCGAACTCTTAAAAAAGAAAATGATGCATGAGTCATTAGTATGCCCCGTCGGCCTGCCATTACTTGCGATTATCCAAATATCATTTTGTAGTCTGACATTTCAATTTAATGCGGAAAGATAGTCGACAACCAAGTTTTAATGGTGTAGTTTTTTTGGGGGGAGTTTTTCCTGTGCCGATGGAGGGTTTCGGGGCAGAGGATGTTGTATGTGTACAGACTGTGAAGCCCTCTGAGGCAAATTTGTAATTTGCGATTTTGGGCTATACAAAATAAAATGACTTGACTTGACTAGTCACATCAGGGACGCACTCACATTCTTACTAGTCTCAATCCCACAGTTCTAGCACATACTTGTTTCTACGACTAACAAACTGAAAGGATGAAGGGTAGTCCATCATGCAGGTTCACGGTGAACTGAACTGCTCCACTGATAGAAAGCAGTGTTTATGAAATTGGCTCACGTTTGGCATGCTGGTCACACAGAGCAGACGCCCGCATGTCACACAAGCGGATGGTGCCCTTGCTGCTGCTGTAGACAAAAGTGTTACATTGGTTCGGGTGAAACTCTGCTGCCGTGATCACCTCCGTCAACTCCTCCATGTTGGCTGGCTTGATGTCAACGATGTCTGAAGACGCGTGGTTAAGGTCAAGGGGGGAAAAACAGCTCAACATCCACATCTCAGAAAGATCTTTTTAGGAATAAAATGAAGTCTGTCATTTTCCCAGAGACCACAAAAAGTTTTGCATGGCTTTGGGAAATATTAGAGGTCGGTGACAAATGTATTTAAAAAAACATTAAAAAAAAAATTAAAAAAAAGAAATATGCTATGGCGGTGCTCTAAACCAGTTACTGCTTCCTTAGAGAGAACAAGTCTCTCACACAGGTTTCTCAATGGAAAGTCAGCTCAATAGAGGACTAAAATGAATTTGAACTACTTTGTCAAACTGAGCATACTGCATATTAAGAGTTACTCTGTATCCAAGTTCTAAAATCCTAACTTTGGAGGTCATCTGGTGGTACCATCATTTATGACACCGTCATAAGCACCGATCGCATTTTTACTTATATTTAGTCGGCCTTAGCACAGCTACCCCTTTGAGTGGACCAGCACAAAGCCACAATATAATTGGTGTATGGTCTACATAATGAAAAGGGTAACAGTCTCTACTGTCTTGGCGTATAACAGAAAATATGCAGTGGGTTTGTGTGTTGCAAGGACTTAGTGATGAACAGTCTGACTGTTTCCAATTTGACTGAAGCCTGCTGCCTAAGTGAGCGAGCTGCATGAGGGGGAATACCATTCATTATTTAACACTGTGCATTATGGGGGTGGAAAAAAAAAGTTAACTATGGCAGATTTATGGCTAAAACTGGTTTGACACTTTTTTCTTAGCCCACATGGGAGACGTTAGTATAAAATTGAAAGGCAAATCCCATTACAGTAAGTAGTGTTGCAATGCCACACCTTTCTAACCCCAGATAACTGAAGTGCAACCAACAATGAGGACTTATGTCAAGATCTACAGAAGATGAAGATTGCATGAAACTAAAAGGATACTAAAGCTGCGATCGTTGATCTCCAGATTCCATAGGTTGATGCGCAGGTCGTCTGCAGACAGGTATGTCTCACAATCACTGTTGACTGAGATGGAGTTGATATGGTAGGTATGCGCATTCGCAAACACGCGTCTCGGGCTGGCTTCCACCATCAAGTCCATGGGCCTGAACACTGGTACCTGAGGAGGAGCAGGGTTCGTATCACATTCATTTTAGAGAAGGTGCGTGGTAAACACATTGGCATTTGTTTTAAAATTCAGTTTGTTGTTAATTTTTTTAAAGGAAATCTGGAAGTGGCTGAACACTTTTTTACAGATGTAATTAACATAACATTAACGATCCACACCATAAGTTATCAGTTACACCTTTGCTGTCAAGATACGGCAATATGTCTGCTTTAATCACAAAAATCGGACAAATTAGACAGTGCCTTAACGAGTGAAGAACAAATGGTAAAGTATCCTTGTGACCATACTTCAACTAATTAAAATGTAATTTAATAAGCTCTTAATAGTGCAAACAATCAATCTCAATGTTACATACACAATTTACTAAAGCTACAATCTACTATGCAAACAGATAACAGTCAACGGCGGCATACTAAACATGTTTAATGATAACATTAAATAGCGACAGAAACACACCCGTAGCGTTGTGACAGTATTGAGATCTCTGTAACGCCCGTCTTCTTCCTTCAAATTGTAGCCCTCTGGTCTCTTGTCTCGCTCACTAATTTTCCACAGCTTAATGGTTTTGTCTACCGATGAGAAGAGAAGACATCATGGACAAACTCTCAAGCGTGAAAAGAAACAAGTGCACATTTAGACTGGTGAAGTTCAAAGCAGCTAAATATCACTTACCACTACGGAGAATACAATTAATTACAAGGCACTTGTTTACTAACCATTTGTAGACAAAAGGAACTGTGCTGCGTTCTTCTGGGGCAACCATCGAATCTTGTTGATCTTCTCCTCGATCTCAAGGCTTTTTAGGTAGTCAAATTCAGGTTCATGGCTCTGGAAGGTGCTGTAAACATTGTACTCTCCTCTGCACTGTGGTTGATTCTTAGTCTAAAGAATGACAGATGGCACATACAAGTTCAAAAAAAAGAGTATGACAGAAATAGACCCTCATCTGAGAACAAGATTCAGCAATTCATCTTACGTAAAACCAGAGCACACAAAGTTGGTATTGTTGGCTACATAAGACATCAATGCGGGTATATTTTGTTGGGTCGGATGAGTCACCAAGTAATTACCTCTGGCTCCTGCTGAAAGATGACCACGCGGCCCCCTTTGTCCCCAGTGGCGAGAAGCTCCCCAGAGTGGTTGAATTCAACAGTAGATATGATGTCAGCTGTTAATGAGGGAGTGTAATTAGAATGCCATTGTTTCTTTAGCTAGGTGTCGGAGTCTTATTCGCTGCTGTAAGTAGGGAGCCCGTTGAGTGCATCGGAGGAAGGTTTGGTATAAAACAATTTCCCACTGGTATGCAACGACTTTTGTTAATCCAACGACAACATTAAATCCCTGATTAACGTATAAACCATGTTAAAAAAAACGACAAAGCAGTGGTGTACATGTTGGCGATGAAACTAAAAGCCTACTCAACACTGTCTAGAAGGCAACAAAAAAAAGAAAGCATTCTCGTCAAACCTCAACAATGCATGTTTATAGGCTGGCACTATTCTGAACCAGTACCATTCTTAATATACACGATGGTGTTGTTCTTCTGTTAACAGAGCACACACAGACTTTGATTCAATCCAACTCCATACAAACTTTCCTATAAATGCAGAAGTATTACACCATTGTGGTGTTTTCAGCCAGCGAGCCACTGCTTTGTATTGACACTTGTTCTCAGGGAAAGCTTACTGTAAACAACAGAGATCCTTCACACACACAAAGTCCACCTTCTACTGTAAACATAGGCTTTCATAGCACGGGTGAATTAACTCATTGGACAACGGAAAAGGGAATTGTTACAATACAACCACCTCGCTTATCTGTTAATTGAGATTAAATCATTTATAGTAGTGCTGCATAATTAACATCCATGTTAATTATTATTTACTGAATTATCAACTCGGGAAATATTATCCATGATACTGGAGGTGTCACTTTAACCAAAATCACAGACAACATTCTTCTATCCAAAGTGAAAACTGCAGCAAAGTGTGTATTCACAGACATTAATGGTCATCCGCGGCTTCTGCATCAAACACACTGGGTAGAATTGTAAAAGTTGAGACATTTTAAGTTAGGCCTGTTACAGCCTAGTTAAACCTATCGGGTGCAGGTTAATGTTCTACGATAACAATCCTCCATAGAAAATGCACGATGCCTAAAACAAAACGCGTAACAGCGGGTCTAAAGATAACAACAAGCATGCTCGGGGCGTCTATCGCAGGGTGAAAGTTAGCATCCTGCTAACGTTTAGGTGACCACCACATGGACTTACCTTCAGCGACATCATCATCTATCGCTCCTTTGACTTGGGAAAAGCACCATTGCACGTCACTGTTCCCACCACCGGCCCCTGCACGAAACAACAAACAACACACAAGGTTTAACGACAGCAACCTAAAATAAGACAACGTTACACGCGTTAGTCCGCTGCTTGGTTTGGCTCAAACCCGGTTTGTGAGAAAATGGGTTACACGCTTCGCATTTCGTATTAAATATTTTAGCTCGTGGGGCTTATTGCAGGGAAAGAGCAATGGTTTAATCGGGCTTTCAGTGTGGAAAACTCACTTTCACATGGTCAATGACACAACATTAGCATTTTGGAGGTATCCTAGCTTGCTAGCTAGCCTGCGGCGGTTACCGTTAACCACAACACACAGTCAAACACGTCGTCCGTATTGAACAGGATAATCCACCGTTAAATATACGAATATATTTTTTAAAACACAACGCAACCCACTCAGAGACTTGGCTGTGTGAACAATCTACCTGCCATGGCGAGAGACGGAGACGGAGTAACTATGTAGCGGGCTCGGGCCCTGAAGAGGAGCCGTGCTGACCCGGGTCGGCCGAGTGGTTCTGACCGAGCAGGAAGTTAAACCAGCAGCGCTGCCGTTCGTACGACCTGCAAAGACCGCAAAATTCGTCGTCCCAGTTGCTGTTGACAGCGTGTAACTGCTTTAAACTAAGGGGAGTAAACCGGAATCTGGCTGTTAGACTTTGCACTCCACTTTGAGATTTCCCTCGCCTCTGCCTCTCCCAGCATTTCAAAATGGCGCAACGCGGGCGGCGTTCAGCGGGCATCGCACGGAGAGCGGTGAGGGTGCACCGTGACATTTTAATCGCGCTTTCTCCTGAACCGTCGGCGACGGTGTGTCTTTTTCCTGTCCCCGGATAACACATGGTTGATATATCTAAACTGTATTTCATTTTTAATTAAAAGTTACAAGGCCTACAAGGAGAAAATGAAAATCTTATGTTTAACCCCCGCCCATGTCGATTGTTTCAGCGGTTGGAATCGAACAGACGCGCCTGGTTAGGTTTCTGCGGAGCAGAAAAACAAGGAACTAAATTTGATGTAGATTTAATTTTTAAAAGTGACTTAGTTTTAAGATTTAAGACTATATTCAAGTGGAAAAGTCAGTTTATAAAACCATTCTTATATATTATACAGCTTATTTTAGTTTGCCATGAAAATGTACAACATCTGAGCGTTGACCTGTTTGGTTTGCAAACATAACCCCCCCAAAACAGAAATTCCGGTTCCACTTGCAACTGCCATTGAGTTTCCACTAAATCTGTTGCATGAATGTATGGGTACGCCCGAATTTCTGGCACTTAATTGGTGCATATTCAAAGTTGAATGACACAATAACTACCCATGCAGACAAGAGCACATAAACCTGCTCTGGCACTCATGGGTGAAACATGGTTTTCACTGTTGGAACATCTTGGGTATTAATAATAATATTAATTGTTGATAGTTTCAGCAGAGAAATGACAACAAACAAGGATTGATGCAAAAAAATGGGCATTTTATCCCATAAGCCAGTGGGGCACCCCTGCTTTAGACAATTTGACTATTCTCAAATGTATTTAGAAATATGCACTATGTGGACAATGTTGATTCTAATGATAAATTCCTTATAAAGTCAAGACATACAATAAAGGATAATAGGTGAAAAGACACGTGTTTTCTTAAGATCCAAATAATTTACAGAAAAATGCGTACAAAATTGACCAAGGAATTGCAATATATTATATTATGAAATTAGCATGAAGGCCTTAAGACCTTCTGTGAACATGGGACTCGTCTGGGGATTCAGCTTTCCCAGACACGTAAGATCAAATCAGAGGGGACCAATCACCAATTTATTTAGGACAAATTAGACGATGGCTGACTTTGCCCCTGCTTATATTCCTTATTTTCATAACGATTTGCTGTAAAATTTGACATGTGCTTCCCAATGGAAAACAAACAAACACCACTGAATATTTTATAATTCAAGAATACACAATACCATTTTTGTATAGCACACTATTATACAAACACGTTTTATATAGCTTTGCTGTGGTTATTTGTGCATCTCAGCAGATATCACAGTTTCTAAATTACACTGTCGCTCTACATGCCTGCAAAACCCTGTTTGGAGTATTTCCCAAAAACTACACTGAAGCTGTGGGCACTACTGCAGAGGGTGAATGCAACAGGGAAACATCATCAACAACACTCCAGCTGATCCCTCCAGCTGTTGCTGTGTGATGTGGATACATTCATTTATGCAAACTGCCTACAGACAACAAAGCTCAGGGTGGTTTGCCTGGTCATCTTGTCCAAAAACAGCATTACTCGGCAACAGTCAGTTTGTTTCTACTTTCCCACCATAAAGTAAGTGGTCCACCTGGCAAGGAGCAAAGCACCAAACAGGACAGTGTAGCTGAAGAGAATAAATTTGAGGATTTCCTTGAACGTCCGGAGGAAGCGGATGAATAAGGGGTCCACATCCACATCCAAGTCCTCCAGCTGTGTCTTCTGCCTGCGACCGGGTTGAAGCAGGTGTCCCATGTTCTCACCTCGACCCATTCTGCAAACACACGCGTTTGTGAAATTTAAAATAAAATACAAGTGAATGAATCAAAAACTGTACTGTCCAACTGGCTTGTCCATTTGAAAGTTCATTAGAAAACATGTAGCACAAAGTAAGATCATATGAAAAAAGCATTTCAATTAAATAGGACAAAACACATTCAAAATACAGAAAACAGATGGCATATGTTCTTTACTAGTATATATTTAAGTTATACATACGTTTACATAGTTTAGTGCCTAATGTATTTTTCATTGTGTTCAAGTTTATTTATAACATGAGTGTAAATTGACTCGTTCCGGCCTTGAGGAGCTAAGGCGGCGGCATAGTCACAAGACCACTATTAATAATTTATCTGTAAATTGCACTTAGTGGGTTCTATATTGATCTTATTTTGTGGATTGGCACAAACAAAGCAGACTATTAAACATCAGAATTCATCAAGTGTTAGACTCTTTTTTTTGCGGAACCTGAAATGTAGCTTGATGAGTAACATTGAATACTGTATATTTGTCGGACTACCGAAGTTGCAGCAAAGCTCATATGTTGACCGCGTTCTTTGCAAAATAACTAACATAATATTCATTAACATTATACTAATGAACAAGGTCATACGGTTAATACAATGTAGTCGGTTTCATTAAAAACTGTGTTGAAGTCTTGTCCTCTAAAACATACATGAATGAATGAAAAACAAGCTGAAGACCATTTATATCTAGGCGGAAATAAATAAGATAAAGTAAAACAAACTTTAACTCATCATACCTTGGTTTTGTTGAGGCGGGGACTGATTATAAAGTGGGCTCCTGTGCTTCCAGCCCTGAAGTCCAATGTTGGTGTGTTTTGCCTCGAGCGTCTGGAGCCCTTGTGGCAGAGGAGGAGCCAAAGGCAATAACTGATCACAGATCTCAATCCCCTGGGATTGATTTAATGGGAGTTTGAGTCTTCAGTGCACCTGCTCCTCACACAAAGGGATTGGAGTCTTCCTACGTTAAACAAAAATCTGACAATTAAGTATTTCAAATCCATTCAATCAAAGCAGCTTCCAAGTCCTTCGGGGGCCAATCAACATGGGGAAAACGAACATAGATTTACTCAAGAACAGTGAACACCAAAAACCCTCTGAGTGCTGTCAGCAGGTCTCCTCGTGTCCATAGTGTAAGGCACGGAGAAGGTATCGACTGAAACAGGGATCAAACACCCTCCCGTAGCACAGTTTCCTTCTACCGGAACACAGAGCAAATGGCCTCCTAATTCAATCAGTGCCCTGCACTGTCAAATCAGCGGCTGCCGTGGGCTGAGCTCTCCAGACAGCGCAGGGCCATTATCGGCTGATCGGAGGCCTGTTACTGCGCTAATTGCTCCTTCAGAGAGCCGGACCGCTGCTGACGGATACACTCCGCATCCCTGCCCTTCGTCTGCCATCCCTCATCACAATCAGCTGTCTGAAGATTATCTAGTAAACAATAAGCAAAATGGCCCCCGACGCGAATTGAAGATGAATTTCAGTTAGCAACGTCTTTATTTAACTACTATCAGCCAAACAAAAGCCACAAAGCGCTTCCTGCAAAATCCTTCAAATATTGAAGAAGTGCCCTTTTAATGATCGTATGCGTGACAGATGTTTTAAAGCAACAAAAATATTTTTAATCATACATACATATTTACAGCTGGTCCAAGGCAGAACAATGACCTCAGTCATGTAAACTTACCCAGAGGAGAAAAGGGATGCATTACAAACAGTAACAATAGACCAGCGGCATATTATATCGTCTGGGTACAAACTAAGGACAGGAGAGAGAATCTTTTTATTAGTGTGTCAACGTTGTGTTTGTGTCGTCCACACGCGTGAGGCTGCAGGTTCATGAAACACATTCTTCTTGCGGGACTTAACACTTTCCCACTGATCTGCAATTGGTGGTTAAAGAAGCGTAATAAAAAGGACAAAAACATGGGACACGACAATACACTATTTTAAATATGAAATAAATCATCTATGCAAATTGTCTGTGCTCAAGGACACACCAGTAACACAGAGTACAGGAAGCTCCACAGGGCACCATTAAAGAGCTTGTTGTTGCTCAGACATCAATGAGACACCTGCAGTACACGGATATAGACATAAAAAACAGCTGTTTTTCCCGATCGATGGATGAGCCGTTTGATGTTGCCAGGTGTGCATGCAGGTGACTCAGGAGATCTGGGATTCAGGTCGGTCCATGAGGGATTTGATCCAAGTTGTACCATTCAGGAGTTTTGTGGTAGCTATGATATACTCCATCCCACTGTCTTCCATTTGAGAGAGAAAGCGAAGAGCGGCTATTTCTGCGTAAGACACTCCACCGAGGAAGAACACCAACGTCGTCCGATTCTCCCCCTGCTGACCTGTACGATGGCAAGAGGGGAAGCATGTCACGCAAACAAAAAAGGTGAAAGCCACAATAACGACTACTGAAAGCAAATGTTGACTATAAAAGCAGCAAGTTGTAAATTTAGAAAACCCTTTTCAGACGTCACCCTCTCTCTAGATTACAGTCCTTTATTATTACCTTTTCAAATCCTTTGTGAGGCAACATGCAGAACCCGGTCAACTGTCTCGTGTCCAAACTTGCCTTTTTAGCAATTAGCACATGTCAAACAGAGTGTTTAATTAAAATAATTATTCACATCAATTCGACACCTACCACATCCAATATGCAAAGGAGGAAACAGAAGGAAAGCCCTGGTGGTCACTGACAAAGCCCATCTTGCCCTTTATCTAAGCCTCCTCTTCCAACAGACACTAACGGCGTTGTCGGCTGTGCGCAATCAATCCGCTTGACTTCCGCGGAAACAAAGGCCGCGTCTTATCTACGCAGAGCAGGCCGGCGCCCGTTGATTTTTACTGTGTTCAGCGATCAGAGCGGGTTTGTTTGCACTGGTCCTTACGCTTCTTGTGAAGGCCGGCGGGCAGCTGCTGTCTCTCCTCAAAGTGCGGGCCCGGGAGCAGCTTCAGCACCTCCTCGATGCTCCGCCAGCCGGGCCGCGCCAGGACCTGGGTCAGTCGAACGCTCAGCGGGGCGTAGCCACTGTACACGTAGGAGATGTCGTTGGGATTCTGAGGAAATTAAAAACAAAAAAGGTCTCCATTAAAAGTGCCCAGGTTTAATCCTCAGACTTCTTTCTTTGCTTATTAAATTGTGTACCTGTTCATTGGCGTCTTCCATCCACAGCTTGAGGGTTTTTCTTATAGTGGGGTAGTTATTCCGTGAGCTTGTTTGTAGCTTCAACAGACTGGCCTTCTCTAGGTTGTTCAGTGTCAGTATGTGTTCATAGCCGTAGGTCTGTAGCAATAAAAAGAAAATAAACGCACTATTAAAGAATTTTTAAATAATAAGGTGCAGTATGCTGCCTATCATCCACATTTCTTCTGTTGATGCAAAGTAAAATGTACATTCTTTGTACAAAGAAGACACCAACACCAAAAAACAATTGTTGTGTCTTGGACTTTACCTGGAGAATCTCCCTCTTATAGTATTCAAACACTTTCTGCTTGAGGCCGTTGTTGCAGACTGACTGCATACACATCAGACGCAGTATCTTTATCAGTGGATCCTTTTGGGCAATGCAGTCTTCTATGTACGTGTTCACCTATGAGAGTAACACAACACTCACTCATAGATAATGTATATAAATCACTTATCTTCTATATTGGGACTTGATCCAAAACCAACATGCGCAACAACAAATTTCCTAAATGTTGCTCAATCATGATAGATCTCTCTATTTTGGTGGGATAAATTAGCTTTGTAAAAACAATATGCAGATAGATGAATAATACCTTGTCTGTGTCAACTCCAGTCATAAACTCCTGCTCCACTGTTAGATTTTCAAAGAAGGCCTCAGATGCTGAAACAAGAGACACAAGTTAGACTGACATAATAACCTCGGTTAGCTTCTTTCTAATGTTATTCATGTCTCTTTTTCCCCACTGGGGATTGATGAAGTTTCTAATCTCAATGACTTAAAAGTCACAATAGTGTAGGAACAAATAAATTAAAATGATTGTGTAAAGGTTTATGGCTTAATTTTGTAATAAGTAAAATATGGTGTGAGAATGAGTCCAACGTGCAGAAAGAACAAAATATAAAGTAGTTTACGGGGAAAAGAGAGGGTTTATTTCTTACTGGTGATATCCTTGATCAGCTCAGCGATTGACGTGTGGTTGGCCAGTGAGCTCCGAGCTGCCTGCATGTGGGGCAACTGAGACACAAACTGCTTTATTTCTCCCACCGTTTTTGCATTGTGGCGCTCCTGAAAGACAAAAAGTAAATATCCCTTTACTTGCACAGCAAGCTATGGGAAACTGCAGCCCGGCGCTGTGGTGGTTAGCACTGTGACCCCACGGCATGAATGTCCCGAGTTCAGACCCAGCACCTTGCTAGATGGAGTCAGCATGATGTCTCCAGGTACTCTGGCTTATGACCTTTGTGCTAAAATACCATAAAGATTACAACCAGATCAGCTAAGATGCCAGAAAGTGATCCAGTGTGGCTCCCTGGAAGCAACAGACATTTTAACAACATTTTCCTTTTAATTACTGTTATGAACATTACACTATAATCCTTTGAGACCGAGGCAAGACCAACCTCAAAGGCCGCTGAAATGATTTTGGCCTTCTTGCTGAGTGCTGCTCCTACAGCGTTGAAATTCTTGTCCCGTATTTCTGCGTAAAGTTCCTCCGCCGAGTTGAGCTGTAACTTCTTAGACTCTGTGGGTAAATCTTTACTCGCCTCACCTTGCTTCTTCTGCGCAAATTTCTCCGGAGGCAACTTCACATAACCTTTGAGTGGGAGCGAGTAACAACAAGGACAGGCGGTCAAAAATAAAAGCAGTGGACATTCAATAACCTGCACATGCAGACTTAAAATAATTATAAGAGTGTAGTCATATCAGACGTTCAGAGAAAGCGAGGTGCGTGCAAAGATTTATTCTGACCGTTGGTTATTCCATAGATCTCGTCAATTAGACCCTCGTAGGTGAGCTGCGTGGCCAGAGGGGTGAGCAGGTCAATATTACGGTCCAGGAGGAGCAGAGTATCGAACACCGGCAGGATCTGATTCTGACTGCCGGCAAACTCTCTCTTCATTCGCAGCATCATGTTGGCAACATGCTGAGAGCAAGAAGGGGATTTCTTTCTTAGACAAGCTCACTCACCGGGTTGATGATGCAATTAGCGGTCTAAAATTACAATTCCACTAAGCACGTTACTCACCCGAGCACAATCTCCTTTCCCATATATCTGGGGGATGGTGCCATAAAGCGCCTGCAAGGTCATGAGGCCTTTGGCTGTGTGGTAAAGACTTGTTTGGTCATTTTCTAAGTAGCATTCCTGAAAGAGAAAGGGAGAAAAACAGCGATTATGACAGTTACAAATCACAGCTATGCATCTGTATAAAGTGTGAAATTAAAACATTTACTGGGAACTCATAATACCGATAATATAAAAAGTTGATTTGTAATATAATCCTCTCGTTAATTAACACTTAAAACGCACCCTGAAAGCGCTCTCATACTCCATGGAGAGCAGGTCCCCGTCGTAGGGGATCAGGTCCAGGATGTACTCGTCAATGTTGACGAAGGAGGCCAGCACACCCTGCTCCTTCAGCCGCTGCTCACATAGCATGCTCCGGCGGGGCACAAACAAAATGTGGAAGTCTCGGGACGAATGCATCTTGTCCTCGCTGAAGTTGCACAATCCAGGACAAAACCGTTAAATGCTACGGTCATTGTAAAAATAAAAAATAAATAATCTGCGTGGCTTGAAGATGGGAGACATAAAGAACAGACCTGAAGACATTCTCAGCAATGATGTCCATGAGCTCCAGTCTTGGACGAACAAAGAAAATGATGTTTTTGACGTCGGCAGAGGGAAGCTTGCCACTCTTGAGGGTGAACATCTTTTCCACTTCATGTTCCTGAAAAACACAGCAATAAACTCACGGCACGTGTTTGGTTTACGATTAACAGAAACAAACAACGTTTGTCTGTGTCTTTTGACAGCTGGGACATTATCTGCGTTCATTTCACAGGAGAAAACCCGGGATCGGAAAGCACTTACCTTCAGCAGAGAGTACTGCGCTATCAATCCAAATGGTCCCGTCAGATATTCATCCCAAACGATCGCCTGCAGAGGAACGGGCACAATAGAAAGTCACGATTGGCTGGAAATACCCCGTATGCGGAAGTGTTACCGATGAATTCACTGTTAGCTACTTGTTCATAACTAAGCATTGCGCCGAATGCAAAACAAAAACGTTTTAAAGTACATTCACATTATTATTAGTTCTTAAAATAACCTGCATGAAAGTCGTGTCGCCCATTGACAGCTAAAATAGGCTGTCAATGGGCGAATGGGCCAACGGTGAGATCCGTGGATATGTAGCGTTGGCTGTTTTACGTGGTGTGTTTCAATTACCTTGCTTCCCGCACATTTATCCAAAAACTCTCGAAGTTCTTTACGTGCTGCTTCTCTCAAAATGTTTAAATTGACTCGCCCGTACGATAGGTGTGCCGCCATGTTTCTGCATCAGCGTCAACACAACAAATCAGGTGACTGCAGCGGGCGACATTCAACCACGTGGCCAAAGATGATACGACACCAAGACAGTTCACGCCACACACACGTCTCTTAATGGTCGATCAGAAATAACGGATGCTGGCCAACAGGTTAGCAATCCACTCCAATCTAGTAACGCTAGTATCTTGTTTGTCTTACGTTTGCGTATTTGTAGCTTGAGAGAAGGCAGTTTTGAGGAATATCTGCATCCAAATGCCTTAAACCACGTGCATCTGAGTAAAACTTTCCGCAATTTGGTTATTCTTAGTGAGATGCGAATACAAAAGTAGGATGGATGCAACCTCTTGCTTCGTCTCTAGTCTTTTTCTGTTTGTAGGTGCGGCCAACATGCACTGTAACTGCTAAAAATTCCTATTATATGTAGGCTATGTATATCTAACAAATATGCTTGTGAGCGGGGTTTCCCACTATGTGTGCTGAATGCACCTATGTTGCACGGGAATATATATTAAGTGAAATAGGTCCACATCATCCTGTCTTCGGTGCAATGATCAGTCAATGCAATAGATGGCGTAATCTCTGCACAGTACGAATCAAAGTGCCGAGTCTCCCTTATAATTCAGACACTGAGGTTAGAACATCAGCGATTGCATTTGAAAACGTAATAGTTGCACCTGGAAAAAAAGCCAGAGATCTTTCATGATGGCGAGGAAACAAAACGATATTTAGTGCAAGGAAAGATAACGAATAAACACAAATTAAATGGGAATTTGACGCTAGTTAAATTAAATCAAAACCCATTCAAATTCAAACCCTAGTTAACTTTGAACAACCGTATCATTCTGTGTAGGTTAAAATGCCATGAAGCGCAGTAACAAATCACCAGAGCCTATGGGCGTACATAATCTAATAGAAAATGACTCAATAAGGCAGCGTGGATGATGAGACAAATGTAGACACCATGCGCTTTATAAAGAGACAATCGGATCAGGTGATGGCTGCCCACTTAAGCATCAGTGTTATCACTTCACATCCAGGGGTTTCCTTGCCTGGGTACCAAGGGCTTTCCATCCTCCACGCAGGATAGAATACGGGTTCCCACGCATTGTGGTGATCCACGGTGCCTCGGGCAACAGACTACTACTCCAGGAAGAAAAAAGAAAAAACACGGGTTTTGGTGACAGGCACCATCCGCAATGACTGACTCTGTGGTCGCAATCAGGCGCTGCACAGATATTTAGTCCGCATCATTCACTGACAGCTGCCGGGGAGAGAGGAGAGAGAAAAGCAGGGCTGGATTCTCAGGTAGGCTGGATGATCTCCTTCGAGGATTTTTTTCCAAACATTATTGGATTCTTGACATGAAATCTTTTTGGCGTTATTGCGTTTGATCGTTTTGACGTTTGGTTAGTAGAATTCTCATTTAGAAGTTGAATGAATGCAGCATTTTTCTCACAAGAGGGAGAAGCTTGAAATTATTTTTTACAAGGGAACACATTTTATTGCCTGTATTTATTCATTTGATGGGATGCCTTTATGAGCCTGTTACTTCCTCAATCATTTGAATAGAAAGATTTGCCTGCAGTGCAACTCAGTGTGCATTAATCTGCTGTAGTTAACCTATAAGAGGTACACATGATTATTAATTATTATTAACATTTGATCGATTGCTTTGTTTTAGGGAAAACATGTCTTACTAAAACATTGCTCTGCAGTGGAATTCTATTGTCTTGTTTTTTCAAATGATTGCATTGATTTACTACAGCATGTTTTAATGTTGTGATGTATTAGTCTATTGACAAATGTCCGATTAATATAACTCTTGGTGTAGCTCAATAGGCTTTTCTAAATCCCTTTTAAGATGAATTAAAACAATACTTTTTGCTGGCTGCACTCTTAAAACACGCTGCTTCCTTGTTGTAGACGTGACATGAGAAAACAGAGTGAGTAAATCATGGAAATGTGGGAGATTGTGTGGCTGCAGTCCCTGGGCGTTGCTGCATGATTTTTAGGAGTGTGCATTGGGGCTTTATGTGTCTGCAGATTAAGAGGAAATCACCAGTGATTCCTCTAAATGCTGATGTGGGCTGGGCAGCTCTCTCAACTCCAGCTGTGCCACAGGACAGGTGATTCAGTCGCATACTTGTTGTGATGTTATCTCACCCTGCTTATTACACATAGTGGATCGGAGCGCCCAGCGTTGCTTTCTGGTGTCAATATCGAAGGACAGAAAGAATAAGCTGTGAAAACGCCTCTCAGTTGCTTCCACCATCTCCAACTCCTCCTATAGACCTGAAGCATGGGGATTAGATGGGGGAGGGGAGAAAAGACTGAATGAACGGTAGAAATCTGCAGCTGCCTCCTCTCACATGAGCAACCACAGTAGTGATTGGACGACACCCTTGTGCTGGTACCTCTCTCTCTGGGTATTGTTCAGTGTCTGCCCACTGTTTCTCTGTCTAGAGAAAGACTGGAATTGGTCAAGAGAGAAAAGTACATGGGTATTAAGGGAAAAAAAGATGGAGGAATGAAGTAAGTGCGCTGCACGCTAACTGCATAATTTAAAGCTGAACGATACAAAGCGACTGTACCCGTAATGCCCTGTCTTCAGCTTGTCTTCCTTTCTAAACATTCTGTATTCTCAACCATCCAAGCAAACATGCTTCCTTTTCGAAGAATTGTCACCATGTTTATTGATACGAGAGATGAGCCACTGTCACTACCATTGCAACAATGACTCGTTCTGCTGCATGGGCTTTGAAATTTGGCACAGGTTCTGTATTGTCTACTACAAACAGATAGACTGGTGCACACACACACACACACACACACACACACACACACACACACACACACACACACACACACACACACACACACACACATCTTTTAATCATTCTGATTCTCATCTTCTGATCTTGCCGTTACCATGGCCACAGTTTGTAAAGGTGCATGACTCTATGTTCCTCTCTGCTCTTTACGATGCATTTTCAGAGCTTAGGAACGAAATCACATTTTCTTCTACAACTATGTGATGGTTTCTGTGCCTTACTTTTGAACATATTTTTGAGTCTGTTCTACCTGACAGATTATACCGAGACCGAGCTTCAGAAGGGAGTGGCTTCATCCTCAAATTCTAATCCGAGCTGTGAATGTGGTGAATCGATTCTCATCCACTGCTCAAAGAGAATCGATTAACCATTTTCTCTAAAACAGGTGATTGCATGCATCTAAACACTGTGGCATATTGGAAAAGACAGCTGTAATTAATTTGGCCTTTTAGTAAAGTTCCCTCAAGAGAAAGTTAAATATCCAAAACAGATTCGGGATGTGGCACAATCTACAAATAACCCTGATCAGAATCCTGTACGTAGCTGCTCCATGCTACTGGCCCAGAGGCTCAGGTTGAAGTCTATATAAACTTTGCATTTCAAGTCACATAGCCCAGCTTCCCGACAGTGTTTTTTTGCCTCAGAAGCTGGGCCAAAGCCGATTTTTTGTGTTGCATTGTTTTTGGGCTAGAACAAGCTCTCATTTGCCAACAGAGATTTGCTAAAAGCACCCAAGGGGCATTGTACCTGCTAGTTTACTGTTGGGGAAATAGTGCAGGTCAGATATCCAGCAGCTGAACCGTGCCAGAGCTTCAAAGCAGGGCAACAAAGAGGCAGTTTAACGGCCGTCACAATGAGGGATTCATAGGAGATCTGATGGGGAAGGAACCATATCTCTACTGACCACCAGATGCAGATACAGAGGGATAGTGTGATTATAGTGTCCCCATCTGGTTGTGCTCGTTTCCCCTGAGATAAGATGGGAGGAAATGTAAGTGGAAATACTGGCTAATCAGCAGGCAGATCTCAAAAAGTCCCACGTCTCACTGGGACAAACTCTTTGCCGCATCGCTCGTGCTTTCCTTCCATGTGCTACCAAGAGGCGTGGACCAAAGGACTATTTTCCCAGTTAAATTTGAGGAAGAGTACTAATGACTTAGAGGATACATATTGCTAATTCAGTGAGTTGATTTAAGAATGAAAGAAAAAACGCCCGCCGCCACTGCCCCCCCCCCCCCCCCCACATGGTTGAGGTCTGATAGGGCCAACAGCGATGGAGCAGGATAACAGGTCGCCAGCTTGTTAGTCCCTGGATGGTCTTTCCTGTTTGTTCTACTGCGATGCGGGACCTGGAGACATGCCTGGCAAGTGTGTGTGTTAGTGAAACGGTACAACACTTGAGCATTTGTGGGGTGGGGGGGAAGCCTTCACAGGTGGTTCCACAGATGGTCCCTGTCAACGCCACTGTCTGACTGAAAACATGAACCATTTGTCACTGACACAGACCGTAAAGACCAACAAACACCCTCACTGTTTCCTAAAATACAGTGGAATGTCTTGAGTTCTTTGATTCTTCTTTCCTCTATCAAAATCTCCTCAGTTTTATACACAGTGGCTTCTATATTCCCAAGTACAAAAAGCGCACACTAATGCATCAAAGATGGGACTTACAGAGAAAAGCGATGGTGGGTCAGAGTTTTAAATAATTAAGAAATGCTGAGTGATGTCTTCCTCCTGCAGTGGAGGGCTTCTTGGTGCAGTGCTTTACAATCCTGTCCAGGCCTCAGTGTGTTGCGGTGTTGGCAACTCACACTCCCCTTATGGGGGATGGATGCAATTGTGCCATGCAACTGGGAGTGGGTGGCTACCTCGTGTTTATCTGCTCCTTCCCATCTTGTTTGCCCATACATCCTGCATGCCTGCTGTGTTAGCAGGAGACACCAGCAACTGAATACATGCTGAGAAGACCTACTTGTCTTACAGTGGTGGTGCCAGTTATAAGCCTGTCTGTGAAAACAAACATTAGACATTAGAGCCACCAGTCGACGTGTCACCACATAATGTGAAGGAGCAGCTGGTTGTTCTTTAATAATGACACAGCCAGCATGTGAGTCAAGGTATTATCAAGGAGTTCACAGTTTAGGGAAGGTCTGTAGACGACTCATGTGTCAACAATATGCATAGCAGTACATTTACAATATTTACTGGCTTTAATTTAAATGTTTGCATTTTGGCATTCATTATTAATCATAAAAAACACTAAAACCATGAAAATATGTTGCTTTCACAGTTAAGATGGTATGATTTCCAATTATGTCAATTTTGATTAAATATTGCCATCCCTTTGTCCCATAGATTTAGATGTGACTGGTGATTGGCTCCTATATAAGTTTGTATTTACGGATGTGACTAAAGAAGGGATTTGAAAAGTCTTCCCCGATTAGGCATAATGTCCCAAATCACCACAGGATTTGAGTTGAAACTGTGAATCGGCCAAGATTCTCCAGTCTGAGGATCTCAGCCCATGTTCTGTTTTATAAGACTTAAAACAATCTGAGTTACAGCCAGAGCAGATGGTAAAGGAAGAAAAATCAGGATGAAATGAAATATGTTGTTTTCCCTCTTTTCTCTAACGTGGTTCTTCAGATTTATTTTGCAGTTATAATATTTAAAGTGAAAATGTGTGTACGTCAGCGTTTTTAATAGTAATAAGAGAGGAAGACACAGTATCACAAATAACAAACATCTATTTTTTTGTTTGTGAAGCCTTTGGTTTAGAAGTGTTTCATAACATAGTACATTGTGAATATTAAGACAAAATATGTGTGATAAAAGCTGAGTTTTTTGCAGCACTGTGAAAAATTGTGTATGGTTTGAAAGAAGATTGGGCTTTTAGTAGGAAAATGCAGGGCGCGAGCTGATGAAACATTAATGGTCCCAGTAACATGAAAAAATCATGCAGGTTTTCGCCAGGTTTATTAGATCATCGGAGGGTGGATACGCTATGCTGACATCAACTCTGACATCTACTTAGAATGAGCACCTTGGAAAAAGGTTTTGTAGGAAAGCGCTGATGTAAGATTGCAATGGTCAACAATAGGCGGCCTTGGTGGATGATTGGGTGTTGGCTCCAGAAAAGCTTTAGGGCGACCTCCGATCTCCATGAGTGTGTTGTAGCCCCTGGCACGGAACGATGAATGGAGGCCGGATGAAGGATAAATTAAAGTGAAGCCAATTATGGGACTTTGCATTGATCTCTTATTCTCATTAACCCATTTAAAAAATGTGCTTCTTGGAGGATGGCAAGGGAATTGTTGCCCTGGAATTGAAGTGCAGTACCATGTTGTGTTCCAATGTCAGTATCTTCAATACATTGAAAAATAGGACACAAAAGAGGGTTTGAAAAAACATGATAGATTTATTACAAACTACAGGTGTTTTCAACAAAGTAATAAATGCTTTCAGGGCGGCATTTTACTACCGAAGCCTTGTTTTTACGCCTAGTTTGTTGCTGCTCTCGGAACAGAGGATCCATGTTGGCTCAATCCATCAATGTCCTGCTGCCTCTTTGTCAGTCACGCTGCTTTCCTTAGCTCCTGTTGCCATAAGCGATTAACAAAATCTTGAAAATGGACAGGCTGTACACCATGACAAAGTGCTTCTATTCAGGTCTACTCCTTTTTCTAATCATGAGTTCTGCAGTCATGAGTCATACACCTGCCATCAAAAGTCACATAACAACATTTTCCTGTGCGTAAGTCTAATTACCGACCCTAAGCATTCACTTAAAGTATCCAAGGAGAATGCATGTCTGCGTTTCTAAAGATGGATGTAACATTGGTGTGCTCTGGGAGCTGTGTATGCACACATTTCTGAAGATGTACGGGTGTAGATTTGTATCAACTACATCCTCCTAAAAAATAGCAACACTCAGTCTGACATTTGGGTCGAGATGGTCCGTTATAATTGACATCAGATACTTTTTAAAATATGTCATTAAACCCCTTTCTGACTGGACGGTAAGTGAAACCAAGCCTTTCCTTTGGTTGGAAGAATATAAACCTAAACCGAAGACTCCTCATGAAAAACGTGCGGCTGCAATCCGTCAGACTAGCTCCTGCATGCTAATTGGACTGTCACCTGGGCAGAAAGAGTCCACCTCTGTGATGCAGTAACATAGTCTGAGTCAGTCACTACCAAGCCCGGTGCCTGTCTGCCCCCTCCCATCTGTCTCTCCCCATCCACCTCGACAGGACAATTCTGTTGGACAAAAGTGGGATAATTCATTTTGGGAAGTGAAGGAGGGCCACGCTTGAGAGCCCTGGTGAATATGATATATGCTGTACAGTCCGAGCCATGTCTGAACCGTCAGGCTGCTGCTGAGAGGCGGAAAAATGACAAATGCTCCCCGCAGATTGCGTTGCCACCGTTGGCTGGATGCAGCAGCATCAGAGGGAAAAGAACACACCCAGAGAGTCTATTGATAGCACAGCAAATTTGCTGTTTTTCTTTGATTCCTGCAAGCAGTGCAGCAACAGATTAGATCTCAAAAGGTATGCACCACGGCGTTACGCAGCATAATACGAGCAGCTGAATGAGGGAGAGGGCGGTGCACCCCTCCCTTTAGCTCCCTCTCCACTTTCTCCAAGCTTCTGTAGTGCTGTAAAAAGCCGAGAACTAGTGAAATGTATTGATTTTACTTTCAGCCTTATCATTCTGTATGCCTCTTATTCTGCGCCATCATAACTCGTGTGCTGCTCCAGAGAGGCTTTTATATCTTCCCGTTGCTGCCTTTTGCTGCTGGTACTTTCCCTCAGGACCGACGCGGCTCCATCCCCCAGCGTATGCTGCTGCAGCGTCACTCCACGAAGTACCACACTTAGGGCTTCAAGACCATCGCACAGGGGCCCCTCAAACACACATAAACAAACACACACACACACACACACACTAAGTAGGCCCCAATGTCAATCTCATAATCCAAAGAAAGCTTCAACTGTGAACAATCATAAATGCTGGAGACGAGGACTCATAGTCATCCTTGTTGGTACAAACTTAGCTCCTCCTCCTATTCCTGTGGCATTATAGAGCGACTCCTGCTATGTTACATTACATTGCATGTCATTTAGCTGACGCTTTTATCCAAAGAGACTTACATTGCATTTTGCATTCATTGCATTCATACATGGAATCATCCGTTTCTTTGATATGTATGGAGTCACAAACTGGCAGGAGTTACACCACCAACTTCAGTGTAATTTCAATCAGGTCACTAAAGCAAAGGACAGTTTACTTTGTTCCCTTTGCAATACTCTCACAATGCAACGCTAACCCTGACAGCTATTTCTTTGCAATTTAGTCCTGTGTCCATTACTTGTTTGAATATGTCTGTGGAAAGAAATTGATTAAAGAGGCTTGGCAGGAGGAGATTTTACTGATTGGGCTGTAAATTTGTTACCAGGAAATGTGTTGTCATAGTCATTGGTATATAATGTTTTGTTGATATTTCAGGCTTATATTCAAAAAGAGCAAGTTTATAAAGGGAGGATTATTACTCTTCAGGATACTTTAAATAATTACATTCTCTTGTTATTTAATTGTTTGGCTTATGATGGCCACCAGCGTGAGGTCATCATTAGCTGCCTTGTATTTAGCCCCACATCACTGCGTGGCAATTTAAGGAAGTGTATCTGGTCACTCGCCAATTCCCGGTCAGCACTGTTATGGATTACAAATTTGCACGCAATATCCTCTTTGATGGGAGAGCAGCCCATGGTGGCAGTGAGGTCAGGGCTGTATAAGCAGGAGATGGAGAGGAATACAGGATTGCAAAAAAGTGTGGACTCAACACAAATAACTTGGACGCAAGTCAATCTTGATTAAAAAACAAAACAAATTAAGAGCTCCTACACTAAGGTCAGGAAAAGCTGCCAACTTTGGGTCACTATCGTTTCATGCTGAATTCCTCTCTGTCTTTGTGTCTGTCCAGCTGCAGCCTTTGGTAGTGCAGCATGACGGACACGGTGGTGAGCAGCAGTTCGGATCGCTGGCAGTCCAACGACAGGACCAAGCACGCCGGGTAAGCATGATTGTCGAAACCTTTCCACCCTGTCGACCATCCCGATATGTCCACTGACCCTCCCTGTACTCTCCTTTGTTTAACCTGCATTCTTCTGATGTGTGACCTTTGACACAGTGACAAAGAGCAGTAAGTATAGAACTCCACCTCCTTTATCTGCCTCACATGTATCTGATACATAACTGTAATTCAATAAGTTAATGCTGCGTGTATGGAAATGTAAGATTGGTATTCATTTATTAAAATCGCCTGAACAGGCACAACCTCAACTGGAGAATATGTTTGTCTGATAGGGGGAACTGGACAATGCAGCCAGGTCCCGGCCCTGCTCCAGACCTAACAGATGAAGAGAAAGAGATCATAAACAATGTGATTGCACGTGCCGAGAAAATGGAGGCCATGGAGCAAGAACGAATTGGGTGAGAGATCGTAAAACATGCAGCGGTTTCCCCAAAGTGCAAGTGTACAAACAAGAATGGCCTGTTGAGTCCTGGGACATGCATATGCATATATATATATATATATATATATATATATATATATATATATATATATATATATATACTGTATACACCAGAGATGATACAGGTGACATTGAAATGCTTTTGCCCTTTGGTGTCGCAGGCGCTTGATTAATCGCCTGGACGACATGAAGAAGACCGTGTGTGGGGACGGACAGTCCCGCTGCTTGCTGTGTGGGGAGCAGTTTGGGTCACCAGGTGTTAGCTCAGTGGTGTGCGAGGACTGCAAAAAGGTAGCTAATGAGTCAGCAAACTATCACGAGCAAAACCCAAAAAGAAGTGCTTCCTCGCTGCATATGATACGAGCCTTGACCCCTCATAGACCCGGAACACAATAGGTTATTCTCTATGAGCTGACTATTTGTAAAAGCATTGTAAATAGCGAGCAATCTTTCTTTTCTCCTGTCGAATAGAACATGTGTACAAAGTGTGGTACACAGTGTGGCAGTCGGCCACGTGCTGTGTGGCTATGCAAGATCTGCAGAGAACAGCGAGAGGTTTGTGATTTACACCAGTAAACAAATGAAATAGTTCAAAGGTCTGTTGGAAAGTCTGTAACATGCATATATTTATTTATTTCTCAGGTGTGGAAGAGGTCTGGTGCCTGGTTCTTCAAAGGTTTTCCCAAACAGTTCTTGCCGTCGCCGATGCCATTAACTAAAACAACGGAGGGAGGAGCCAAGGAGGCGGCAAAGGCAAAAGAGCCCCGAGCCCCTGAGCCCAGGAAGACAGTGATCCAACCCACAGGTACATCTGCCACTTCAGCCTGCAAATCTTGTCAGTCATTCTGAATGTTGACAAAAGGGAACATGCAGATCCTTGTAACCATCAGTCGGTCCGTCTCCTGACTGTGCAACAAGTTCCAGTGTTCGGTGTCTAGAAATCTTTTTTTTAAAAGGCCACTCTCTTCAAGGTTTTTCTGAGATTTCAGTAGCTCAAACTGACATTAAAATATTTTTCACGTTTTTGAATATGTCAATAAAATAAACACAACAGCTATTGTTCATATTTTTGTCCATTTTACACAACAAGATATATTAAGAAGGGGATAAACCCTTATTTTTGGCCGACTGAAAATATTGTATTTTATTTTAGGGTTCTAACAAAGAAATCTATTGACTTCAAGTAGAGGGAGTCCCAGGAGAAACAATGCCAACTTTTCTGAGATGTATGACTCATTCCTGCAGCATAATCTTTATGTTATTTTCTCTCTTCATTCAACAGGTCCACCTAGTATTGGCTATTAGCCATTTAAGCTATTTGTTTCTTTACAACATGCATAATTTTGGGAGACCCATCATGCAGTCAAGTCTGTATACTACTCCCAATGCTAGCAAATGGCATTTTTCAAAGCGACACCTCTTCAGTCCCGTCAGATCAGCATCTGCACACAAGCCTTCGCGCAACCCGCATCTCACTGCTTCTTTCAGACCTTTTATCTGCTCCCCAAATTTGGCAGTACCGCCCACTGATGCAGAAGAGAGGGATGAAGAGCTCAATTAAGCTGTCGGAAGGTGCATGCTGTGACATGGGAAGAGCCTCCAGGTGGTGCTGGCATGATGGGTCACATCATTTCACACTTTCAATGTGGTTACCTGAGCAATGGGATTCCTCCATAAGAGCAGACAAGCAGGCCACTCTATAAAGCTTCTGCGTGTACAGTAGCTTGTTGTAGTGTATGTAGGTCAATGTCTTTGTGCTGCAACATTAAAAGTACCCAGAGAGACTAAGGAGTACAGATTCCACTGCAGTAGGAGCCTGACTGGGTGTGATTATGCACATCTCCCCCATGTGTATTGTGTGGGTTTCCTGTATAATGCTATTCATTCTTATTTTTAGCACCAGAGCCACAGGGCCGTGGTGGTTACCCACCTGTGGCCCCAAAACCATCAGTTGCACGCATGGCCACGGGTGGGGCCGGCCCTGAAGAGGCGGGGCAGGGCAGCCCAGTGGCGATTAAGAAGATGATTCCAACCCAGAGCTCCAGACCCCCGTCTGCCGCATCAGCCACCGTGGCCCAGCAGGGTGAGAGAGCGGCTATAGGACACAATCTTTTGCTCTCGTCCTCACAAAGAGTCCCATTAACCACATATACTGCATCCCAAGCGTCGGTGTTTTTTTCAGTCACAGATGATTGAATTTGGGTGTAGGTCCGGCGGCAGGAGATGGAGGTGCATACTCCTCTGCTGCTGGTGCTCCGGAGCAGAGAATGCCTCCTCCAGCGAGAGAGGACAGGAGGCAGCCCGCTGCCCACGGCGCTCCTCCCGCCCGACAGCAACCTCCCCCAGCTGAGGAGGAGGAGGAGGCCAACGACTACGACTCGGATGAAGCCAGTGAGTACACCACCTGTGTACTCTTTTCATTGAGTTACTGTATCAATGTGCGTCTCGTTAAATTTCATCTCATGCAGTGAGTGATTTTTTTCTATTAGGTTAAGGTAAGGGAAGGCTCTTTTCCATGCAGCATTAGGTGTTGATGAGTGTAGAGTGCCTTTCTGTTGCCTTGAGGGGATACCGCGCCGATTCTTGAATTGAAGTCCCCTGGTAATGATTAATATTTATAAATTGCTCAGTAATCTTAGTATACAGGATGTATCATTCTGGCATTGTAGAGCTGGGTAGAACATGAACAATGATAAGCATTGCATGCTTTAGAGGCATGATGATCAATATCCAAGGAACTAAACCAGAGCATGGTGTGAACCACTAAATCAAAAGTTTTTTTTCATATACTCCATATTCCATTTTAAGGATAGTAATGGTGCCATGGCATTCGTGTTCTGCGCCTGCAGCGTCAGACGGCCTTTATTCTCTCTCAGGGGGATTGAGTTTCAATTTATTTTATTGAGGTCTGGGAATGTGGATCTGTGCAAATGATTTAAGACACAACAGGGCGAACGGGATATGGATTACCCTTGTGTAGGGAGTCACGTGTGTAACGTATAGCCAATCATTTATATACATGTATGCTATCACTAGATAAAAATGGTGATTTTCTCTTGTTTGTATGGTTGTAGTCTCTTGGTTTTGGTAGATCTTAATGTCCCTGGAGCATCAAGTTGAGGGTGAATCTCAGCCCAGAAAAGTTAATAGTTATGTAACAGAAAATAATGACTATAATATGACATTTGATCATTTTGTCCCAAACAGCTATGCAAAGCCATGAAACTCCTCCAAAGAAAGTCTGAGTGGGCAGCATTTTTTCTTACCCAGATTCTTATTTTTTGAATGTTTTCCTTTTGAGACTTGAACGTTTACTCAAGTTATTTTATATTAGATGTCCCTGCTTTGTAATTATATTTTGTGCTGTTTGTGCTGATATAATCCCAGACTTGCAGCATCTCCGCAGTCTACTGTAACGACTTTCCGTGGTCTCTTTCAGCAACTCTGGGCTCTTTAGAATTCAGTCTGCTCTATGAACAGGAAAACAACAGCCTCCATTGTAGTATTCTCAAGGCAAAGGTAACACTATTCTCGCACAAAAAGACAAACACAATCAAGTGGTTTCGGTTAAAAGGCTCCTGAATGGCACTTTAGTTTAATTGCTCTCTGCTGTTCATGATGATGTGATGGAAATGGCGTTCGATTTCTCCTCAGGGACTGAAGCCCATGGACTCAAATGGACTTGCAGATCCTTATGTCAAACTTCATCTGTTGCCCGGGGCCAGTAAGGTAAAAGACGCACCATTCCTTCCCTAGGCTTTCACTTCCCTTTAAATATGTATTACCTCATTATCCAGCTAAGCGAAATAAATGAAGGGTGGTGGCTTTGGACTCCCGTTGGTTTGATGACAGCTCATTCTGCCAGCTCAAGCCTGACATCTTGTGGTCTGAATTGACAAAAACACAAACTTAGCATGTGGATGATGTCTAATGAACTAATTTGGGAACATGGTAAATAACTTAAAATATTGAGTAAAGGTACATTTTTGTGTGTAGTGTGATAATAGTGTCCGAATGGCACACACACCCTTTGGTGGGAAGCAGCACCATGTATATTCTTTCTGTAGCCAAAAGTACAGATGTGGGAGATCGAGATCTTTCCATTACCGTGTCTTGATCTGGGCCTCCATTTAACAGTCCAACAAGCTGCGCACAAAGACCTTGAGAAACACTCGCAACCCTGCGTGGAATGAGACGCTCACCTACCACGGTCTGACAGATGACGACATGCAGCGTAAGACCCTCAGGTGAACACTACCCCTGTGATGGTTTCAAACATACTGTGCCCTTAGTTGTCTATTTCAAAAGGTGCGAGGGGTCTGCATGATTTGGATTCTCTCTTGATTCCAGGCTGTCCGTCTGTGACGAAGACAAATTCGGGCATAATGAGTTTATTGGGGAGACGCGAGTGGCGCTGAAGAAGCTGAAGTTGAACCAGAAGAAGAACTTCAACGTGTGTCTGGAGAGAGTTATCCCTGTGAGTGAACCTCAATTGCATTCAAACAATGCTTTGTTCTTCTTGTCGGGGTCGCTTATCGACCTGCTGAAATCTCGTTGCACCCTCGCAGACAAAGAGAACTGCAACAGCCGGGGGAGCCCGAGGGATCGCTCTCTACGAAGACGAGGCAACGTTTTTTAAAATTATTTCCATGCATGCCTGAACATGACAAATTCCTGCAAAGAATTTTTGCAAAGACTTATTACGCGTCATTCTGAAATATCTTCTGTCCTCTGTCTTAGCCGGGGAAAGAAGGCGGAGAGGTTGAGGAGCGCGGCCGGATCCTGATCTCCCTCATGTACAGCACCCAGCAGAATCGCCTCCTCGTGGGTGTTGTACGCTGTGTCCACCTGGCTGCCATGGACGCTAATGGCTACTCTGACCCATATGTCAAAATGTAGGTGGAGCAGAAATAGATTTAGACTCCGGGTGTATAACTCGGGAAATTGCATGAATTAATTATATCCAATTTTTTTTTTCAGATGTCTGAAACCTGACATGGGGAAGAAGGCCAAGTGCAAAACACAGATCAAGAAGAGGACTTTAAACCCAGAGTTTAACGAGGTTTGTAAGTTCAGAGTGAAGGGGTTTTCAACAAATAAGCTGTAAAAATGGGTTTATATTAACAGCAACCCAAGTGTTGAAAATATTGATAAGTGGCTTGAAAATGTCTTGATCAAATTTCAGGAATTCGGCTATGAGATTAAACACAGTGAACTGGCCAAGAAGAGTTTAGCTATCTCTGTGTGGGACTACGATATTGGGAAATCCAACGACTACATTGGTAAATATAAATATTGCTTTGATGAATTGAAAGTACAATTGCCGCCTGCTCACCAACACCTGCCTCTCGCTCCTCACTTCCTCCCTGACAGGTGGCTGTCAGCTGGGTATCACTGCCAAAGGAGAGAGGCTGAAGCACTGGTATGAGTGTCTGAAGAACAAGGACAAGAGGATTGAGCGCTGGCACACTTTGTATAATGAGAATCCCGTTACCAGTGATTAACCATTTGCCCCCACACAAATGCAGCATGAGTTAAAAACCTCCCTACTTGGTTTGCAATCTCTTCGTGCACCTTTTATTGTGTTATCTAGTCTCTCACTACCTGGCCATCACTAAGGCTTACTCAACTCCCTTCCCCGCGACGTAGAACACTCTTCTTTCAACAATTTCTCTGCCTGCGCTGTGACTTATTCTGCCTCTGGGACAAATCAAGGCGTACATGAATTATAGATTTCACTAATATAATTAAGACATATGTGAACAAACAGCTGCACAAGGACCATCATGCCTGTGAGTGATGTCATATGCTGAACTTGACAGATTGCTAAAGAAAATGAATTTCACTGGCACGGAACTAGAAAAGCAATATGTTATGGCATCCGAGGTTTGAAATCATTAATGAAGTTGATTGGCCACAAAAGTGAATCAGCCTGTGAAGGAATTCATTTTTGCGATGTTTGAACTGTATGCATGCCAAGCCACAGACATGAGAAAACACGGAGCTGCGCCATCCGATATTCAACTGTGCCCACTGTCCTGGACATATTGTATATTTCCACAAAGAAACGTTTACATACAGATACATTGCTCAGGTTAGGCTAGACATCTAATGTAGACAGATGCTTCATAAGTCAGAGACCATGAGCTAGACAAATCTTACAGCTACTGTTTATTTGTGATTTCAAATTATAGCACACCTAGATTAATATTAAGATTTTTCATGTATAGTTAATCAAGTTGTGAATACTGATTTGTGAGTTTAACTGTGTTATTAGAGAAAAAATTAACAAAAATATTTGTTTTTTTCAGTTCTTAGTTATAATGAGAATTGGCAGGAACAAGGATTTTCCTCTTGCTCCCTTAACTTTTGTGAAGCTCGTGGTTCACTCAGAGGTTCACCTCAGAGGTTTTGTACTGTAGTGTTTACACTGAATGCACACGGTTCAATTTGGCTGCTCCACTTAACAAGGACAGAAGGGGGAACAGGTTATGTCATATGTGCAGCTCTACTTGCATGCACCTGACTTTGGCGTGTCCGGGCAGTCCAATTTTACCGCAACGCGCACAGCGGGGCCCTTTCCCCCTCTGGCACACCCAATCATTAAAGGCTTTAGTATGTGTTTGTTCACTAATCACAGCAAACCAAGGAAAGCACATCTTACAAGGTGGAATGACCTCAATTTATACAGCTGTTTGCAAGTTATTCCAAATATGTCAAAATAAAGATTATAAAGAGGAAATCTAAAAAAAACTATGCATGAAAGGTCTTGTGGTTCGAGATATATATACTTTGTGAGAAATGAATGCTATTGTATTTCCATCAATGTTTACACTTCTTTCCCATAACATTCTTGTTGATACTCTATGTACAAGAGGCCATATTCTGCATGGTAACTATGGTGTAATCTGAATAAACTGGTCTGATAGCATCCCCAGCAAAGACTGATAATCAACTGAGCAAATCACAAGACTTTATCCAACTGTATCAGTAGCAGATATTGAAAAAGGTGTTGTCAATTGAATTACTGTACAGAAGCATTCTAGCCTTAACAGTGTCTTGTTTTCTTTGCAAAGCCCTTCATGTAGCCGTGATTCAAACACCCACCCGTAGCATCACACACTATCCAAGGTTATATACTAAGCGCCAGGCTTAACCCGTTGGTGTCTTCTACTTGATTCTGCTAGTTCAGTGGAATTTCTTGGTTTATCACTGTATTTCTACATAGATAGTGCATGCACTGGAAAATATGTATGTTTGCAAAAAACTTTGCATGTAAAGATTTTGCAAAACATTTACACAGATCAATAAAATATAATGAAAAGTGACAAGCCTCCTTTGCGGACTTATCAGAGTAAAGTTATGACGAGAGAAGACCATTAAGGAGATTAAAGCTGCATATAATGAATTTCACTAGTAAGTCAGATTATTGTGATTAAATAAAGGCAGCAATTGAAATGTCAATTGATAGATAAAATATATGTCCTGATGATTGCTTGCCTGTAATTTAAGTGCATAACCACATTTAGCCATAAATTCTTCTTCCAGAATTATCCTTTATTTTTCCACCTTTCTAGTGTGTCAATCTGAAAACCCTTTCTGAAAAGAAAGGGGGCGTGTCATATTTGTGACGAGCCTCCATCGTTGCAGACCAATGAGGGGCCTCTTGGCACAAAGCGTTCACCTCCAAGCCACGCATGCCTTCACCCATAGACACGCGCCTCGTGCAGACAAATACACTCAGGCCACATGTCATGCGGAATAATTCGTCCATTCAGGCGTTATTTTAACCCACCAAACTTTACTGGATTCATTGGGCATCCATTTCCCGTTGAGATGCGAAGACAGTGCACGCTACAAGTTTTTTTCGTCTTATCGTTGCACGTTTTATCCAAAGCGCATTATGTTATCGGATCGGGTCCGTCTTGCCTCAGATCGAGTCCCGCGGGACTCGGTCAGACGCGCGTCACGTTTCTGCGGGAGGACGCGACCGGTGTGCGCTCCTTGTACGTCAGCCTGTGGTCTGAGGACGCGCGACCGGTAACCTGCCAGGTGAACACCAATCCGACTGTCACCGACAGGTACTTCAGTGTCTGCAACAGAAGCGGCGGCCAGGGCCGAGAAATCCGCCGGAAGTTTAACACCAGCATCCTGTTATCTCCGGGTTCACCGTGCAAACTCGCCTCCTCCGGTGTGCCGGAGTTTATCTTCAAGCGCGCAAGAAGAGATGCGACGGAGGGGAAAGTAGTTCGGAGGAAACGGGCGTGGATATTCCCGGGCACGTTGTGGTGCGGTACCGGCAGCAAGGCGGATGAATACGAACAGCTAGGTGAGGATGGTGAACCATGAGTTTATGATTTTGCGTATTTTTCCTTCCATTCTGTGCCTCGGGCTATTGGGGTCATTAGAGGTCAGAAGAGACATAAAGCAGGGGAGGGGATGATTTTCCAAGTACACTCTGTTTGGCCCTTAAATGTTCAGCACTTCTTTGAGATTTTTTGACTATATATTTATCATATGGTAGAACTTCAATATTCTTTTTTGATATTGTAGCATTGGTATTTGACACGAGATTAATAACAAAAACTGTCATTTGCATACATCATTTACATTGAACGAAATGACAAATATAAAAGATAATACGGCAAAGAAAAATCTCAATGAAGTTAAACTTGCAGGAAAATTGCTTTGAAAGTGATAGAAACATCAAAAATATGTTTTTTAATGAAATATCTTGGTTTTACAACTTGCACATTTCCAATGATCAAATAACTGTCTTTGAAGGTGTTTTAATTGGGCAAGAAATGATTTGCTTCCAAAGCTTTGCTTTGCAAAGTGCCCTTTGACATGGGATTGAATTCAAATCTCGTTTTCCTGCACAGGGATGTTCGAGAGTGCAGATCGATGCTGCCGTGAGCACGACCACTGCCTGCATGTCATCCCGGCTTTCACTGGGAATTATGGAGTCTTCAACTCCAACTTTTTTACCGTCTCACACTGTGACTGTGACCAAAGGTGAGCCCCAGAATGCATACGAACCTCTGGGTATCTGCTGAGACCAGGAATTGACCTCCTCGAGAGAAACTGCTGAAAACAGAAACTGCTACCTCCCCCTAACACGTCCCCATAATACTCCGGCAAGCATCAAGTCAGGATAAACCTACTCAAAGGCTGAATTTATAAGTGTTGCCCAAGCTGTGGGCATTGGCATTTCATACCTTACCCCTCTTACTCATGAAAGCTTTCCCCTTTCTGTAAAGCTAGAATGACATTCTTTTGTAACTATGCTGATAGATGTAAACCGAGAACATGGGGCCCCTGTAATGTCACTATGGGAGTAATAAATATACTGTATCGCTGCATTCAGCCCTGCGGAAAATCTTTCAACGTCAAGAGCCAACACGTCGCTCGCTTCTTTTATGTTTGCTGGGTATAACATTCCTCATATTTACAGTATTCGCCCTCCAGAGACATTTGTATTATTTTCACTTCACATCTGGGGTTGGCCGGTACATACGTTATCTGTTTTCCCTCTAACTCTTGTCATTCATTCGCAAGTACTTGTGCATTTTAATTTGGACTGGACCGTCACGTGACACGCGCTTCCACTTTTTACGCCACCCAGGTTTCGAGAGTGCCTTCTTGGTGTGAATGATTCCATTTCCAGCATGGTGGGCTACAGCTTCTTCAACATCCTGCGGGTTCCCTGCTTTGACCTCACACAGCAGAGGCGATGCACGGAGTGGTACTGGTGGGGAATGTAAGAGACACGCTGACTTGACTTGTTAGACACAGCGGCTTGTCACACAACAGGTTCAGAATAAAATGCAGGAATGTTTTTTATGGAAAACCAGAGCATTACATTTCTTGTAATACAATTCTGACCTTATTTTTTACCTCTGTACAGTTTCCACCACATTATTTATTAAGTTCTTAACTAATTGTCTTACAAACAATAAATAAAATAATGATGGTAAACTAGCAGTCTAGATTAATGGTGCTGCACTGAAAAACAATATAATAACTACAATCTAAGATTTGTGTTTGAGCGATTGATTCTTGAATTGCCCTCTTCTTTAAATAGCAGATACAAAGTGTACCTCTTCTAACTTGAATACATATGCAGTGAATGGGATCTATTTACGTTGTAAATGTAGCAGATAAATCTTTATCCATGACTTGGTTTTAACATGCAGCGTTTCTCTCCACAGGTGTAAAGTGGCCGAAATGGCTCCATGTGCCGTCTTCAGAAGTCCCCTTCCCTATGCTGATGTTACGAGCAATAATGGGAACACCACTGACAGCAACATGGTAGCAAATAGCAAGGCGAAGCTTGTAAACGAAAGCATTGTGATCGAGCCACTCAAAAAGTTACCCAAAAGTGAACGTAGATGTAAATCCAGACACCGACCCAAAGGAGAAACTTTCTACCTCAGAAGGACAAAGGGGAAAGGATGTAAAAGGCAAAAAAAACTGAATACAACGACACCATCCCAAATGTCAACAGTGTCCACCACTAGTCTTTCAATGGAAGTCAGTCATTTAAATGAAATTAAAAGTACTGCAGCGCTGCCGATTAAAAAAAGACTTGGAAAAAAGAAGAGCAACGGACAAGGTCTGTCGGATTACGTCACACAGAGAAGCCAAATCCCACCACCGGCGAACATGAGCTCAGATCAAAAAACAGCAACTCAAAGCCTGCCGTCTTTCACACGAAAGCCGGTGCTGCAGCCACACCGAGTAATAGCCCCACCAGCAGTGGGCAAAAGTCGCAAAAAGGTTCTGAAACAACAACAACGCCGTTGTTGTGGACTACGGACGTCTGTCAGAGGTGACACTTTTCAGCCTCGTTGTAAAAGTTGTCTAGAACAAAAAGCAACATCCGGCATGACAACTGTTACACAATCAAAGACTATGTATGTGGTGCCAGTCAAAATGTCAACAAACTCGACTCGGATCCTCAAACGGACAGAAACGCCCCAACAAGACGATCCAAAAACACTCTGGAATACGGCTGCTTCTGCAACCTCCGTTCATAATGAAGTCAAGCCGCAAAAGCAGATGGATTCTCCTCTACAGCAGAATGATACAAGCCGTGGGCTCATGTGTACCAACGTAGCCCAAAGTACAAATGCAGGAAGAGGCCTGAAGCAAAACTTTGCATCAGATAATATGACAGGTGAGTGCATGGCGCTGAGAATCCATCACATCTGCTGTGGCCATTTTTCAGCATACCAGGCCTCTGTAATACACTATTGAGACCATGTATTCTCTCTTTATAATTCTGCTATTGCGAGTAATGCTGCCACTAGGAAAGCTGAGTATAATGGCTGACATTTGAAAGAGCCCACAATGACGCTGGGAATGTCTCTGATAAGAAGGAGGTCCAGCGTTTTATCCCTGTAAGGTCTTATTGTGCCCCCTACAGGTGGGACAAAATATTCAACACAGATAACAAGTCATTTCAAGAAATGTGGGTATATCTCTATCATTCACGGGGTAACCAGTGTACTTTTCACTCCTTCAGACCATCAACTCCTGTGTGGAAGCCTCAAACACCTGGATGAATGTAAATACAGCATCATCCCTTTGGGGAACAAGTATAATCTACAGAACATGAAGTCAAAGACCGCGTACCACTGTGATTGCACCAGCCGGTAACATTTCTGGATATCTGCTAGCTTTTCCCCATATCTATATATTCAAATACGCACGTCTCTCAGGGGAAACATGTATTTTTTCAGTTATTCAAGCATGGAAAATATGTTTCTTCCTCCAGTCCATGTTTTATGTTTATGAATGACGTTTTACAAGTAGCAGTAATGTTTCATTATACGGGCCAATTAATGTATTAACTTTTGAACAAATCCAAGTCAAATGCATTATCCCAGTAATTCATAATGAATTGGTTTGGCATTCCTGAGCTACTTCAAGGTTCTACCTGCTTCTAGCAGTGGGATAAAGTTGGCAACTGAACCAGAGCAACTTATACGGTCTAAATGAAGCATTAAAGAATGAATCTTTGTGGCGAGAGTAAAAGTAAAGCGATTTCCACATTATCTTCCCTCATAAGGCGAGAATGGTGACATAATAATAATACTAAGCAGGTTTAACAAAAATAACACGTCAGACCAAGGTAATTAAAAAAAGACACAAAAAAAAGGATAACAATGGCGTTGTTCAATAAATTGTTCCACTGAGTGAACCATCAACAATAAACAAACACAGTAGGAAAAGCACAGGTGAACTTGATAACATTAGAGATTGCTTCATACCATTTCATTTTGCTCTTGCATTGTGCAACTAGAGGTCCTTTGCACCTCAGCATTTTGACATGCGGTTGCAGGGTAAATACAGGTCTTATTAATAGCACTAATGACACATGTGTCTACCATGCTACAACAAAATAGGTGCTGTTCAATAGACTTATTACACCTTTAATTTTTTTTTAATGAGTAGTCAATGTTTGCTGTGAAGGCCTTTACTTGTTGGATTGATGGCAGGTTACAGTTATGTTCCGGTGATGTTTAATAGCGTATTGTGACAACTACTACGCATAGGCTACAGTAGCACACAGACAATTATTGTTCACTACCCCAAGCATGTCATAAGGAATGAAGAAGGCCTTCCCCCACAGGCAGCTTCCCCTTTCTTTGTCTGGGACTTTCGCTGAGTCACGGACAAACTCAAAATGGATGTCAATCACACTCACAACACATATTGCTTCATTCCTACCCTGTTGCATTGCTGTAAGTGAGGTTGTTTGTGTCCTCTGATTGTCTTTTTTGTTGCAGCGTGGCTGTTCTGATTAAAAGCTTCAAGCAACCCAGTATTCTCCCCAAGCTGCTAATGGATTTTGTATCTCAATCCTGCTTCAATCTGCCCAATGAGAAGAAATGCCACCGCCGCAAAAGGTTTTAAGCTTTCATAAACGTATTCATGTTTAGCTTTGACAACTTTTGACTAGAACAGTTCCAGTTTCCTGTCTAATGTCTGACTGATTGCTCTTATAATGGATAACTATAGGCTTCTGTTTCTTTTCCAGCTGTTCTGGAGGCTTCTCTAAAGCCTCTGACCTACTTCAAGCACTTAGCATGATGGAGGAAAGAGACACTACTGGGGTGCAAAACTCAGCCAATGAGAGAAAGAGAGGGATTCCTACTCGTCTTTATAAGCGTTGCCTGAGGCTGGTAAGGGAAGCTGATGTTGGGGCACAGCTCACACAACTTTAGACTCCGTGTCTATAAATAGCAACAGTGGATTTGATAAGCTTTACATTTCACAGACATTTCTGTTTCTCTCTGACGGGGTTAAACTACAGTGTTTTAAAACATTCAAGGAATTAAATTCTCAAATACGTCATTTTTGAACCAATGCCATGGATGTACATTTTTAAGTATTTATAAAGAACTGCAATAAAAATGAAAACAATGCTTTTTTTATTGAATATATTATGACAAACATTTTTTTGTTTTTGTTCGAGCTTCGATAGTGATTAGTTTTGTCCTGGGAATTTTCCGTACATTTTCTGTAAAATGAGAACAAATATTTAGTACAGACAGCAAAGTACTGGTCACCACGCCTCCAACTCCTAACATTGAAGTTTATTATACAATTGTAAGACAAACCTCTAAACTGAATGATTATAGCGACGTGTCTTCTTACCTTAAAATTGATTTGTCATTAAGAAACCGAAATCGGCTCATGAATCTTTGACAGCTTTTATTCGGACCCGCGGTGCATGCTGGGAGCCGCAAGTTGGCCTTGGAAACATGGCGTCGCACTGACAGCTGGGAGCTTCTCAATATCTTCTCCAGCCACTGACAGAGCGCCCGGGCCGTTAGCGGAGCCGTTTGCGTTCGCATTACGCCGGGAAGAAAAGCGCCCTAACGATGCATTCGTCGCCCCGAAAAGACTCTCGTATTAACAGTGCGGCGATATAACGGATTTAGTACGGGTGTCACGCCCACCCTGCACGGTAACGTTATAACGATACCTTACGGTAACGGTAAGTTAGCATCGCTTCCAGCTAGCGTTGACCCATCCAGACGGCTAGCAGCTATAGTTAGCACGACACCCAGGTTACGCGAAGAGGAACAACTGTCTGTCCACCGCTCGGCTGCCCTCCGGTGGCTCGCTCCTTCAGCTCTAGCGTTTCGGGCATCCCCGTTACACGCTATCGTAAGATCAGAGGGTGGCAGTTATGTTATTGTTGCTCGCTAGTCGGCGAACTAGGGCGTTTCTGTCATTCTGCCACTGAATTTTTAATGTTCGACCCCTTTTGCATCACTGCCGGAGGAGAGAGCGATGGGCTCCGGGGTTGTGGACTCGTCCCAGTGGCTTTCGGTGAAGGAGGAGACCATTTTCCTTCACGACGGACTCATTCGGGTCACGGATCTGGCCGAACTGCCCAGCGAGATTGGAGTGTCGGAGCAGGGGGACACCGAGCAGGAGGTGGGTGAATGCCATCTCGCACAGGCACATGTTTATACGTCGTATGGAAAAACGCACTCATGGTTGTGATGAGGGTGTGTTTTTGTTTCTTTGAACGTAAAGCTTTTCATGTGTTTTTCAACGCACCCTAATAACTAAGGCAAAGCTAATGTTAGCAAGATCCTTGCCTGTACGCTATTGGCCCATTGTCAAGGTAACGACTACTGTTAAATCACTTCCTGTCATCCCCTTCAAAATATACGTTCTCCCAACCGATCGCCGTAATCATGAAAAATGAAACTAAAGGTCTAAATCATGTAGTATCATTAGGGTTTTGCAATTTAATAATATATTTAAATAACTCAATAAAAGGCGGTAAATTGTTTTTATTGCTGCACCAGAGGTATCAAGTTGCACATCTTCAACTTTCTCTTTTAGGGTCACTGCAGCAGTTTTCTTTGACAGGAGACTTATCAGATTGCACCACACAGCGAACAGTGATTACTACATGACATATGAGCTTAAGTTATTAAGCCACAGACTCTTAATAAAACAATATTTCAGAGCTCTATGTATTTGAAAAATGGAAGTGCAGTGATACAATTGAATCTAAGTTGAAAGTGATCATAGAAAATGATGAATGTTTGGTATGCTTTGCATGGCTGGTGTGGGCTTTTTCTACCATACATTTATATATCGTGCCTTGTGCAAATCAGAATGTATTTCACTCTCAGTAAAAATGTCTTATGTGCCATATAGTGGAGCCAATGTTCAGCTGCACTTAGACTTTTATTTTGAAGGCATAGTCTCAGAAACCGGAAGTGGCGATTATTCTCCATTGTAGAGTATTTACAGTGATGCTGATCGAAACTTCGAGCCACCAGCGTTGCATCCTCGATATTTCGGTACTAATCCAAGCTAGAACTATTCGTGTCCATCAGTGCTCCTCCTGTTCTCATGCCACGTCGGTGGGAAATAGTGATGAATATTGGACCAACAGTGATAGTTAATACCTTAAATCAATAATTCCTTTAGCGTCCATAAGAGTAGCGCTACTCTTATGGACGCTAAAGGAATTATTGATTGTGCACACAGTTATCTATTGCCATAGCTTATTACATGAAATAGCGTGTATAGTTCATCCAGCACGACGTGATTGTCTCGCTCATATTTAACTTTTAGGGTTCACACCTGCAATCAAACATTCTCAATTTAGCTTCTCCACTTCATGGAACTTAACAGAAAAAATATTTTGATACATTTTGTGCTCTATGGAATTTTAACATTAGGGGATCCTCACAAATTTCTTTTTAGAATTTCTTTGAAATTGTCTACGTGTACTATTTATAGCAATCCAACATCCTCAAAAGTACTGTGCTAATATTCCAAATCATGAGTCTGTTAGATAATGCTATAACAGTAGTTAGACTCATAGCTATGTGATGGGTGAAGTGGAACGTTAGCACAGTTCCACACTTCAAAGTGGGATACGCTTTGTGTTGAGTGTGTTGAGTATGTTCAGATAGGTGCCAGGCTTGTGCTGCTCAACAGACACGGCCTGCTTGGCTAATTTTGACGTTGTGCTTTATGCAACTGTACAAATTCAGCTGGTTGGATTACTAGCATAACCTCTTTTGACCTTTTTGTTTTTAACTGGTGCTAATTATAACCAGAATGTTATTTTCTAATTCAATGAAACGTCATGTTCTGTACTAGTATTAGTTGCATGATGGTTAATCTATTACTTGTTAAGCAGTAGTTTTTGCTGATGATGGAAACATAACCGCTGCAGATGGCTACTTTACTATTCAGCCATCCGCCACATGCTGTCCTAGTATGTGTGTATGTGTACTTATGTTCAGTGTGCAGCTTTGATAGACGACAAACCACTGGTTAATTAATGGATGTGTTGTTTGAGTCAGTGACACAGCTTCTGAGCTTTCCTCAGCTTTTTCTTTAAGCTACTACATAATACTATAGTTTGGTTTAGCATGGATGAAGACAGGGCTGCTTTTTACTTCTACACGGCTCATCTTTGCAGATCAAACTTCCTTTCAAGTTTATTTTAATAGTGCCTGTTAAGGATCTATACCAAAGGATTTTATGGTGTCTGAATTCTCAACTTCCATATATCCCATGGGTTCGGTTCCTACAGTATTACATACAAAGTATTGTTACATCATAACCAGGATAATGGCCACAGGAACCCTGAGATGTGGGAAACACTATTCTCACATTTATTTAGCAGATCTGCATATAATCATAACCTTCCTGTGTGTGGTCGAGCTCATACAGAAACATACTGGGGGTCTGTCCTCACGTTCGAGGTCAAATTCTGATTCTGATTCCGTTTTCATGCCCAACTGGTTTAGTCATTCAGGGCTCTCTTCGTAGGTGTTGTGATGCTAACTATTTCTACCCACAAGCAGTGTTGTGCAAAGTAAGGCCCAGCATCCAGTCAAGGCGTGTTACTGTAACATTAGTAGCTTTTTAAAATATTCAGTCAATACAGATTGTGCCTTCTAAATGGTATAATGGATTTTTTTTCTAGTCCGTGATGCTTTGGCCGCAGAGTGTAATCAATAGCTGAAGTGCTGCCTAAGTGCACATGAGGCACATTGTTTCATGGGATGGGGTGATGGGATATCCCAAATGTGTTTTGCTATCTCTGAACATTATTTCAGTGTGCGGAACTGTAGACACCAGAGGTTCGTGCAGGTGATTCATAGTTTAACCGTGGAAACACTCAAAGTTCTACCGATGGATCCTAGCCATGGAAGATCAAATTTGTTTCTAGAAAATAATTGACTGCATATTGCCTATATACCATGTCGACGAGCATGTTTTTTTCTAATCTGATGGTGGACCATCCCTACCCGTTGTCGTTTTTTCCCCCCCTTCTTTTTGTCTTTGCTATCTTTCCCTCTCCTCCAGATTCTAACATTTGAGACAAAGAATCCCGCAGAGCTCGCTGAGCGTCTGCGTGCTGTCTGCGGGAACCAGAGCAACGCGTACGCACGCCTGCTGGAGTACCGTCTCAATGCTCTGCGCGGGCTGTGGGGGGCGCAGCGGCAGCTGGCCCTGGAGGAGCAGCAGGAGCGAGAGGGGACCGGAGGGGCCGACGAGGAGACTTTGACCTTGCTCAAAAGGCAAGGTCTGCTTCAGCAGCCTGAGCAGGCGCCCTTCACGTCCCGCGTGGGCCTGCTGCTGGTCTTTCCCCTGTTGCAGTCCCAGACACGCAGCGACCCGGCGCTGTGCGGCGTCACCGCCGAAGTCCTGCTGGCCTGCCTCCGCGACTGCCAGCCGCTCAGCCTCAGCAAAGAGCCGGCCGACTGCCTCAACGGCCTTGAGGGGCTGCTCTGCTCTTGGCTGGAAGATGGCGACAAGGACTCAGGCCAACCACAGGGGCCGGCTCCGACGCAGATCCTCCACACCCACAGGCAGAGGGAAAACGCTGCCGCCGCACTGGTGGCTCTCGCGTGTGCCAGGTGAGGCCGAGCATTTACTCCTTGCTCCTTCATACTTCCAAGGAACCCTCTGTTGGTTGTTGTAGACTCTGCATTCAACCAACAGGATTCAGTTAAGCGTAGCCGAACACCTCTCAGAATGGCTGTTTTTACTTCATACACATGTAACAAGTATTAAGATCAAGTTTAGTGGTGAAACGGATCGGAAAACGTTCGTTTCAGATTGTTTCACGGAGTACAAATCCAAGATTGGACTTTTAGACATCCTTGATCATTTTCTCTGTCGATGATACTAATTACTGATTAGTAATGATCCATATTTGCCAATACGGATCCTTTTTTTTTGTTGGATTAGAGCAGCTGGTCTACATGGCTTCAGACTATTTATTTGCCACATTCCTTAACACCGTTTCAACTGCTTCAATGTCAGTGTCAAAACTTGTAATTCTTACCCATTAACTTGCTGTTGCAATTTGAAAGGGGCTGTTCTTCTGATGAACACACAATTTTGATGATCCCAACTACTAGTGACAATTTGTTTACCAAATTTCTGTCTGATCACCTGTGCCACAATTTGGTCGAGTCATCCTTCTGAGCCCTGTGACCTTTGGGCACATTAACAATTCTTGCTGCTAAATATTGCCAGTAAAAACTTTATTTCACACTGAGATGGTAAATGGGGTTTGTTGATTTGATATTTATATTTCTACCTAAATGTGTGGCCTCAGTGTCAGCTCTGTCATGGCAATGTTTGTTTTGTCCGTCGGTCGCCTGCCTGCAAAAGAGCGGAATGTGCTTGTTTCCATGCATTCGTGCTTGAACTCTGACTTCTGCTGGCAACAACTGATCTTGACATGTCAAAACCAGAACGCTCTCCTCTTTGTTCAGCCTCTGTTCGAGCTGAGG